AGATCATACAAGTAGATTTTAACCCAAGGCATAGATTGCACACACCCAGGAAGCACCCCACGACCAGTGGGCATCACGTCGGACACGAAGCCGTTGACCTCCAAAATACGCGGGGCCTCATGCATCAAGATACCTAAATACAGCAAATGAACGGGATAAGACATCTCCAAGGCGAATCCAGCCAGGCGGAGAGGGTCCACCGTATCAAAAAAACTTACTGAGGTCCCAATACAGCCCAACCGAACGCTCCCCAAGATATCTAGCAGTCTCATGGCCGATCTCTCGCAACAGCGCGGCCTGCAACGCCGAAGAGCCCCCAACCGCGGAATCCAAAAACATTTCACGCTCCCGAGACCACTCATCAATGTCACGGCCACGCGCACGACAATAGACCCTATACAACGACGGGCATTTGCAAACAGGGCGCTCCGCATCAGCCGCCTTAGGTAACAGAGCGATGATGCCCATCATCACCTGCGTGGGCCACATCACACAAGCTTCGCACTGATTGAGGAGATCCGCGTAGGCCCCAACAGCAGCCCCAGGGAGGGACGCCAAAATCCGCGGAGGCCAACAGTCAATGCCCACAGCAGTGTCAGCCTTGAACATCCGCGCAGCTCTGGACACCGCACAGGGGGTCAACGGTTCGAGATCACCAACGGCCGCCAGAGCCATACGGCGAACCACATCCAAAACTCCCGAGAGGGCCTCACGCTGCTCCCAAGGAGCAATCCAAAACGCGCTCCAAAAATCCTGCCGATACTGCATCATTTCCTCGGGCAATTGCTTCACCTCCGAGGGAGTAACCAAATACTCGAGGTCAGCCCCCTGATCATATTTGAGCCAAGAGTGAACCCTCTTGGCACCACGCGGCAAGGCCTTAAGAAGCCACTGCTTCATCTTCTCCTTAGACAGAGCGCGAGCATCATTCCAAGCCTGGCCGACCGCGTGAGCGACCGCATCACTAAAAAGATTCAGTCCATCGACCGACGGCGGGACGGCGGCCGGCTGAGCTATCCACCACTCGACGTGGTGCACAAGCCCAGGGAGGCAATGCGCGTGGACTTGACCCGACAAAACGTGCAACACACGACCAGCCCAATGCATATTATCCCAAGACTTCCGAGCCTTACACAGACGAAACCCCCACAAGGTCTGAGAAACATGAGCCCAGAAACACAGCGTAGGGGATTGGAAACTCTGACCACAGAAACCTCTACGTCCAATCTTGGCACGTCGAAAACTCTGGTAACCTCCACGCACACTACTCTCGCAAGGCAACAACTGCATCGCACAAGCGCGAGAGAGAAACATCAATTCGATAGCTCGGCTCCAAATACGGTACTGACGAGAGAGAGCAGGAGAAAGATGATCATGAACATGGGGTAAGTTATCTTCAAAATAAAAACGGAACCTCCAAGTCACCATCGTCAGACACCTGCGTCAACACAACTTCCCAGGGTAAATCAGGACCAGCACGATCAGGAAAAGGAGGAGGTTTGACACGCTTCCACAACGTCTGTTCAACCGCCCCATGGTCCAACGAAACCTTCAAACACGCATGTGTCTTAAATGGTGACGGTGTATACTTAGATACTCGCACGTAGCTGGCAATATCCTCCGAAGCGACCACGTAATCGATCAGGGAGCCGCGCCCCTGCGTGCAGGTGAACTCCACCAGCGACGGGACCAGCACTCGCCCTCGCGCAAGTCGTGGGAAGCCCGAAAGATCGAGATCACCAGCTGAGACATTGAAATCGCCCATCAAAATCCACGGAACCGACAACGTTCCCAGAAACTCCGAGACACCTCGCAATCTGTTCACATTCTCTCCACAGATTCCCAGGCCCGACACCAAATAAACAACGCCCACAGCGATCACCGCTTTTTTGGTGCGTAACTCAAGAAACATCCAATGGCTTCCAGAGCCATGGTCCTGCACTGGACCGTCTAAATGCAAAAAACGTTGAAACGACAATCCCCGAGACACTACGGCCCCCACCCCACCATGGGTTCCACCCCCTGGGGAGGGCGTAGCAGGAATGAAATGGGGTCGCCATTTCAGCTGGTGCGCTCGCCTCTTCGCCAGTTTCGCCCCATCACAATCCAGGTGATGCTCGGCAAAGAAGAAACCGTCACAACTGGCTCGCACGCTGGAAGCGAACGAGACGGCAACCTCGTTCCACGAGGTGATATTACAGAAAAGGAAATCGATACTGGTGGCCGCCTCGTGACCACCAGTGTGCCTGTTAAAAACGGGCTTGCGCAACAGGGGCCTCACCATCAGCAGCCGCCGCCGCCTCACGTAGTCCGTCGTCGACACCATCTGCAGGGACAGGGACTTGGGCCACGCCGCCGGCAGGGGCCGCCTGCTGAAGCACTCTGCCAAAACTCGAGGCCGTGTCCTCGCGGATAGTTCGCGGCCGCTTGACCGCTTTGCAATTGGCGGACTTGACCAAGAGCTTCTCCATACGATCTTGCTGTGTAGCTTCGAGGGGCCCTTCACGTGCCCGCTTGCGCAGAGACTCCAACTCATCACGCTGAGCATCACCATACTCTGAAGCCATCTCGGAATCGGCGTCGTCCTCCTTGACCGCGCTGACGTAGATCCGCTGGAGCTCCCGCCAGAACTCCAGCCGCTGACGATGCTCCGCACACCAGCGCGCCAGACCCTCTTCATCAAGCTGAGCCAGATTAGGAGGCTGAAGCACCGCCTGCGGCGCACCCGCGCCAGCCGCCACGCCGCCATCCACGCCAGCGGCATGGGCACCCACGGGGGCAGCAGGCGCAGCGCCTCCTCGACCGCCGCCGCCTGCGACAGGAGGAGCGCCCGCCGCGCCGCCAGCGCCACCGCCAGGAGCAACCCCAGCGCCGCCAGCAGCACCAGCGCCACGCGCCGCGCCAGCCGCCATAGCCGCCTGCGCTTCGTACAGAGCGCGAGCGGCCTCGCCTCGAACACGGTCCTCCTCCTCACGCTGTAGGCGTCGGAAGTCAGCCTCCACGAAGCCATCCTTCGCCAACGTAGCCTCACGCAGCAGGACCTGTTTGGCTTGCAGCACCTGCACCGCCTCACGATGTTGCGTCTCAGCAGCATGAAGAGCTTCCCGATGGCGAACCACAGCCGCCAGCCGAGCTTCCACGTCGCCCTGAGCAATCCGTTCAGCTCGCGACTGCACCTCGACCGCCTTCGCCAGGGCAGTACGCTTCGCAGCCACGAGCTTCTCCATCTCGTTCTCAGTGGCAGGTTCAGGCGGGGGAGCAGGTGGCGCGTGCGGCTCCGCCGCGGCCGCCGCGCCAAGCTCCCCGAGCGCCCCTGCCAAGTGCGGGTACTTGGCCGCCAGCCACTCGAGATCGCCAGCAGCATCACGGCCACCAGCGTCCTTAGCAGCAGGCTCTCCGACGTCAAGATAGCAGCCACCGCACTTACTGCAACTCCAGTTGCCGTACTTGTCGAACTCCCAGTGCCCACAGGCACCGCACACTGAGTAGGTATCTCGACGCTGGGCTTCACGACCCCATGCGCCGCCGTAGCCACGCTTGCGACCTCCGCGCCCTTGGTACCAGGGGGCACGCGACCGCCACGACATGACCTGCTAGCGGGGGCCCAACTCCCGCAGTGAAGGCCAACACAAACTGAAGCGGGGGCCCAACTCCCGCGGATGAGGCCAGAAACAGGTGTCGGACTGAACAGTCCTCGCGCTGCTACTGTCCAGCAGCTTCCGTTTTGGCACGAGGGCGCGGAGCCCAGCAGTGCAAGCATCTTGAGCCAAAATGGCTACGGGAGGAGGAGGGGGAGGGGGAGAGGGAGGAGGAGGAGGAGGAGGAGTAGGAGGAGGAGGAGGAGGAGGAGGAGGAGGAGGAGGAGGAGGAGGAGGAGGAGTCGTCGTCGTCGCACCCATTCGAGCTCAAGTTCGTCTGCTGGCAACTGACCGCTGCTACGCTCTGGAGGAGGAGGAGAAGGAGGAGGAGGAGGAGGAGGAGGATGGGGAGTGAACAGCTTGAGGATGAGAAGGCCCAGCACCGAGAGAGCTCAGCGGCAACCTGGAGCGATCCTTCCACGAGGCGGTCGGCCGGCCGGCCCTGTCTCTGGCCCAGCCTTTTTCAACGAAAAATTGAAAATATCCAAACAATGCTCCAAAATGGTCAAAAAATACAAAAAATGGTCCCCATACTGTTTTTGGTCTATTTTTGAACATCCCCCCTGTAGAGGGACAGGCCCGACTTAAGCCCAGTCCTCACAAGCCCAGGCTATTCGCAATTCCAAAGACATGGGTCATTCCAGGGCCACGAGGCTGCGGCCCAGGCTGGCTGGGAGAGAGGGCGGGCGACTGCAGAGAGGTGCCAAGTCGGCGGCCTGGCCCGATTGAGGGGCCACCTGGCTCAGCACACGCCGGGGAACGCCCGCGAACACCGGGGCTGCATCGCCAGTGACGTGAGACAACACATGCGGGCACTGACGGAGACAATGAACTTCACCAGACCTGAGTATTACCCGCGAGATGCGGTGGCGAACAAGGTGACAGAGAGAGAGAGAGGGAGGGAGCAACAAGGATCGAGTAGAAGCGTCGTCAAAGAACGAGTACCAAGCAATCCAACACTCCCCATCTGCAAAGGACACTGTTTTTTGAGGATCGGCGGTAATCCGGATTATCGGGGGGAGGGGCTGGCCGATCACCCAACCTTCGCGCTGTGGGCAGCCCCGCATATGCCCGCGCACACCACTGCTGAGGCCCCTACGACTGCTGACGATGCTGCGACGATGCTACTAGTTATTCGTGCTGTGACTATGCAGGCGCCGTCTGGGAATGCCGAAGGGATATGTCTGGACCTGCTCAACCGACAGGATGAGCTTATCCTTGCGGGGGGGAGTGGGGGGCGAGCCCGACAACCCGGTCGATCACAGGACCCTCGAAAGACAATCTCCAGGAAAGCGGAGTGAGAGAGAGAGAGAGGGAGCGAGACAGACAGACAGACAGGCAGAGTGATGCTCGGGCGCGATGTTTTCTGAGTGCGCAGCCACGCGCTCCAACGACCGAGCAGCGACCGAGGCGCCTTCATGCGCCCTCTTGCCTCTGGGCGGCGCGCCGGCGACGTGTGCAAAAAGCTGGCTGCGGCTGGGCGGCATGCCTTCAGCATCGCCTCAAAATCCCCCGACGCAGCTCCCCTGAACGGCACGAGAGTGAAGGCAGAGCAACCGTGATGTGACGGTGGCATATACAGTATGTGCGAGGAAGTAAGCGTTAAGGGACGGCAGCAATTGGGTGATCATGAGTGCAGTGCTGAGGAAGATAAGGAGGAAAAGGAAGAGGAGGAAGCGCAGGAAGGGAGAGGGGTCCCCCTTCCTAACGGTCCCGCCCCCCCTCCGCTATTGATCCGCCAACGCTGAAGACGCAGATGGGGAAGCCAGCGCGAGGAAATCCCACGACTCCTGGCGCAGTCTTTTGAATGTCAACGAGTCCTGATCATGTGAGACAGCGCCTGGGAAGGCCAAGGAACGTTCGAAAATGGTTGCCAAAATCACATGTCGAAGGAATGTTTGAGAAGCAAGCTGAAAGCCAGCGATCCGGAGCGCATCTCTGCTCCACCCCATCCCAATACCCCCGAGGATCAACCTGCAAGTGTACATGCAATTGCCGAGTGCGGACAGAGAGCGTCAGAGGGAGCCAGGCAGACAGACCACCGCACTTGCGTATGGCATTCCCCGCCACGCGCTTGGACCCTTCAAATGATGCCGCCAATCGGACATGTTCCGAAGAAAGAGCAGCATGAACGAGCGGGCCACAATGGATAGATAAACCTGCAAGCGCGAACATTGCATCCCTTAGGGAGCTCAAGCGTCGCTGTATTGCAAGCGGTGTGCCGCTGCTTTCGAGAGAGCGTCGTCGACTTTTGTGGAGAGCTCTTCGCTAGAGCAAGAAAAGTGCCCGCGTGGCCGCCAAAGCAATGATGGGACATTTCAAATGTCTGCTAACATCACATTTCCGAAACTTGACTTTGCGACACTGACCCGGAACATTCCACCGCGGGGGTTGAAGGCTGGTGGCGGGTGGAACTTGGCCAAGCAGGAATACTGCAGGCTGGCGATTCACTCTCGAATGCAAGGGCACGCAGAATGTTTGATACAGGACCAACGGGTCGCAACAATGGAAAACCCCGGGGGGCTTCAAGTTTCAGCCCCACGGACACTGAGAAGAGCAACGGGAGCACAAAGCCAGACGAGCGCGTGAAAAGGTGCCTTCAGAAGCCTAACCAGGTTGCCTGAGAGGAGCCAACTTCTCGAAGTAGCCTGCGCGATATCAAAACTGACCGACTGCACAAACAATATCCTGCCGCACTTCCCTTATATGCCTCGTCATTGCCGTATCCTTCTGCATCGATCATTCAACTCTGCCTGAACACATCGGCGTCAACGACTGAAGAACCGGGTGCGCTGGTAGGACAGAACCCAGACATTATTCGTCACGATTTGTTTACCGCGTGGCTCCCCCGCGGTCTGGACCCCTACCCCAAGACCAGCTTTTCATCCTGAGTCGCTTTTAGAAAGTCGAGGGGCTCGGCGACGGCCGCTGGAGGCCGAGACTGGGCAAACAACCTTTCGTCGCGAGATGTTCCATTACTAGGAAACGTCAGGGAAATCAGACAGCGGCCCCCGCCGGAAAAATGCGGATCTCACATATAAGCTGTTCGTTTTTGCTCACCCTTGGAGGGATAGCCGGCAACAATGTAATGCGTTGCCCACGCGAACAGTTGTCGTCGACAAAATGTGCGGTGCGCGCGCCGCGCACGCATCCGCCACGGCGACAACAACCCACTGGGGATTGCTACTACCCTCGTCAAAATTAACCTCAACAGTTGCTGGCACGTCATTTCGATTTCGGCGCGCCCCTCAATGTCGACACGCCGCCCCTTCAATGTCGGGGCGAGGGCAAAGATAGTCTGACCGAAATTGACTCGAAAGCTTGACGTCGACCGACATTGGAGGGGCGTCGCATGCAAGTACCCCGCACTCATCGATACTCGGCCCCAGATCTTCCGACAAGCAGTTCAACCACGTCAGACATTTTTGAGGTTAATTTTGACGAGGGTTGTAGGATGCGTCTTGGCTCTTTGGTATGCTATATCGTCCAAGGGTGACCCCATCGCTGCAGTTCCCAAGTCGTATACAAAGCACGTCCTTACCTTCCCTCTGACAGGCACTTCGTGCCAAGGCTGGAACAAAGGCTGCAAAGATGCCCCAAGCTAAGTGTTTCCTCAAAGAGACTGGCGCTGAGCTGACATTGCCTCAGGGTTGTCGCGGCTACCGACGATAAATCATACATGCGCATCGGGGACGGCAAAGGGAATGTGCAGGAGAGAGAGAACAGCGAGAGAGAGAGAGAGAGACCATCAACAACAAAAAACGAAAAAGGGAACAGAGCATAAAGCATAAGGCGAGAGGAGATCGAGTAGAGAGAAACAAAGCAGGACAGCGGGGGGGAACTCAACACCAGATCCCAGCGTGAGGCTCAACTGGCCAATCATCTAGACAGAAGTCGGAACAACGAAGTTCATAATATCTGGCACAACGTGCAAGAGGGCAGCTTATCTCCCACCATGCCGCGAGGCACTGAGCATTTCGCATAGACATGGGATTCTCTTACTTGCGCTCCTAAGATCCCAGAACTGACGTAGTCTTGGAGGCTACTGGGGTGTCTGGACTGGTTGGGACCTCAGAACATCGGTCAGGAGGGGGATGAAACCAAATCCGCTCAAAATCTGTCGAAGCACCCCTCCTGGGGTCCAGCAGTTGTTCACCCCAAATGCGTGTTGACAGTCCCGGGGCCCGACGAAAGGCCCTCGGAGACCGAAAATGGTCAGAACCCCGAACCTCGAACCCCGCCCCCCTTACCTGCTCGGCGGAACCAGTAGTGGGCCACCTCACATCCCCAGCCGACTCCAACCCATGGTTCACCCTGACCCTCCACCTTCCACACCTTCTGACCAGCAGGTGGCGGATTCTGTGATCATCCCGAGGGGCACGCAAAAACATAAACTCTCGGAGCTCCGCACCGAGTTTTTGGACTTGCGCTGGACCCCCTCCCCGGGGCGCAGAGAGAGCGCCCGAGCCGGCGCCAGAAGGCGCCACCAAGGGGATCCCAGCGCCGCTCCAAGAGATCTGCGCGGAGCTCCGAGAGTGTCTGTTGAAGCCATATCTTGCCCCTCGAGAAAAAATCACTACATCAGCCACCTGCTGGTCGGAGGGTGTGAAAGGTGGCGAGTCAGGTTTCAGGCGGCGGCTGATGATGATGTTGTTGATGATGATGACGATGTGATGATGATGTTACTGATCATGGTGATGATTATAAAATGATGAGGCTGATGAGGCTGATGAAGATACTGATGATGATGCTGATGATGATGATGATGATGATGAGGATAAGGATGAGGATAAGGATAAGGATGATGATGATGCTGATGATGCTGATGCTGATGATGATGATGATGATGATGATGATGATGATGATGATGATGGTGATGATGATGAGGCGGTTCCTGTGATTGGCGGCCTGCTGGGTCCAGACCCAACCGCTCCTGGAGCAAGGCACCCCAGCAGGCTAGCGCGGGACGCCTGAGACCTTGAACTGCCCCGTGCGGCTGTCCACGGTCAGCGGGCTGCCCTTCCACGTCTTCCACGGCGGCCTCGCAAGAGAAGCACACATTGCCGACGATCTTTCGACACTACTCGACGCAAATCGACGCGAAGCGACGCTGGCCGACGCTAATCGACACGAATCGACGCTGACCGACGCTAACCGCTGACCGACGCTGACCGACGCTAATATATGCTGACCGACGCTAATCGATGCTGACCGACGCTAAGCGACGCTAGCCAACGCTAATCGACGCTAGATCACGGCTAATTGGCGCTCAGTCGCAGCTTTCAAATCGACGATCTTGTGCCAGCGCACGCGAATGCACTCGAAAGACTGAGCTGCGAGGACATACGACGCTCCCATCAACTGCTACCGAATGATACGGTTTTTTAACAGGCGTTTCTTCCCCGATGTCAGTCCCTGGGGCCAGCCATCGGGCCGTTGAGCCATCGGAAACGGATCTGAGGCCACAAAACTGGCCCCGGGGAAAGAGTCGGGGGCCTTAGGGCTGCGGACTGCAAAAAAACATGTCGGACGTAGCTCCGCCGCCCACCCCGCTGATCTTTCGCATGCAGGGAGTTCTATTCCACGTCGCCAGAACGCAAATGATCTTGCGGATCAGCCCTTCCCGCGACCAGACCAAACAATGGGTCCCCCCTCGGGGGGAAGAAGCTTGCCCCTCCCCCTGCCCTCTCCCTGGTAGTCTGGACGGGGTGAGTCGTGCACACGCTCTGGCACAGATTAGTTACATATCGGTGGATTTGGCGTGTGGGCGCCAGATCCACGGATCGGGGGAGGTACCCCCCGACACTTGCAGCCCGTGCCACCCGACTTGGCGACGGAGAGCGTGGATGTTGCATGGAAGCGGGACCCGTCGCTAATACACGCGCCCTAATTCAACGTGTTCGTTTCCACGAGAGGCGTCAGAATGCCCAAACTGCCTCCCCCGCCTCGGCCGCCAGGCGCACCAGGATGGCTTGCCGCCCCTTGTGGCCCTGTTGCCCCGCCGCCCCGCGGGCCGACCGGGCAAGCGCGGATCGAGCGCTGCCCCGCAGAGGTCGCGAGGGCAAACCCTAGATGTGTCAGCCCTGCCCGCCTAAGAGCAGACACAGCTTGCGAGATACTCCTGGTACCGTACCAGCTCTGGGCCCCCGAGACTACAAGGACCGCCGAACTACATACATGGCCCCACCCCCCTCCGTGGACTGCAACCCACCTCCCCTCCCCCAGTGACGAGCGGATATACTCAAAGCAGGATGCACCAAGGACCGCGACAAATGTTGCGCCTCGGAATGCGCCAAAGGCTGCACCATGATTGGGGCGGTGGGTGGCGCCGACGCTTTCCCAATGGGCTGCGGCATAGGTTGCGCCAAACATTGCACTCCAGAATGCGCGATGGCTGCGCTATTTGTTGTGTCCTTGGTTACGTCCCGGGTTGCGCAATTGTTTGCACCATAGGTTTCGGCAAGTGCTTGGCCCGAGGTTGCGCCATGGGACGCACCTGCGCCGTGGACGAGGAGTTGTACCACGGGTAGCGCCATGGGTTGCGCCAAATGCTGCGCCATGTATTGCTCTATGTCTTGGTCCATGTGTAGTGCCATGTCATACGGACGTCATACTATTGCTCCGAGGGTTGCAACATGAGTAGGTTTACGGCCTCCGACACAGACACAACTGATTTTGGTTATGTCATTGATTGCGCCTCACCCGCCCACCAAAAAAGCCCGTGTTGGAGCGACAGGTCAAGGTCAACCAACACGCCATGCACTTCCCAAACGATCGGGCGGCGCCTGGAAATCAAACGGCCTGCTCACGCGAAGAGCCGTTATGAAGTCAAACTTATATTTCCAGAAAGGACATGTAAGCAAGCGTGGACCCAAAACACGGCGACCCCCTGCTCTCCGAAGAAGTGCGCTATGTGGTGCAGAATACGTGAAAAGCTACGTGGTGCAAGTTGTGCGGGGCAAGCCATGTGGTGCAAGCCATTCGGCGCAAGCTGTGCAATGCAAGCTACGTGGCACACGCTGTGTGGTGTGGACCATGTGGAGCAGGCCATGCGGTGCAAGCTATGTGGCGCAGGCTGCGTGATGCAAGCCATGCGGTGCACTATTCGGTGGAGGAGGCCGGGTGGTGCGAGCTCCGTGATGCCATGCGGTGCAAGCTATGTGGTGCAGGCTACGTGAAAAGCTATGGGGTGCAAGTTCTGCGGGGCAAGCCACATGGTGCAAGCCATTCTGCGCAAGCTGTGTGATGCAAGCTATGTGGCACACGCTATGTGGTGTAGACCATGTGGAGCAGGCCGTGCGGTGCAAGCTGTGTGGTGCAGGCTGCGTGATGCAAGCCATGCGGTGCACTATCGGTGGAGGAAGCCAGGTGGTGCGAGCTCTGCGGTGCAGTCTATGGGGTGCAAACTCTGTGGTGTAAGCTGTTTCGGGCACGCCGTGGTCCAAGTTGTTCGGTGCACACTCATTCAGTGCAATCGATGCGGTGCCGCGCGGCGGGCGGTGTGCAGGGGCGGGTTCCGCGCGGCCGCGGAGATCGTCTCCGGCACGCTGGCGCCGGGATGGCGGCTGGACCCCCTCGCCGTGGTTGTCCTCGCGCCGCTGTGGCAGGCGGCGAATGCTCTCCGTCGCCAGCGGTTCCCCGCCGCCCTGTGGCGCGCGGCGGCCGGGGCGCTGGCTGCCGGGCACGGACGCGGCGCGGGCCCGATAGCTGCCGCGGCCCGCAGCTTGGCGGAACTCCAGCTCGGGGACGACGTCGAGGTCTGGAGAGGGGTGCCCGCCGCGCCAGCAGGCTGGCGCCCAGAGGAGCGCCCGCTGCAGGACACCCGCAGCGTCCTCCTAGAAGCCTGGGCGCGCCGGGAGGCCCGCGTCCTGGCGGCCCGCCGCGGGGACTTCGCGCACGTCCAGGCGGGCGTTGACAGGTGGGCCACGCGGCGGCTGCTGGAGGAGGGCGCCCTGGCACCAGACGCCGCCGGCGCCCTGCGCGCGGTGCTGACAGGCAACGTGGTCACGGAGTCGGTGGCCGCGAATTGGGGCAAGCCGCAGCGGTGTCCGCACTGCGGAGCCACGTGCGAGGACCGGCAGCACCGGTTCTGGGACTGCCCGCGGTGGGCCGACGGGACGCGCGCGGCGCTCGTGGCCGGGGGCCTCTCGGCCGCTGCCTTGCAGGCCCGCCTGCCGCCGGGGGTCGCGAACACCGGCGTGCTTCCGCTCGACGCTCGCTTGGCCGCGCTCGCTGCTGCCGCCAGCGCCAGCGCCCCCGCGCCCGCGCTCCCCGCGCCTCACCCGCCCGCGGAAGGCGCAACGCGGTGCCGGGCCTGGACCGACGGCGCGTGCGAGCACCCGACCGACCCGCTGCTGGCCCGCGCCGGGTTTGGCTTCCGCTTGGAGGACGCCGCGGGCGCGCGAACCGACCACAGCGGCGGGGTCGACGGGGCGCAGACTGCGCAGCGCGCCGAGCTCACAGCAGCGGTGCAGGCGCTTCACGCGGCCCAGCAGCCCCTCGAGATCGTCACAGACTCGCAGTACGTCCGGAACGGCGTCTCCGCGATCCGGCAGGGCGCTACCCCACGGGAGTGGTCGCACTCTGACTTGTGGGAACTCATCGCACCCCACTGCCGCTGCGGGTTCCTGACGGCGAGGTGGATCAAGGGCCACCTAGACGAGGACGGCGCCGCCGCGCGCGGGGTGTCCACCGAGGACCGGCTGGGCAATGCCGCCGCGGACGAGCTGGCTGGGGCGGCGGCCTCAGCGCGGCTGCCGCCGCCGGACCTCCTGCAGGCTCGCGGGGTCACGCTGCACGCCCTCCGGACGTTGCAGGTGATGCTGGCCGAGGTCGAGCTGGCGGCGCTCAAAGCCAACCACGGCAGCGCTGGGCAGGCGCCGCCGCGCGTGCGACGCCGCTGGGCCGCACCAGGGCCGCGGCGCCGAGAACCCCACGTGGGCGGCGACGCGGCGGTGGCGGCGGCCGCGGCCAGGAGAGCGCTGCCGGCAGCGCCGCGCCAGAGCCCCGCCGAAGCGGCCCGCGCGCTCTTCGCCGGCGGCGCCTGGCGCGCGCACGTCGCTTCGCAGGGGCCGGGGTGGGTCGCCTGCGTGCGATGCGGCTGCTGGGCTCCCGCGTGGGAGCTCCTGGCCAGCCGCCCCTGCGGTGGGTGGGCGCCGGCGCTGCCGCCACGGGCAGCGGGTCTGCTTCTGCTCCCAGCAGCGCGCGCGGGCGGCGCGGAGGCGGCTTGGGCTGGGAGGCCCTCCCGAGGGCGCCGGACTAATTTAGTGCATGCAGCCGGGCTGCGGGCCGCGCGCCTGGCCCTCCCCCTCCCCTCCCCGCTCCCTCCCCCCTTCCGCCTCCTGCCTCCCTGCCACTGGGCTCCGCTGGATGGTAAAAAAAACAAAGAAAAGTGCAGTCGATGCGGTGCAAGCTGAGCGAAGCAGCGCTCCAGACGCCCACGAGGCGCCCAGGGCCGGCCAGCAGCCGAACACATAGGCGTCTTGCCCAAATGCTTGAAAACAACCCAGAATCGTCGTTGTCGTCGTCGTCGTCGTCGTCGTCGTCGTCGTCGTCGTCGTCGTCGTCGTCGTCGTCGTCGTCGTCGTCGTCGTGGTGGCCGTCGTCCCCCTTCACGGTCGGCGGCACTGGCCGCAAAACCTTCGCGAAATTCGAAAACAACTGAGAACACCTCTAAGTGCAGGCACTGTCTGTGGGGAGACCATGAGCAGAGGCCGTCTGGAGAGGCAGGCCGTCGAGAGGAGGATGGTGAAGAGGTCGTGAACGGCGAAGGGCGAGAATATCATGGATGAATATTATTGGCGGCGTGGACAGAGGATGCAGTAAGGGGCCAGCCTTCTGAGAAGCGCGGGGGACTTCTACGAAGGCCAGGGGCTTCGCGGAGACGGCACCCTGGCTTCTTAGTAGCCTTCTTAGAAGCCTCCAGGTCCCTCTGAGAAGGCCCCCTGCCTGCTGAGAAACACCCCTTGGCTTCTTGGAAGGCCTCTACATTGTGGCCTTCTACGAAGGCCCTCTGCCTTCTACGAAATCCACCCCCGTCGCGTCACACAATTGTGCGCGCCGCCAACACCCGTCATACATGGCGCCGGACTGGGCCGCCGATCGAGCACTCTCGGCGGTGGACAAACCTCCCTTTGGTAAACCACCCTTTAGTGACAACGGCCTGGGGCCGAAACCGACGGACCTGGACCCGCAAAAATGACGGCCGCGACGCCCTCTCGTGAACCGAAAACGGCCAATTCGCTAATCGACGCGTCAGGGTCGGAGGTCGATCAACCTCCGACACTCTTGCAGCCCTGCTCTCCCTCTTCTCTACGGCCGGGCGCGCGTGGCCACGCAACTCCCTACGAATGGAACTTGCCAGTCCCGGCGCCATGTTGTCCGCACCGATCTCGGACGCCAGAGGCCGCTTCTGAGCCCTGGGAGTAGGTCGGGCATGTCCTCCGACAGGCGGATCTTGGACGAAAAACGACAAACGTTCAAACAACAAGTCAAACATTGTAGAACAGCATCGTCCCCAGACTTTTTTCTACTATCTTTGAACACTCCTCCTGTAGAGGGACATGCCCGACTTAACCCTGGGACCAGAAAACCAGCCCAGGTGAGGGTGTCGAGATCTCAGGTGCCCCGCACGCTCCGGCCTACCGAATCTGGCACGTCCACGTGCGCTGCGTGTGTGCTCGTTCGCGCCTCGTGTTCGGGGGGGCAAACATCGATGCCGCTGCCGCTGCCCCACGGAGCTCTCCAAGGGCACGTTCTGAGTGAGACTTCGAGGCGGATGCAGCCGTGGGAAAGGACTGCCCCGATCGAAGGACCACCCCAGCCGATCCTCTGGCCAACCCCAACCAGCCCTCTGGCCAACATCGACCAAGCCAAGCCAAGCCTCCCAACCAACCCTGGTTAGGGCAACTCTTGCTAGCGGCGATCATATCAGAGTGAGGTAGCCGAGCTGTCCTACACCATTCCTGGGTGCGTGCCTGAAGTGGAGTGCCACAGTGAGGACCCCTGTTATTGCTTGCTGTTGTTTGTTGTTGTTTGTCGGTGCTGTTGCCGTCGTCGTCGTCGTCGGTCTTCTTTCCTCAGTGGTCAGTCGTCGTCGTCGTCGTCGTCGTCGTCGTCGTCGTCGTCGTCGTCGTCGTCGGCGTTCTCGTCTTCGTGAACGCCGTCGCCGTCGTCTGGCACCAGTCGTCAGTCATCAGTCGTCAGTCGTCGCCGTCGTCGCCGTTGCCGTCCGTCGGTCGTCGGCCGTCCATCGACGGTCGGCCGTCCATCGATCGTCGCCGGCCGTCCTCGGCCGTCGCCGTCCGTCGCCGTACGTCGTCTTCGTTTTCGTGGTCGTCGTCGTCGTAGTGTTCGTCGTCGTCGTGGTCGTCGTGGTCGTCGTGGTCGTCGTGGTCGTCGTCGTCGTCGTGGTCGTCTTCGTTTTCGTGGTCGTCGTCGTCGTGGTGTTCGTCGTCGTCATCGTGGTCGTCGTCGTCGTCGTTGTCATCGTGGTCATGGTCGTCGTCGTCGTCCTCCTCCTCCTCACAACGACCCGCCCGCGGCCCACACGCGACCCGCCCGCGACCACCCGCGACCCACCCGCGACACGCCCGAGATCCACCCGCGATCCACCCTGATTGCTATGACGAAAATTCCCCGCCTGCGGCAGGTTCGCTGTGCAATTCGGCAGAATATTCACCCGCGGCGGGCTTCATCAGATCCTCGCAAACTGCCGACGACCCCGCCGCCCCCTCAAACTTCTCCGCAACTGCGGGGGCCATGGTACAGTCGGGGCCCTGAAGACGGAACCCTTTTCGTTGGGGAGGGGCTCGGTGTTCCTTGATTGTTCTGCAGTTTGCCTTCGGTTTTCCTGAGGTTTCCCATGGGAAATCGAAGTTCAACTTATGGGAGAAATGGGCCTCGTTCCTTATTTGGAGTTCCTTAGGTCAACGCCCCCACGGTATACACGGACCCCCGACGCCGAGATTTCTGCCAGCGCACGCGCGCGCGGAAAACCCGACCCATTACTACAGGGGCCGGTGCTCCATCCCGAGCCGCCTTTCGACGGTCCTGGGGCCCGGCGAGGGCCCCAGGACCCGAACACGGCAACATCCGCCGTGCTTGTGCGCCGCCAGAGGGGGTGGGCCTTCTCCTCCCCTCCTCCTCCTCCTCCTCCTCCTCCTCCTCCTCCTCCTCCTCCTCCTCGTCATCCTCTCCCGTCTCCGCCGGGCAGCACGGCCTGCCCGGGACCCTCGTGGCGTCTCGCACTCGAGGGCGTGGGTAGGTCAGCGTGCGCATGTTCGATTCGAGCCGTGCACCGACACAGCTCTTCTGGCTCCGAAGGGACCAACCTCCTTGCGAAAGGGCGTATCGAGCATCGGTGTTCGCGCACCTCCCCAGGGCGCCGCGGGAGGCAGGCGCCGTGGGAGTATGGGACGCGCAGAGACATACTAGTACTATATGTCCTCCTCGGAGGCGCGCGTCCGACCCGAACATATAGTTATACCCATTCGGCAGTATATCGCTTCCCCAGCGGTGTGGCCAGAAAGCGCCCACCACGACGCATATACTGTAAGATCTCTCGTTGCGCGCGTCGCCCCTGGGGGGGCGACGAACATATAATACAGTCAACCCGCAGAGTAAGGATGCGCGATAAGGATGCAAGGGCCTTGGACGCCCATTTCGAAGCTTCCGAGCGGGGCGCGGCCAACGAAAGCGTCCAAGGATGGACCCGGGAAGCGAGGATGCCTTGGTACCATTGGGAGGGATGCCTATCCTTACTCTGCGGGTCGACTGTACAAGCATGCTGGGGGGACGCCGATATCGTCTGTTCCTCAGCTGAGCCTGCGCTCTGCGCAGGGCGCCCCCCCCACCCGCGGGCGAGGCCGGGAGCTCGCGGCCGCCGCGCGGCCTCGGGCTGGCGTCGCGGCTGCTCGCAGGCCGCAGGCTGGGCAGGGACTGCGTCATCAGCTGCTTCTCCTCCCGGGCCCGCTGCTCCGGGGCAGAGCAGGAAGGCGTCTCGCGGGGCAAGGCAAGAGGGCGCTGCTCTTCAGACTGGAGCAGGGTTGCTCACGTGGCACTCCGCCCCCCTACTCCGACCGCCCCCTTCCGCCGCCATCTCAAGCGGCGCTGGGCCAAAAAGACGTGTCAGTGAGCCCCGACTTACGTGAAGTTCACATGTCCTTTCGTGCCTCGCCACGCCCCCTCCCTCCCCCCTTCATCCCCCCCTCCCCCTCCCCATGCAAGCGAACTTGCCGAAATCTAAGCAGAGGTGCCTCCAACTGGGAAGTGTCCGTTCTGGGGTGGGGTGCGCCATCCCGGCGCCGCAGGTGGGGTGAAGCCGGCTTACAGATCACAAATGAGGGTAGAATCCTGAATTGCATGGTGCAGAGGTGGCTAAGCAATTCGTGAGACCTCATGGAGAGTGGGGACCATATGGTCTAGACTTGAAGGAGAGGCAGTTCTCCAAGCTCGAAGCCTGAATGCCAATGTATATCAGCCACAAGCGCGAGGCTGGTAAATCAAGCCCTGGAGCGTTAAACCAAATCTACGGCTCAGGCTGTCAAGATGTCTGAATGATGTCACAACGGCAAACCTTAGCACCCAGTAGCGTGGATCGAGTAACCGCAACAAGTGCTGCGCAACCGACAAACGGCCTTTCAACATGCAGAAATGCCCCCCCGCCTTTGAAACATGAACTCTACCTCCTGGACGCTTGATCCGTGAGAGGTGGAAGCGGCGCCCTATCACATTATAAAAAGATCTGGCCTCTGTCCCTCTTGTATTCAGCATGCGTTATGCTCCCATTGTTGACCAGCGTGGGCCCCTAACAATGGGTTCGTGAACTCTGCATGTCTAGTACATGCCGTGTGAGCTATGTAGTGCACGCTGACTGAGGCATGTAGTGTAAGCTATGCAGTGCAAGCGTTGTGGTACAAGCGATGTGGTGCAAGCTATGTGGTGCAACGCCTGTAGTTTAGGTTAGGCGTTGCACGCTAAGTGGTGTAAGCTACTCGGTGTAGGCTGTGCGGTACAACGTATCTTGTGGGAGCTGTGTGGTGTTTGCTATGTGGTGCAAGCCATGCCCTGCAAGCTTAATTCGTCAGGCTATGAGGCACAAGCCCTGCAGTGCCGCAATCTATGCCCCAGTCCAACGCACGCTAGGCGCCCACGCGTGGGCACCCAGCGAGACCTCGGCACACCTGCCCAGCGCACGCCGTGCCGGCGAGGCGCCCACGGGCGGGCACCAGGCGCAACGTTGGCGCACACCCGTCCCGCGCACGAGGCGCCCACGAGGCGCCCACCGGGCGCAACCCAGGGCACGCCCACCCGGTGCGCGAGGCGCCCTCGAGGCGCCCGCCCTGGCGCCCGCGGGCGGGCACCCAGGCGGCACCTTCGTGGTCGCACCCAGCGCACGCTGGGCGCCGAAGGGCGGGCACCGGGCGAGACCTCGGCACGCCCACCAGGCACGCGAGGCGCCCACGAGGCGCCCACGGCAGGGCACCGGGCGAGACCTCTGCACGCCGAAGCAGCACGAGACGCCCACGCACCGCCCACGGGCGCCCACCAACCGGGCAACCTGCCGAAGGCCCGGCACGCCCAACCAGAGCAGTAAGGTTGGCACGCACTCCCCGGTGCAAGCGCCGTTTGCGGACAGTGGCGGCCAGGACACGCAGATCCACCTCATCGTGATCCTTACACACTGGCATGGATGTGCGACTTGAGATTGGCCGCAGTCTTGGGGTAGATAGAAAGTCCGCCGACCCCTTGGGGTCACGGCATGTGAGATGCTTCCCCCTCCCCAACCCCCTCCCCCCTCCCCCTGGGGCCTGGTCCGGCCGGTTTGGAAGGGGGGGGGGGGGGGGGCAAATCCATCATCCGCACACTCGGAGCCTCAGGAAGCCCCAAAACGGGCTAAAAAGGTTCCAAAGGTTCCCGGAACGGTCCAAGAGAGTTACGAATCGACGAAAGATCGCTCGAAAACGCAGAAGATTGCCTCCACACGGCTCCATAAATCCCCAAGACGTTTGAAGCAATATTACGTGGCGCCCCAAAGAGGCCCTCCAGAAATCGTCCCGTTTCCTAGGGAAAACGTGCATTTTCACCACATTCGCCCATTCGGCTTCCACGCGGCGCAAAACTGCCCAAGACGCCTCCAGGATCGACCCTCGCCAGCCGAAGAGGCTCCCAAGAAGGCTCCAAGACGGCTTCCGGGCGATCCACGAAGTCCCCAGAAACCATAGCAACGGCTTAGGAAAGCCGCATGACGGTCCCAAGAGGGGTTCAAAACGGGCCAAGAGGGCTCACAAAGGCTGTCTGGACGGCCCACGCGGGGGACGATTCGGTCCAAACCGCCCAAGATCGCCGCCAGACGGCCCCATGGGTGTCCAAGACGTTTGAAAACGCGACCACGAGGCGCTCCAAGAAGGGCTCCAAAAGCAAAAACCGTCCCATTCCCTAGGTCAAACGTGCATTTTCAGCGCATTCGCTTCTTGGGCTTTCACGAGGCCCACAAAGGCCCAATAAACCTCCAAGATCGACCCCTGTCACCCGAAGAGGCTCCCAAGAAGGCTCCAAGACGGCTTCCGGGCGATCCACGAAGGCTCCAGAAACATAGCAACGGCTTAAGAACGTAGCAGGACGATCCCAAGAGGGGTTCAAAACGGGCCAAGAGGGCTCACAAAGGCTGTCTGGACGGCCCACGCGGGGGACGATTCGGTCCAAACCGCCCAAGATTGCCTCCAGACAGCCCCATGGGCGACCAAGACGTTTGCATACGCGACCACGACGCGCTCCAAGCAGGCCTCCAGAAGCAAAACCCGCCCCATTCCTTTGGGAAAACGTGCATTTTCAGCATATTCGCTTCTTGGGTGTCCACGAGGCCCACAACGGCCCAGTAAACCTCTAAGGTCGACCTCTGGCACCCCACGAGACTCTCCAAAAGGCTCCACGACGGCCTCCGGGCGCCCCACGAAAGCCCCCAAAGCCATAGCAACGGCCCAGGGGAACGACGGTCCTAAGAGGGCTCCAAAACGTGTCTAGAGGGGCCTCACAGGCTGTCCGGACAGGCCACGCAGGGGACGATTGCTGCCGCCCCAAAGGGCCGGCGGTGTGGCGTAAACCAATGAATCAACGCTCGCAACCTAAAATCTAAAGATATGGCTTACTGCCGCATGTTGGACGTGTGGAAAATCTGGGATCAAAAAGGGACGTCGCACACTGCCCTTCGCAATATGCGTACGGCTCGGCCTAGGACAACACATGTACACCAACTGCGGCAGATAATCAAGATGTAAGACATGACGCCACGGGACGAAATACACCGCGTTGTCTCGTTCGATGATGCACGCAAAGCCTCGCGTTTCGCCGTTTGGGTATTCAGTTCCAGACTGGCGTGTCGAAGGGCAGTGTTCAGCTCCTTTCCTCAACAAAAATAAAATTTGACCCCAACCCACCCGACATACACTGCACGCGAAATGGAATATCACCCTCGGCCCCCTTTCAAACGATTTCTATATCAGAATCTCCAGGTGAGGGGTGCCAATCGAGACGCGTGTGCAATTAATGATGTAAGTGCTTTACTTATATGTATTATTTTTTGGGCCAGAATTATTTACATGCTTTATACATACATGATTTAAAAGCAAGGGGTGTACCGCCTCGTGGCGGCCGCTTATAAGAGTCATGGCCAGCAGGATCCGAACCGAAGAGGACGCGACCGTGGATGGAAGACATTAACACGAAACCAATGCATAACATTAGCAATTTGCCGTTCAAATAGATTGAGCGCCGCCCTTTCAACGACGACAACCGACGGAAATAAAACTACATCGGCGGTCCACGTTCATGTTTTGCATGCTTAGTGGCAACCTCCGATCGTGTCCAGCTCGGAACTCGCGGCCTGTGAATGGCGCAACTTCAGCATTACAACTCATGTCCGCGTTATTGTGCTCATCCACGGTGTTGTGAGATAACCCTTTAACTCCCAGAAGACGGGCCGCAGAGAACAGGCACTTCCGACCAGGGCCGCAAACGGGGTCCTTCCAATTGGTGTACTCGGGCGACCTCCCTGCCTGCGACGGGCTCTGAACCAGCGGCGGCATGAGGCAGTGAGACGTGTTCCTGCGGCGGCACACTCCCCGTCGGTAGACACGGCCACCACAACCCCGTCACTCCGTCGGCCACATGGCGAGAGAGAGAGAGAGAGACGGAACGAAACAGAGCGAGAGCGAGAGAGAGAGAGAGGCAATGGAGGTGAGACGGAAACATGGAGACTTTAACAGGACGACGCGTAGTCATTTGCTACCCCGGCTGAGCGAACTGACCAGGCCTTTCGAAGTACGATCTCAGTTGCAGATCGGCCACGGCTTCACAACTTCCACACGTATACTCAACTCAAGACGACCAACAATTTCATGGGCTGCCCATAGACGACCGGGATCGCTCCACGGGATAAACAAATCACAGGCACGGCGAAAAACAGAGCACGCCAACATCTGCGACCCGAGGCATGCAACAAGAATGCGCAACATGGTTGCCACTGCCCTCTGAATCAAAACATCGCCCCACCAGGCTCCAAGAGGAGCCCAAAGTGCTCTTAGAAGGCTCTAGGATGAAAACTACAAATGAGCGCCGCAGGAGCGCCCCAAGAGGGCCCCAATATGGAATATGGCACATGAGCGGCGAAGAAGGGGGAACCAATCAATGAACGGCATGCCCAAGGATGGCCACAACTCAGCCTGAAGATTGCCCCAGATGGTCCAAGACAGCCCCCAAGAGGTCCCAAAGAGGCTCACATCCTTCAAAACCATGGTGTTCTACCAAATTCTGTCTTTGTTCTTTCTTGCGCTTCCATTTGGACTTTGAGGCCTCGGAATAACCCAAGACGGCCCTAGATAGCTATAAGTGGACCCCAGAAGGACTCCGAGAGGGCCCCGACGGCCCCCAACATCGCTCCAGAAACGCACCAAAATGGCATCCAGAGGGGCCCACAAGGCTGGCCCAAGAGCAGGAATCAATGGGTGGCAGGACCGGAGATGGCCCCGAAGCAGCCCCGAAAGGCCCCAATATCGCCTCAAGAAGGCCCAAGATTGTCCAAGACAGCCCCAAGGAGGCTCCAGCAGAAAACCCGAGCAAAGGCCCCCCGAATGCACAAGCCACGACAGCCCACAAATGGGCCGAGCCTAACGTCAACGCATCTGCATGCCCCATGAGAATTGGCTTCTCGTCGTGTCCCGCGTCGATGGCGAAACTCCGCTGGGGACGTGCTCCGTTGAGAGTTGCCCAGGGTCCAACGCAGGAGCGGGTGGCGACGGTGATTCAGGATGGGCCGACGGAGCGCTCGAAGGCCCAGGCCTAGGCCCCCCGGCGGCTTAAGGTATGACCTCTTGAACTTCTAGGCTACGACGCATCACATGCACACGCCAGTTGTACGTTAAAGGTCTGAGGCCCCATCCTCCTCTTCGTAGAAGGCAAACGAACCTACCTCGCTTTTGACCACCCTCGCTTCCAAAAGTTACCAAACGATACCAGGCTACGGCCCGCACCAGTCAGGTCGCTTGACCAGGAGGCGCGTGGTATGATTTGATCTCGTCTGGAAGCGAAAGCGGGGTAGGAAATTCACGCTCTGACTTCTGGAGGCCTCCTAGATGGGGTCCGAGCACATGGGTTGAAGGATCGCGCTGCGTCGCCGATGCATAGGCGATGCATCGGCGACTTCGGCGATGCACGGGCGCCACCAGCGCGGAGAAAATCTGGCTCCACATCGAGCCGTATCGAAAACTATACCTGGGAGGTCTGATCTTCAGACGTTGCAGGCCTGTTGACCGAACGCAGGTGGCGTGGGGCGCGTGGGAAAACAGCGTGCCCGCGCTCCAGGGCTCCCAGGGGACACGCGTTTTTCGTCGGCGGCGAGGCGGCGAACTCCGCTCCAGCGAGAAGCTATGTAGGGGCACTAGCCAGCGAATTGGCCGGCGGGCAAAGAGAGAGGGGGGGGGACGGCCGAGAGGAAGAAGGCACGCCCAGACGCCGAAGCGTGCGACGACGAGCAGCCGGGCTCCCGGGGAACACGCGCCCTCGCCCAGGCTAGGGGGCCACATGGGAACCCTACCCCTACCCCCCACGATTTCTAAAGGGGAGGGTGGGGTTCACTTCGTTCGGGAGCTCACGAGCGAAGTGAACCCCACCCTCCCACTTCAAAATCGTGGGGGGTAGGGGTAGGGTTCGCATGTGGCCCCCTGCAGGCTGCCGGGCCCCACGCGCGACGACTCGGCGACCCTCTACGCCGCGGCTTGCGGTCGGCCGCCCGCGTGGCTCGTCGCTCCATCGGTCGCGCAAGGGCGCCCGCGCGCGACCCTCCGCCAGCAACTTCCGCGCGAGCGTCCGCGCCGTCGAGCCGGTCCTCCTCCTCCTCCTCCTCCTCCTCCTCCTCCTCCTCCCCCTCCTCCTCCTCCTCCTCTCCTCCTCCTCCTCCTCCTCCCCTCCTCTCTCCTCCTCCTCCTCCTCCTCCTCCTCCTCCTCCTCCTCCTCCTCCTCCTCCTCCTCCTCCCCCTCCTCCTCCCCCCTCCTCCCCGCCGTCGGCCTCCGTGGCGCGAGGAGCGCGGCAAGCCTGGCACCCAGCGGCGCACGCCCCCGCGAGGACACCACGGGTGCGCGCTCCCAGGGCCACGCGGGGCGGCACCCTCGGCGCGCAGACCTCGCGCGCGCCGTGCCTCGCCGACTGGGCCCAGGCTGCGCGTGGGGAGCCCGCAGTCCGCACAGGCCCTGCGCACCGTCGTGCCCCGTGCCCCGACCGCCCGTTTTCAGGACGGCCTTTCGTAGACAGCGCCAACGGGGAGCACGCCTCGCGAACTCCGCGCCTCACGGACCCAGGGGGGCGCCGAGCTGGCTCCTCAAGGCGGCCCCAGGACGTCCCGGTTCGGGACGCTCCTCGCGCGCTTCGTGCCTCTTGCCTCCCTGCAGAGGCCCTCGAGATCCGCTCAAAACGACCAAGGCGAGCCCCAGTTCTGCACACCCCTCATGAATAGAGAACCCAAACGCGCCCACGAGGGCTGCAGGATGCCGCCCCGACCCCTAGGCGGGACACTGCAACGACTGGTGCGCCGACCCTCGTCGAGGCCGCACCTCCAAACACCCGCTGACTGCGAGGTCTGCGTGCTCGTTTCCCCTGGCGGGGGCGCCATGACTTGCATCTGCGGCCTCAGCAGGTTTGACAATGCTCTGCGGATGAATGAGCCGATATGCAAAACTCCTGAGCAACGATGACCGGGCTACCGGATCGGCAGAGACAAGCTAGACGGGAACACGGGCATCGAGCAAGAACGACGCATATATTCCAAGCGAAAACGCCCACGCGTACTGCTCGGAGGCCCCTGCTCTCAGGAGTATGCGGAGGGCGCGGAAGGATGGGTACAGCAGGGGCGGATAGGGCAGAGGGAGGGGGAAAGAACGGGGGGAGGGCTGGGCGCTGGACGAAGGCACGTGTGGGGGCAGCGAGGTGGCAGAGGGAGGGAGCTTGGGAGGTACACGATGGGGGCCAGGGACAGCCGACCAGAGGACCAGGGTGCACAGGATGTTGAGGGGTGGGAGCCAAGGGTAAGAAGAGAGTCAGGAAAACACATCCTCGCGAAGGACCCAACCACATGCAATTGTAAGCACCGTCGTTGCGGATATCGCCTTCGGGGGATCTCCGCGTGGGGCCATGAAACATGCGAAGGGTGTGCCGACGTGGGGCGGGGCCGCCATGTGGGCGCTGCCACTGGTGCTTGAGGCGGAGCGCACTACGGGGCCGCGAAAAGTGTGAGGGGTGTGCGGCAGTGGGGCGGGGCCGCCAGTGGGGCATTCGGTGGGGCTCCCTATAGGGCAACGAAACAGTGTAATGGGCGGGGGAAACGCATTCGAAATCAGCCACTGGGGCCTTCTGTGCAGCTCCCCATGAGGCCACGGAGCGCTGTGCTGGATGGGGGGACCGCATGCGAACACCGCCATTGGAACCTTCGGTGGAGCTCCCTACGGGGCCATGAAGCGCTGCACTGGGTGGGGGAACCGCATGCTAGCGCATCCACTGGGGCATTCGGTGGAGCTCCCTATAGGGACACAAACCGCTACACTGGGTGGAGGTGACGCATGCGGGCGGTACCACTGGGGCCTTCGGTGGAGCTCTCCTTGGGGTCACGAAGCGCTGTACTGGGCGGGTGTGACGCATGCGGGCGGTGTCACTGGGGCCTTCGGTGGAGCTCCCTATGGGGCCACGGAACGCTGTACTGGGTGGGGGGTGACGCATGCGGGCGGTGCCCTTGGGGCCTTTGGTGGAGCTCCCTATGGGGCCACGAAGCGCTGTACTGGGTGGGGGGTGACGCATGCGGGCGGTGCCACTGCGGCTGGTGGAGCTCCCTATGAGGCCACGAAACGCTCTACTGGATGGGGGTGACGCGTGCGGGCGGTGCCACTGGGTCCTTCGGTGGAGCTCCCTGTGGGGCCACGAAACGCTGTACTCGGTGGGGGGTGACGCCTGCGGGCTGTGCCAGTGCGGCGTTCGGTGGAGCTCCCTATGAGGCCACGAAGCGCTGTACTGGGTGGGGGTGACGCAGGCGAGCGGTGCTACTGGACCCTTCGGTTGAGTTCCCTATGGGGCCACTGGGCCCTTCGGTGGAGCTCCCTATGGAGCCACGAAGCACTGCACTGGGTGGGTGCGACGTATGCGGGCGGTGCCACCAGGGCCTTCAATGGAACTCCCAATGGGGCCACGAAGCGCTGCACTGGGTGGGGGTGACGCATGCGGGCGGTGTCACTGGGGCCTTCGGTGGAGCTCCCTACAGGGCCACGAAACGCTGTACTCGGTGGGGGTTGACGCATGCGGGCGGTGCCACTGGGGCCTTCGGTGGAGATCCCTATGGGGCCACGAACTGGGTGGGGGCGGAAAGAATGCGGGCGGTGCCACTGGGGCTTTCGGTGGAGCCGCCTATGGGGCCATGAAACGCTGTACTGGGAGAGGGGTGACGCATGCGGGCGGTGCCGCTGTGCCGCTGGGTCCTTCGGTGGAGCTCCCTATGGGGCCACGAAACGCTGTTCTGGGTAGGGGGCAACTCATGCGGGCGGTGCCGCTGGGGCCTTCGGTGGAGCTCCCTATAGGGCCACGAAGCGCTGTACTGGGTGGGGGGTGACGCATGCGGGCGGTGCCACTGGGGCCTTCGGTGGTGCTTCGTATGGGGCCACGAAACGCTGTACTGGGTGGGGGGTAACGCATGCGGGCGGTGCCGCTGGGTCCTTCGGTGGGGGACGGGAGGAGGGAGGGGGGGGGGTGGAGGAAGGAAGGAAGGAGTAACGCGGGGACCGTCTCTTCAGAACGAGGGCCCAACACCACAGGACCCAACTTCTGGAGCTCCGCGCAGAATATCTTGGATCTGCGCTGTGCCACCGTGCGTACCTCCCAGGAGGGCGGAGCGCGCCAAGGGCGGCGCCGGAAGCGCCGACAAGGGGATTCCAGCGCAGATCCATGAAATCCGCGCGGAGCTCCGAAGGTGGACGTTTATGCCGCTTTCCTCCTCCTCCTCCTCCTCGTCGTCGTCCTCCTCCTCCTCCTCCTCCTCCTCCTCCTCCTCCTCCTCCTCCTCTCCTCCTCGTCCTCCTCCTCCTCCTCCTCGTCCTCCTCCTCCTCCTCTTCCTCCTCCTCCTCCTCTTCCTCCTCCTCCTCCTCCTCTTCCTCCTCCTCCTCATCCGATGGCAGAGGGGCAAGCCCGCGGCCTGCCAAAGTCGACCATGAACTGGTGAAGCCGCGCCTGTCGCGGCGGCAGACCAGAGGCACGGGGCTCGAGCACTCTGCTCTTAGGTCGGGCATGTCCCTCTACAGGGGGATTATGGACGAGAAATAAAACATACCCAAACAAAACATCAAAAGATGCCCCAAAACATACTCCAAAAACATAATCCCGAGACTATGTTTTGACTATTTTTGAACATTCCCCCTGTAGGGGGACACGCCCGACTTAACTCTACTCTGCGCGGGCGAGCGCGCCTCGCGCCTTGCTCGCGCCTTGCGTTCGGTCGGGCATTGTCCCCTCACGAGCGGATTGGGGACGACAAAGCAAAAACAGATGCGACAAATCTTCAAAAACAGCGGAAACATAGAATCATCAAACATATTCGACAAATCAAACGGGCGGATTGGGGAGGGCAAATCAAACACAGATTCGACAAAGCTTCAAACACAACAGAAAAAATACAACAAACAAACGCCCCATTCTGTTGCCTGCGATATTTTCGAATCGCCGCGCGCGCGTGCCGCGCGGGTGCCGCGGGCGCCGCGTCTGGTGGCGCCGCTTCGGGGCGCAGCCCCGCGAGACCGAGTGCGACCCCCTGGACCTCCGACGGCGCGGCCTGCTCGACGCCGATCCGGCTGGGAGCTTCTGCACAGCGTGCCGCGACGCCGGGCCTGCAGGCGGAGTGCGTGTCGCCGCGCTCCGCGGGGCAGGAGGCTGGAAAACGCTCGGGATGTTTTCTTTTTGGATTCCCTTCTGGAAAACGCTCGGGATGTTGACGCTTGGGAATGAGGACGTGGATAGCGTGTCGCGCCGGAGCGTGGTGGGCCAGAACCGGCGGAGCGACTCGCTAAGCCACTCTCTCTTCAAAACACTGCCTCAAGAGGGGCCGCTGTTTTTCGGGGCCCAGGATCATCACAACCGGTTCGCCGTGAAGAAAGCCAGCCACGGGGAAGGGGTCTCGGGAGTTTGGGGGGCCCGCCACGAAAAGGCGTCCTGGCCGGCGTGCAGAGGCTCTGGCGGCATCGCGTATAATCGGCAGGCGCCTGTTAGCTGCCGTATTTCATCCGCCCTGCCGTCCTCGCTGGGTCGCGAGAAGCAGTCGGCGGGGTTGGATTCGACGGGAACGCATTCGATGCATCTGCTAGTGAGAAGAACTGCCACCGAAAATCAGATGCTGGCGACCAGGGACCGGCTGTCTGGGTCGGCGGCGGCTAATCCAGCCAGGACGTTCTCGAGGCCATCAGGGAGGCCGAGACGGGGACAAGACACGACAATCCCAAACCCCCGACGTGATGAATTTGTCAGAATGTCGCTCCCCTGAGGTCTCGCCCCCTGAGGTCTCAAGGTTTAGATCTGTAAACGTACGTCCTGGATCATACTTGAGTGTGCCTGATTCGATTGATGGATGTTCGGCGCTCCTGGGTTCTGGAGCATCTGGGGGCTGTAGTGTATGAACAGACAGACGGCGTATCAGAACAGGGGCGTCTGCGCTTCTCGTGAGGCAGGGCGCTACCTTTAACTTACAACTGGCATCTGAATCACACCTGGCCGTAGAAGGGACGGCGAATTGGTACCGCAAGGTGGCGCTTAGAAAACAAATTGCTGCGCCTCTTGCCAGTGCCCAAAGGGGGTCACCAGTCTAACCCCGACTGAGGGAGGGAACTGGAGCCAAGTCCAATGCATCGTAGAAACTTGGGGTATGGCTATCCGGGAAAGGAACCCGCAATGTCGGCCAGCAGAAATGGAGGCAGGTAGATCAGCTTAGGATAGCTGGCTGCACACGCACAGCTATGATTGACAACCTTTGATAAAAAGCAAGGGACATGTCGAATATCGAAAAACACCAAACAATTGCCATTCTATAGCGCGCCAGAGCTCGTACATAACCGAATGATGCAATGTCAGCGAACAGGCGCCAGCGGTTGACGCCAGACTACTATTCGTAGTTTTCCTCCAACCTCATGACGTGTTTTTCCAGCCGATCGCACTTCGCACGCAGCGCCACGTTCTCCTTCAGGAGTTCTAAAATGCGCTGGTTCTTGGGGTCGCGGTTGACGGTGGCCTGGTTCTTTACCTTCTTGGCGCGCTCGGCGAAGCGGAGGCTGGACATGGTTTCGTCGGCGTTGATCTGAGCAGGGGAGACGTTGCAAATCATCACCGTGTACAAATTCCCGCCGAGCGAATCCTGGAGCAGCCTTGTGAGCTTGGAGTCCCGGTAGGGCACATGCCGGCCACGCGACCCCGGCTCTGTAAGTGCGCTTATGACGTTGCCCAGCGCCGACAGAGACAGGTTGATCTGCGCCCCCTCCTTGAGCCTGTCGCCTGTGGCGCCCGTCGCCTTCTGCCTCTCGCTGCCCGCGAGGTCTACCAAATGCAGCTTGGAGACGGTGCCCGTCACGCCGTCCGCGTCGTCCACGTCGCTGCAGGCGATCCTGGAGGAACAGAAACATGGCATAAACCTGATTTATCGGAGGTCCGCGCGGCGCGGATTTCTGAGACCGGCGCTGACCCCCCCTCCCTGGCGCGCTCCGCGCGCCAGGGGCAGCGCTGCTGTCGCTGCCGGGCGGGCCCAGCGCCGATCCAAGAAATCCGCGCGACCCTCCAACAAATCACATTTATGCCGCTGTTTTGTTCTTCCAGCTCCGCAGCGTCACCACGGAGTGCGACCTGGAACTGTGTTCATTCATGTTGGTCTTGCCGACCACGCGGCGGCCCTGCGCGCGCGACAGCGCGGAGAGCACCTCCCCAGCCGAGGTCACGGCCACCTCCTCCGCGCCGTCCACGTAGATGCAGCTGCCGCGGCTGGCGGACACTGAGTCCTGGCCGAGGCTGACCACCGAGGGGCGATGGCTCAAGGACTCCCGGACCTGCAGCTCGTCGCCGCTGTCCGAGAGCAGGCTCCTGATGCGCTCGTTGTAGATTTCCACCACGCTCATGGAGACGGTGATGTTTTTCGTGGCCGAGCGCATCTCCACTTGGCGGAAGAGCTCGTGGCAAAGCCTGGGGACAACACCCTCCTGCTCGCCGGTGCCCTCGCCGTGCATGGTGAAGGTCTTCCCGCTGCCCGTCTGCCCGTAGGCGAAGAGGCAACCGTTGTAACCCTCCAAGACTTTGTGAAGCAGGGGCCGACCAGTCCGGTCGAACACATCCTGTTGGAGAACGTCCTCCTGCATCACGCAGTCGAATGCAAACTGGTGAGGCTTCTCATCGCCGCGCATGGCCGACACGCCCGCGACGCCGTCGTAGGACAGGCACGTCTTGGACGATGTCGCGTCCAGCTCGCGCTGATTCAGCGGCCGGACCCGCAGGGCCACCAGCACCGTGTTCTCCTCCAGGATGCGGAGGCAGCTGGGCGCCGAGCGCAGCGCATCGTCGGCGGACTCGTGCAGGCCTGCGCCGAAGGCCGCGGCCGCGGCGCCCAGCTCCTCCGGGCCTGGCCTGTTCAGCGCTTGGAGCTCCGCAAGGGTGGGTCGGCCGCTTCCCCGCTTCTTCAGCAGCGTCTTGGAGCTCTGCCGCTCTCCCGCGGCTTCTGCCGCGAAGGGGGCCACAGCATCCTTAGACTTCCCGCAGCCGCACCCCATGCGCAGAAGGCCTCCCCACACAGGGCGCCTGGCCCCGCGGCCGAGGGCCAGCAGCCCTCAAACGGCTGTGGAGCCGACGTGGCTACGGATCCCGTCGCGTCGGCCTTAGATCACCGGTCGCCGCGGACGTCGCGGTCACGCGCTCGAGCGACGCGGCCCAGGGCAGTTCACCTAGGCAGACCGCAGCGTGGGCGTTGCAGAAAGGTCGGGGGACATGCCGCAGTGCGGCAACACAAAGGCAAAGACAAGTCCTACGACGAATCGAATCTAGAGACTGAAACTGGCATTACTCCTACGGATACGAACAGGGATGCGTTTATGAATGCGACAAGAATTTCTACTACGAATTGCACTCGTCATGCTGAGAGTAACGATGCTAATGCGATGGGAGGCCGCGGAAGGCCACCAGAGACCAATGGAGACCACAGGAGGCCCCGGGAGGCCCCGGGAAACCAAAACACCCGACCGAGTCCAGATCTGGCGATCCCCGCACTCGGCTTCTTACATGACCCTTTGAATGAACGTCGCCTGTGGGTACATCCAGGGGTCTCCATGGACCTCTGGAGGCCTCCAGGGAACTCCGAAGATCTCCAGATACTTCGGGGGATCCCTGAAGACACTCGGGTGGGTGGGTTGACTGACGATGCGCCTCACACTTAGCCAGTCAGCCACTCCGTTCTTGATGTAGCACCAATCAAGAGCTGCGAGCCAGGCGTGATGGCAGTTCGTTGCCAGAGGCAGCCCTGCTATACTCCATGACAGCCGAGGGACTAGACGCGACCAACACCTTTGTGTTTGAAATACACGTTGTCCTCCGGCGAGGTCGACAGCAGTATGACATACGAATCGAAGTGCAAGATCGTCTACAAGCAGCAGAATAGCATAATATAAATAGGGGACAACCCAACTATGTCTTGCGAAGCGCACTCTCATTCCGTTCCTGACGCTGTCCGCGCGTCTTTTAAGAAACGACAGAAAAATTAGCTTCCCCGGACGGTGCTTGCACATAGGGTTCTCTTAGTTGTGGTTTAAGGAACTGGGTTATCCTGGCGGCTATATGGCCGCCGTCGCCACCCCGTCGCCGCCCGACGTCCGGCCCTGAATGCTGGTCTTGCGGCTAGGTGGCCGCCGTCGCCGACCCGTCGCCACCTCGTCGCCGCCCGTCGTCTGGTCGTAAATGTTGGTCTGGCGGCTATGTGGCCGCCGTCATCGCGCCGTCGCCGCCTCGTCGCCGCCCATCCCGCCGCCGCCGACAACATATATTCCCCCTTTCTATAACGATAGTAGGATCTGCCCCGGTCCCCCCCTGGACTTAATGGTACTTATTTTTCGTAATGCACTTTACATATGACTCTGCCCAGCCGTCCATCCCAGATACGAAGTACCATCCAAAGCAGGCTGGTAATGCCCCCTTCATCATGTGAAACAGATACTATGCGCGTGCAATCGTTTATCCAATATCATAGTAAATGGTCAAGAGTCCCTTGCAACACAAGAAAAACACTTCAGTGCACACGCGCGCGTTGACGCGCGCGCGTGCCAGAATCCTTGAAAACCGAAGGTTCGTAACGCTTTCAAAATCGAGCGCCCCGAAAATATATAACAACACATGGCGGATCCCAGAGGCCCTACACCCAAAAACCATTCATCTCTCAGGTGGCGATGTTTTACTCCCGCCGCCTTCTGCCAGCCTTCCTCCGCCTTCCGCCGGCAGAGGCGGCCTCGTTTTATTTCCGCCGCCCTTCCGCCGCCACCCGCCGAGGAAAAGATGGCAACATTTGGATCCTCGAAGGTCAAACCTTTTTTGGAACGCCCTGCATGGTTTCGCGATACGGACTTTCAACAACAAACACCTTGCGCTCTTGCTCTTGCGGATTTTCAGGAAGACCATCGTCGGTGTCCCCAGCTTTTTTTTCATAACATGCTACCAAATAGACCTCTCGCGCGCGCGTGTCGAAATCGCAAGAACGCCCTTGCGCGCGCGCTGTAGGCCAAAGCCTTTTCGAAAATCGTCGCTGTATGCGCGCGCGCGCGTTGCATGCATACCTCCGCGAACCCTTTGCAAACCTACAAGGTTTCTTATACATCATAACTTCGCTCGCGGTCTTGCACAATCATGAAAAACCGTTTCTACACAGAAATACGTTATGCCAAACCGGCCTCTCGCGCCGAGCGTCGAGATTGCTCGAACGCCCTGCGCACATGCGGGGGGGGGGGCGCGACCCGCGTCAAACATAACCATGTGGGCCACTCTCGCGCGTCGGCCGCGCGCGCGTGCCGAACTCGCTCCCGAACCTTACGCCGTCACCGTCGTCGGCGTGATCAGCATCGGCGCCGTCACTGGCCGTGCCGTCGTCGTTCTCACCATCGCCATAAACATCGCTACTATTATCATCGCGTCTATCGTTGTCGATGTTGCCCAGACACGGCGCCCGCCCAAATCGCCGACTCGCACCGAATTGTCCGCTGGGAAGTGCCCCGCGATCAGCACCACCGCGGCCGCGTCGGTCGCGCCAGACTAGCTGGCCGGTTTGCGCGCGAGCATGCGCGCTAGCGCGGCTGCGGCGATGCGCCAGCCAGCGCCGAGGAGTCATCGCAATCGCCGCCGCATGGGTTTTGCAAACCAAGTTGCAGGTGGGTGGGTGGGATGATTGCGCGATCAGTGGAGTTAACAACTTCAAGCTTGGCAGGGTGAGCTGCACCCCGTAGAGCGCACCACGTGTACAACAACGATTGCCCCACGTAGGCTGTACCACATACGTAGCACTGCGCCGATTGCACCACATAGATTCCACACCATATATTGCACCACACGGGTTGCACCGCGCCGGTTGCACCACATAGATTGTACCACATAGTAGTTTGCACCACATGTACTGGACGGCATGGACTGCACATCATCGATTGCACCTCTCAGATTGCGCCACACAGGTTGTACCACACAGATTGCACTACTCAGATTGCACAAAATACATTGCACGACTTAGGTCACATGCGCCCTTTTGCACAACATGGTCTGCACTACATGTGTTGCATCACTTATACTGTTTCACAGGTGTTGCATGGCATGGGTTGCACCACATCTATCACAGTGCCTATATTGCACCACCGATGTTGCACAACAGATATTGCACTACATATATTGCGCAACACCTATTGCACGTCATATTGCACAGCATACCACAGAGATGGCACACCATACATTTTGCACAAGCTATATTGCTAGAATCGCGCTGTTTAGGGGTCCAAGCTGGTTCACATGTGCATGACATTCGGCGCTGGACCCCCCTCCCTGGCTCGCGGCGCGCGCCCGGGGCGGCGCAAAAGGCGCCGCCGGGGGGGTCGTCAGCTCCTAATGTCGACGCTTCTGTCGCAGTTGCCTCCTCCTCCTCCTCCTCCTCCTCCTCCTCATCCTCATCATCATCATCATCATCATCATCATCATCATCATCATCATCATCATCATCACCATCATTATGTCGGGAGCGGCCAAGAGAGGGGTGTCCAAGAGGGGGGGGTGCAAATCATGACCGGCGGCATGTGCGCGGCCGAGCGGGGGGGCCAGGGACGTAATGGAATAAGAAGAGGCGCCAAGAAATCTGGGGAAATACCATGGCCCCCGCCATGATATCCCCCCCCCTAGTCATCCCCCCCCGATTTTGCCGCCCCCTATTCTGCCCCCATCCTCCCGGCCCAGGAAGGTGCCGAGCTGGGCCTGCAGCACCATGCTGCCAAGCTGCGAGTGGCACTGCAGACGGGGAGCAAAGGTGGCCCTCGCGCCCCTCCGACGGCCAGGGAGGGGAAACGCTGCGGCGCCCCGCGAGGGCGTCAGGACCAGTATTCCACCACCACCACCACCACAAGTTGGAGGGGGAGGGGGTCCTCGTCCTCCTCCTCCTCCTCCTCCTCCTCCTCCTCCTCCTCCTCTTCCTCCTCCTCCTCCTCGTCCTCCTCCTCCTCCCCCCTCCAACTTGTGGTGGTGGTGGTAGTGGGAAATCGGCCCATCAGTCTTTGCGCGTGGAGACTCTCAAGCGGGACCAATTCGTGAGGCCCCCAAGAAGCCGTGATGCTGGCGCGACGCCCAGGTGCAATGGCTCTCCACTTGCTACCTTTCCTCGTGGTCCTTCTCCTCCTCGGCCACGTCCCTCTCCTCTCATGTCTCCTGCCCTGGGATCTGACGACCATAAACAAGAACGGCTGGAGCCCTGGACCCCACTTTTCTGCTGAAGTGACCGAGTCGGAACGATCCACGAGGGCCCTGTGGCCCCAAAGAAGGGAAGACCGCGCATTGCTAAAAAAACTTGCGACGTCAGGACCTCAGCGTTGCTCCTGCCCCTCCTTCTGCAGGCCTTCTCCCTGTCCTCCACGTCGTTGAGCTGCATCTGGGTCAGACGCTTGCCGTCTGTCTCGAGACCAGGCGCCTTCTGCAGCTCGCGGGTCTGCTTGGCGGTTAGGTTGTAGTCCTCATGATACGGGCGGGGGGCATCTTGTTCCGTTTCGGACCACTTCTGCCGCAGAATTGGCATTCCTTGCAAACTGTAAAACCGCGTGCGCGACCGAACCCTTCGACTCAGCCGTCGGCGGCGGCTGAACCAATCGGGACCGGGCACAGACATGGACACTGCCAGTCAAACAGAGCGAGTCGTGCGCAGCCTTGAGCCATGCCGTTGACCACTGAAGACGAGCAGGAGGAGGAGGAGGAGGAGGAGGAGGAGGATGAGGAGGAGTGGGAGGAGAACGAAGTGGCGCAGGGACCTGGAGGTACTGGGAGAGCGAGGTCCCAGGGGAAGGTCGGGACCCAAAGTTGGCCTTCCATCAGGCGGCGCCAGCTTGTCTTCCTCGCCATGCTCCTCTCCTCCATCTCCACCCGCGCCTCGCGCAACTCCTTCGCGTGGAGCGAACGGGTCCTGGGCACTGGGGCCTCCTCCCAAGGACCAGCTCTTCGTCCTGGGTTAGTGTCTGACCAAACTCGCGGCCCGTGGACGGCCCCGGGAGCCCCAAAACTACCAAAGACCTCCAGCTGAGATGGCCGCTGGGCTGCTAAGGGGATGAGGGGGGGTCCGCACCTAGCTTAAACTTGGGTTGCAAGTAGTGCCCTGTGTGGATTGGGGGGTTAGATAACTCCGCTAAGTGGCCCGAGTCCACTCAGCCCGGATCGTTCACCCCCCTGCACCGCTTAGGGCATCTGGTGCCCACCTACGAGCTATCAACTAGGTCAGGCCAGATATGACCAACCTATCTTAACCTCCGCTTAGCCCACTATCCCCGTATAGGGAACCAACTCTAGAGACCGATTTGTTCTGGTCCTGTACCGACGTGTGCGCAGGACAATGGATCCTGGTGTATACAGCACCCAGGTGTACACATGTTTCTGTGCTTCCCTGGGAAAAACACACAGTATACACAACACCACCCCGACGTCGTCCACGACCCTCAAGAAATCCTGGGATGGAAAAACAGCCAGCCACTGGTAATGCATGTGTCCCAGCTTCCGATCATAAGGACCCAAGCGGTCATCTCAGAGGACCCGCTTACCTAAGGACCCGTTGGCTTCAGGGCGAGGAACTCCGCAGCACCCCTGGCGAGCCCCGCACGAGGAACGGTGCGTCCCCGGACAGCAGCGCAGCCTGGGCAGCAGCGCGCCGAACCCTTGGGCCCCCTCCTCGGCGAGGATCTGCCACAGGCGGTCACGGATGCCCTTCGGGAATATGTTGTAGAAGCGAAGCGCCAGGATCGCGGCCTTGAAAATTCTGGACTTCACCTGAGCTGAGATGCACTCGGCAAGAGGGTGCGCGCGACCTCGGCGCACGCGTGCGCGCACTTGATCGGCGAAGGACTGATCGCGTGGCTGCGCCATCGACTTGACTCTGTGAACTGCGGTCGAGCTCGTCTTCTCTTGCCCACTTGGCGTGCCCTGCAAACGGTACATGCACGCGCCGCGCCTGCCGACACCCTGGCACGCGCTGACGCCAAACGTGGCGCTCGCGTGAGCGCGGGAATAAACTCTCGACGCCGCCTGCGCTCGTGAGAGGCGACAGGGAGGGGGCACACCGTTCATCGATGTCGGCCTCCGGGGGCCGTTTTCGGGAACCAGGGCCAGCAATAACGAGCCCGGAGTGCAAAACGAGCCCCGGAGAGCTGCCTTCTCCTCCTTCCTCCTCCTCCTCCTCCTCCTCCTCCTCCTCCTCCTCCTCCTCCTCCCCTCCTCCCTTCCAGCCCCGCCCCCGAGGAGCTCGGCCACAGGAAGCTCCCCACAAGAGACTCAAGCCCGAATCCGTAGGATGTCCACTGATTTCTAACGTAAGAGCGTCGCGCTTTCCATCGTGAGACTATTGAAACCCAAAGACCATGGCACCCCGGAAGGAAACGTGGTATGTCTTGGCATTGGCACCGAACCTATGGGCCCGTGGGCACGACCCTGCCGCCAACGCCTTGGAGGTGGAGGATGGAGGAGGGAGGAGGGAGGGATGAAGGAGGAGGGAGGAAGAGGAGGAGGGAGAGGTGAGGACGGAGGAAGGAGAGGACGGAGAAGGGAAGAGGAGGAGGAGGAGAAGGAGGAAGAGGAAGAGGAAGAGAAGGAGGAAAGGCGGGGGAGGAGGAGAGAGGAGTCCGCCAAACTCTCTGCGGGGACACAAAATGCCGTAGGTGAAGCAACTACCCTCTGCCATCCAATCCCAAACTCCGCCCCGAGTCCGCCGGCCAATCGATTCCTCTAACGGAACGCGTCAGCTAATACTGAAAATACCCCTCACCATCCTCCTATGTCTCCGTCCCGTCTTCGCCGTCCTTCCACTGACCAATGTCCTGCCCCGGCTCCCTTTCCCGCCTCCCGCCCATTCTCCTCCGCACCCTCCTGCTCCCCCCCTCTCATGTTTCAAAACACTCACGTCCTCCTCCTCCTGACTCTCCCGTTCTTCCCCCTCCAGACACTTTTCCTCTTTCGCAACCCGCTCTTTCGTATGCTAGTGCTCAAGATCCTCATCCTCCTCATTATCCTCTTCCTGCTCACCCCCTTGTGCCGCGTGATCTTACACCCGAGCGCCTCAAAATCCCCTTCACCTCAACCTCCCAATACCCATCCTCCTCCTTCAACCACTCCTCCTCCCTCTTCCGCGCATTCCTCCTTCTCCTCCACCTGCCCGACCTATTCACCCTACTGCTGAATCCCCCTGTCCAATCTTCCCCCTGCTCTTTCTCGCTCTCCTGATCCTCCTTCGCATATCGCTCCTCCTCTTGCTGCTCCACCGCTTCCTCCACGTCCTTCCCCCTGTCCCTCCACGTCGTCCTCCTCGTCCTCGTCGTCATCGTCTTCAAGGTCGGCGGCACCGGCCGTAAGGCCTTCGCAATAAACTCACGACGTCGCCTGTACCCGTGAGAAGCGACAGAGGGACACACGAGGTAGACAACTCGTCATGGGGGCCTCCCTGGAGCCACTCGCCTCACTCATGCGCCGATGCCGCGTCGAACCTCCGTCGGCGCGAGAGGAACTTCTGCCGAGCCAGGAGCCGAATCGGGCGTTGGCAAAACTGGGTTTAATGGAACCTGGCTTTGTGATTTGTACCGGGGGCGCCCCCCCCGCCCCATTTCCACTAACCGGAACTGCCGTCACCCGAAAAAAACAGCCACGGCAAGCCTGGTTTAGTGATCCTGGCCAATTGAGGAGCCCCAGGGCCCTACCACTAACCGGGTCCCCTTACCCGGGGTCCTGGCCATACCCGGCCGAAGAGGAGCGCCGACGAGAGGCTCGAGCAGGTCCGTGGGGTGGGCCCCCGCGATCGGGCCCCCGAGCGGGCGTCCAGCACCGGGGGTGCCTGGTATCCCCCGGGGGGTCGGCGCGTCGGCTCCCGCCGGGGTGGCCGCGGCGGCTGCGGAGGGGCTGCAGCCAGAGCAGATGAGCAAAGGAAGATATGGCCTAAGAAGCTGGGCCTGGCTTTAAGTCAGGCGTGTGTCCCCCTAGAGGAAGATGTTAGACGAAAAATTAAACATACCCCAGACATACCCTAAACATGCTGAAACAAATGCTCAAAATCTTGTCCCCAGAGGGACATGCCCGACAAACCATAATCATACTCAAAAACATGTTATTGTTGGACTATTTTTGAATTTCCCCCCTGTAGAGGGACAGGCCCGACCTAAGCCTAGCTTTCTGAAAGTTTCGTAAGACGAGCCTGGGCCAGGTGTTCCTGCTAACGCTGGAGGGGCGAACGCGCTCGGGAAACTGGGCCAACTTTCGGACACATCGGTTGAAAAACGCTGGCCCAGCTTTCCGGGAGGAGGTTTCTGAATCAGATGCTCGATTGTAGGGGGATTAGAAGGGCATGCTAATGTGGGTGATGCTAGTGATACCGGGCCAGCACCAGCATACAAGTGGAGTACGGGTGCCTTGAGCGGCGTAAGCTAGCAAACCAATGGGACTCTGGCACCGATTCGCAACATCTGCGCGCAGTTCAGAAAAGTCATGCCCATGTCGTTTTCTCTTCTTCAATGATGAGCACGCGCAAGCCCGCGGTCAGTGCAAACAGCCCCCGTGTTTGAAGAGGACCCTGCGGTTTCTCCAGCGCCGATCCAAGAAAATCCGCACAGAGCGCAGATGCCATTTTCTATTCTTCGAGCATGGAAACGCGCAGAGCCGTGGTCAGTGCAAACCATGTTTCAATAGGAGCCTCTGGATTCCCCGACTCCGATTGCAAAAAAATCGCCCGGAACTCTTTCTCTCTTTGGATGATGGGAACGCGCAGAGGCGCATTCGTCCCGGACTGATCGATTCTGGGCCACTGGCGGCAACCACCATTGAACGCCCGCGCTGGGGTCGTCGCCGCGCCGCCACGACACGAACCTATATGCCGTAATCAGAATGATGGGCGAGGGCGCGCAGCGCCATAGTTAGTGCCAGCATTCTGTAGGACACCCCGATTCATCCTGACCACTTTTCTCCCATCCGGAAGAACGCTCTTCCGGACGAACTCTTCGGGATGAAACTGTGCAAGTCAACTCGCCCGGGTGAACTTGACTGCGGATGATCTCATCGCTGGATGAACTCGTACGACTTCGTCCTCGCACGAGCTCGTCCGGCAGAAACTGTCGGGACGAACTCGTCCGGATGGAGTCGTCTCGGACGAAACGGCACCAGAATATAGGTATATAGGTATATAGTCTCGGATGGAGTCGGCTCCGGCTGAAAAGCGGTATATAGGCTTCCGCCCCCCTGTCCAGAGGGGAGCCTCGGGCTTCTCCACGAACACCGCCCTCGCGACCTTGCCGTCCGGGGTGGCCACCATGCTGCGCATACTCGCGAGCGTCGGCGCGCGGTCCTGGAGGCGCGGGGGGCGCTCTCGAGCGAGGGAGGGCGAACCACGAGCGACGACGCACCCGAGGATGTCATGTACACTGCCACTGGAAAAGGTACAGCAACTTCAGTCGTTCTTGGTTCTGTTCGTCACCGTTGGTCTTTTAACTCGTTGGCCTCTCGGGGCCGCTTTCGGGCCCCAGGAACGTCAGGAACGGAGCCGGGATGAAAAGCTACCCCCGGGGAAGTCCCCCGGGCGATTCTTCGGCACGACCTGCCGCAGTTGCATGACTATTCCAAGGAGGTGTAAGAAGAAGGAACGGCACCACCACCATCGGCGCGAGGCGCCAGGCAAGTTCTTCCTGGTGGTGTGGCCCGACCCCCCTCGCTCGAGACATTGCCCGATTCCCCGCTCGGGGAGGCATCGTGGACCCCCTCGCTGGAGGTGGACCACTGGTGGCGGTGGTGTCGCCTCTCCTTCCTCCAGCGACGGATTCTGTGTCCTCCTCGTCGCAGCCACTGAGACGGGCCTGCAAAGACCGAAGGGCATGGCGGCGACACCCGGCCGCGGGCGTGCGGAGCGAGCAGCGAGTGCAGATCGCACAATTCGAAGCGAGCACGCGCGCGCCGAGGCGTGCCAGGGCACTTCGTGCGCCTCGGCTGCACACAAAGAGGGCCCCTTAGGCAAGAGCGATCATGCGCGACATGCGGCTCACCGCATGCTGTAACAGCTTGCGTGCTTGGGTTTCGTGGGGCGCATAAGGATAAGGACATACTACCTCCCCGTGGGAATAGCAACTTGTGTTTTTGTTTGTACGCACCTCCCCCCCGACTTCAACGGTCAATGCGGCCGTTTCTTTCCGACCCTCGCCAGTCGCGCGAGCAACATTGAAGTCGGTGGCCGGGAGGCTGACCAGACACCAACTGCTGTTCGCACCAGGTTGTAGTACTACCTATGTCAGGGAACCGAACTCTATACACCGATGCCATTTCTCGGCCCCGCACTGAGATTCGCACAAGAAAGCGGACTCTGGTGTATACGGTATCCTGGTGTACACATTTTTCGCTGTTGCCGCGGGAAGGCGGGGAACAAAAACATGCACCACACCACCCCGACGTCGCCCCCGAGCCTCAAAAGAACCCTGGGATTGAGAAACCGCCCGCCAAGGGTAGTGTGTACGTTCCATCCTCCTCCTCCTCCTCCTCCTCCTCCTCCTCCTCCTCCTCCTCCTCCTCCCCTCCTCCTCCTCCTCCCTCCTCCCCCTCCCCCTCCCCCTCCTCCTCCCCCTCCTCCTCCTCCGATAAAGGGCCTGGACAAGCGCAGCGCTCCGAGGCTGCCGCGCGTCGCCGAGCCCCGACGCCCGCCGCCTCCGCCCCGCCTCCGCCTCCGCCTCCCGCCTCCGCCTCCTCCTCCTCCTCTTCCTGCTCCTCCGCCTCCTCCTACTCCTCCCCCTCCTCCTCCTCCTCCTCCACCACCTCCTCCTCCTCCTCCTCCTCCTCCTCCTCCTCCTCCTCCTCCTCCTCCGCCCTCCTCCTCCGCCTCCTCCTCCTCCTCCTCCTCCTCCTCCTCCTCCTCCTCCTCCTCCTCCTCCTCCTCCTCCTCCTCCTCCTCCTCCTCCTCCTCCTCCTCCTCCTCCTCCTCCTCCTCCCCCGCCTATGTTGGAGACACGCGCCCGACCCGAACATGCAGCACAGAACACGGCAGTGCAGCGTTTCGCGAGCGTGGTGGCCACAGCGCGCTCGCCACGAGGAGCTCATGCTACAAGAGAGCTCCCCGAGCCTGCGCGTCGCCCTTTTGCGTGGCCGACTCACATATGAAAGGGGCCCTGGGACACACACACACACACACACACACACACACACACACACACACACACACACACACACACACACACACACACACACACACACACACACACACAAAAGAGACACAAAGAAGCAGATCCCCCCTATTTTCCCATATTTTCTGGGTTTCTGTCTCCCCCCCCCCCACTTCCCACATGTTCCAATCTTTTCTGGGGAATCGGCGATCCATTGTGTGTGTATGTGTGTTTTCCCCTGCTGAACATCGTGCACACCTGTCGATCTGTCTGGGCGGAGTCGAGTCTGCCCCCCGACGCCTCCGCGCCACCCCCCTCCCCCCGCCCCCGCAAGCAGAGCAGCGCGAAGCTCACTCGTTGCGCAGGTCCACTCCTCCGCCTAATCCGCAGGAGCGCGCGCTCGCCCCAGGCTGAGACTCGACGGCGCGAGGAGCCACCCGACCGACGCCCTGGGCCCGACAGGTCTGCAAGACGCCTCGGGCCGGGCCGGTCCGTGAGGGGGCCCCGGGGGCCCGGCCCAAAAGAGGTCTCGCGATCGCGTGCTGCGAAGACGTTTGGCGCCGAGATCTCGGGGGCGCCGAGGCGCGGGAAAACGGCGGGCGGGGCACCGCGCGCGCTGCCCCGCGGCGGCGGCGCATGGGGCTCTCGGAGTGGCCCGCGGGCCAGGCGGCTCCGAGAGGCGGCGGGCAGTCGGGGGACGGAGCTGGGCACGCGCGGGCGGTGTGGTGCGCGCGCAGGCCGGGGATATCCTCGGAGGCCAGGGGGTGCCAGGGAGCTGAGCCTCCAGGAGGTCCACTCCAGCGTGACACAGTCCACAAGCAAAAACACTCGCCGCGCTTGTCGTCTATGTCCCCCCCCCCTCGCGGCAGCCGGCGTCCTGGCAGCCTTTGCTCTCAGAGCCTGGGGCTCTTCGCTCAAGGAGCTCGGAGCGAGGATACCTGGCTCACACGGGGCACACTCTCGTACCGAGATGCCAGGAAAATTCAGATTTGACGCTGCGACCTCCAGGCTAGGGAGGGAAGCTGGAAGCCTCACGAACTCGAAGCTCGAGCCTACACTTCGGAAGCTCAGATCCTGAAGGACTACTGCCAGGCCGCCTCACCCAGAACCTTGCGCTCGATGGTCATACGATTGCAAGCGACGCTTCCAAGCATCCGGCCGGTCTCCTAGGGCTTCCAAAGAGCAAGCTTGACAGCGCTGCGACCCTACTTGTCCGAGGCCTGACCAGCATCACTTGAGTAGAGGCGTGGCGGTCTTGGAGGTCCCTTGTTCCCTTGAGGGATGGCATCGGGACAGTTTCTAGCGGTCCAGATCTCGGGCCAGGCAATCTGCAGAAACCTCCGACTTTATTGCGACCGCTCGTTCAAGCCTCACAATGAAAAAGTGAACGCGGAAATACCATAAATCATGCCCCTACCCTTGGCAGAGAACCCTATGTCGGGGCCAGACTGGGACAAACCATGATAAAAACCAGACCCTCCAGGCACGAATTCTGACGGACATGTGTCGACCCGTGCCAGGGCCATCCGACCTCACCTGGGGAGATGTGCCCTCTGAAAGCCCTCTGGGGCATCCCTCGGCTGTCGCCAACAAGTTGCAGGAATCGACGCCAGGTTCCCGAAAGGTCAGTTGCTACAGCCAAGAGAGTTGAGCCACGAGAGCGACCAATTGCAAGAGAAGTGTTTCATCGGTTCCCATCAATAGATTCGACGAGCCGTGAATCACAGCCCCAGCAGGCGACGAAGAACAGGAGACCCAATCAACGCACAGACAACGCGGGGGCAAACGAACACAGCCACCAACGACCTGCACGACCAAACAGAGATAACCAGCTCTGATGAACGTGATGCAACATTGAAGGGGCCCTGGGACACACAAAGAAATAGACACAAATAACCAGATTCCCCATATTTTCCCATATTTTCTGGTTTCTTGTCTTCCCCCCCACTTCCCATGTTTTCTATTTGCTGGGGAATCGCCGATTAGTTGTGTCTGTGTTTCTTTCCCTCTTGAGCAGCATACGCTCAAGAGCTTGTGCCTGGCGTGCCGCGGCGGCGGCGGCAGGCGGCAGCGGCAGGGCCAGGAACGGGCGGCGCGACACGCTGAGCAGTCGTTCCTGACGGTACGGTAGAGGGAAAAACTTACTGAACACTCCCCCCCTAAACTCGGACTACAACACCGGACTTCAACACGAGGGAGAGAAAGAGAGAGAGAGAGAAGCCACGCACGTGAGCCTACCCAGAAGACGCCCCACCGGCGCCCCCCGCTGGACGCCTCGGCGAGGGCTTTGGGTAGAGAAGCATTTGGTAAAACACCTGGGGTCTGGGAGCCGGCGGAACTCCTATCGTGGATCGGCAACGGATACGGTAGAGGGAAGCATTTTCTGAACACTCCCCCCCAAAACTCAATGTTGGCACGCGCGGGGGAGGCTGCGGTCGAGGTCAACTCTGAACATCTGGGGGGAGGGGGGGGGCGTTGACGGATGAGTGTGGCATGTGTTCGCTGATTTGTTCCGAGGCCTGTCTGACTGGCGCTTATGCACGTGATGTCGGCTGGCTCATTCTTACGATCCTCAGGCACTGCTGGTGTGCAACATGTCCCTCACGCTTCCGAGGCCTCCGACGTGGTGGCTTGGTCCATGAGACGCGCCACGGACTTCGCGACGATCATCCTTGCCAGGATGTTGTCTTGTCGCGGGCATGCTGTTGATAGCCACGTTGCCCGACAAGGCCCCAGTGTAGTGGTCGGTTCGGCTTGCAACAGTTGCAACAGTTGCAAGGTGGTTGCAAGTTCGCCTGCAAGTAGGCTGCAAGTCCGCCTAGCCTCTCCAAGTCTGAGAAAGTCGAGTAAGTCGTGGACCTAACTTGAAGCAGCTAGACGGACTTGCACCTCATTCGCAAATGCCTTGCAAGAGGGTTGCAACCACCTTCAAACCGTTGCAAGTCACAGCGATCACTGCAACAAGACGCCCGACGTCACTCTATGGCCAGACCTGCGTCTCGTCCCCGGTCCGTTTTTGACAGCCACTGGGGCCCGAAAAGGGGTTCCAGAAGCAAAGACTATATGAAAACTGCTGTCGCTCAAACTTCGCGACGCCCAGACCTTTAGGGCACCGAAGAACCGCGCACCCGTGGGTGGTTCCCAGCGTGTCCATCGGCGTCAAGTCATTCTCGCCCGAGTCGTCGGACGACCCGTCATCGTCATCCCAGCCGGACGCGACCACCTAGCAAGGCGTGTCTTTTGTTGCTGCGGGCGTCGACGCTCATGGATCCTGCTGCTCCGCCCTCTTTCTCCCTCATTCACCTCGTCCTCCGTCTTCTCCTCCTCCTCCTCCTCCTCCTCCTCCTCGTTCTCCCCCTTTCTCTTCCCTCCTCCCCATCCGCCTCCTCCCTTCTCTGCATCCCTCCTCCTCGTCATCCTCCTCATCCTCCTCCTCCTCCTGCGCTCTCCTCCTCCTCTCTCGTCCCCGCCCTCCTCTGTCCTCGCAGCCACGCCACCGCGTGGCCACGCGCAGCCACGGACAGGAGAGCGGCCGGCACGGGCCTCCGGAGGGAGGGGGAGAGGGAGGAGAGCACTTGCCGTCGCTCGGACGTCCATTCCCTGTGCTTTTTTCGGTGTCGCGCGTGGTTCTTTCGCCAAATGATCAAGGATGCTCCTCGACGGTCCTCGCCGAAGAAAGAATGCACACGTCCGAGCGATGCCAGGAGCAAGGAGCAGGAAGGCGAGGAGGACGGGGGGGAGGGAGGGCGGCGGCGGGAACAGGCGTGCGTCGGTAGACGGTCGGACGGCCTCGGTACTGGCCGGCGTGCGGCGCGGGCGCACAGGACACGGCCCCTCACCCCGCTGACGAGGGCCGCAGTCTCACCCCCCACTTGAGGGGAGGGGGCGAACGAGAAGAGGAGCCCGAGACCACGCTGGGCCACCCACGGGGCCCTGTCAAAAGTGACTCCTCCTGAGCTCGGGTCGCTCGTAGACGCTCACGCTGGGACTCGGCGAGGTCGGGCGACGGAGGGGGAAGGGAGGGGGGGCGGAGCAAGGGCGGGGACAGAGGGGGAAGGTGAGCCCAACGGAGCCCGGCCGATGCTGCGGTGGCTGCTGCTCTCTTCGGCGCGAGATTTGTCGCGTCGGTGCCTCCTCGTTTGGAGTTGGCTGCGGTCTTGACGACGGCGGAGAAGCAGAGGCGTCCGTTCCCGCTGCACTGCAAATCCCTGGGGACTGGGCCGAGGCCTGCGGAGCCCGGCGGCCGGGCGCCACTGAGCAGACCCTCGAGGGCAGGCGGCCGCCGACCATGAGGGCGGCGGGAAGCGCTCCCGCTCGGGATCGGGTCGAGGGCGATGGCCCGCGCGGCGAGAATCCGAAGCCCACTGGGCCGCGCCCTATCCCTCAGCAAAATCCCGAAGCAACGCCACCTCAGGACCTGGAGCCTAGCCGGCGGGAAGCGAAATCCGCCACCGTCTGGACAGCGGTTTCGGCCATGGCTCCACAGAGGCCTGCGGGGTAGACTTTCTTGGCGGAGGTTCTAAAGCTCCCCCCAGGCTTGGTTCTGCCAAAGAGCACCTGGTTTTCTCCGAGTCCGTGGGAACAACGCCCTCGGCCGGGCGTCGAAGTGAGACGGGCATGCATGCCTCTCACTCGGAGACCGAAGATGCTCGTCGGCGCGCGCCCGACCTCGTTCCCGTGCTCGCGCTGGTCGAAGTCGGTCGTTGTGGTGCACGGCGCCGCATACAAGGCCAGCAGTGGCTCCCATGTCCAACTAGTCACCGCTCTGCGGCGCCAGTGGGCGGGGATGGGATGTTCCATCCAGGCTGCGCAGGGCCCGCGACGGCATGCACTGCCATGAGCTGCACCGTCGCCTGAAGCAGCGCGGTGCCGACGGCCAGCTGCAGACGCCGCCGTTCCCTTGCCGCCAGGCTGCTCCAAGAGTCGTCGTGGGCGGCCGGGTCACCTGGACGCGCTCCGAGTCTCGCAAAGCGGGCCTCCGCCTGTCAGGATGACCCTGCGGGAACGAATCGCTTCCGCGAAAGTCGCCAGGCTCCTCAGGTCACACCTGCCCGCGTCGATGGCCACGTCGATGCTGAGCGCAACGATCTGGATCTCGCCCCGTGGCTCTCCGTGGGCTGTCGAACTCTCGAGGCAGCCCTGGATCTCCGATCTCCTTCACGCGCCACAGTACGAGTCAACAACGACACGACGGGCCGCTTGAGCTTCCATGGGGTCGCAGACGCCATGACGCGTGCGTGCTCTCCCGTCGGGAACTGAGGAGGAGGAGGAGGATGAGGAGGAGGAGGAGAAGGAGGAGGAGGAGGAGGGAGAGGAGAAGAGGGGAGGAGGAGCTGGAGAAGGAGGAGCAGGAGAAGGAGGAGGAGGAGGGAGGAGGAGGAGGAGAAGGAGGAGGAGAAGGAGGGAGGAGGAGGAGGAGGAGGAGGAGGAGGAGGAGGAGGAGGAGAGAGGGGAGCTGGAGGAGGAGGAGGAGGAGGAGGAGGTCCAGGCCGTAGCGCTCGAGGGGGGGCAGCCGGCTCTACCGGCGTGTGCGGCACGTCGGCCTTCCGATCGCAGGAGCTCCGCGGGCGGCTCGTCGAGCGGCGCAGTCTCCGAGCCGAGCCGAGCACCCTCTCCTCCTCCTCCTCCTCCTCCTCCTCCTCCTCCTCCTCCTCCTCCTCCTCCTCCTCCTCCTCCTCCTCCTCCTCCTCCCCACTGCACCCTTGGGGTGGGAGGTCCCGATGCCCGTGAGGCCGGGAGCTCCACCCGCTCGCGGAGGCCTCCTCGGGGGAGGCCCTGCTGCCGGGGGGCCCTCCCTCTTCTGAAAGGACGAGGGTGGCGGCCATGATGGGCTTGAGCAGGCAGCCTGGCGCTGCGATGGCGACATGCTCGAGCAAGTGGTGCGGGGCCTAGAGCTGCATCAGGCATGCCGGGCACTGGGTGGCGCCTTGGGCCTTGGAACCACCTGCGGGCCAGGCTCTGCATGGTCCGGTGCTCCCTCGAGAGATGTACACATTGTCATCGCTGAACTCGGAAGCTGTCTCCGTAAACAACGGGCCGTGCCACTGCGTCTTCGTCGACGCCTCCCTGACGTAGGCGGTCCATGGGGGCTGTCGGGCCGTGTGGACCCATGAACTCCAGCTGGCCTGGTAGCCTCGAAGAAGTGCGCAGCCAGCTTCGCCTGTGTGCGCCTGGCTATGTCCTCCGCCGCCGCCTGCAGCGCGTCCCCGAGCCGATACTCCCAGGAGGAGTGGGATGCCCGGATGACCCGCTCCCAAGGAGGTATGTCGTCCGCTGGCTCGCCCATCCCCTCGAACATCTCGAAGGACTGCCTCACCCAAGGAAGGTCGTCCAGCACCAAGACTGGCCACGCGCGCCTGCGAGCTGGCCCCTGATCAGGAGTCCGGCCACCAGCGCAAACGCCACCGTCGGCCCGGACTGGAGCAGCTCGCCAGAGGAGGAGAGGGAGGAGGAGGAGGAGGAGGAGGAGGAGGAGGAGGAGGAGGAGGAGGAGGAGGAGGAGGAGAGCCTGAGCCTGCCGACGCGCAGGTTGATGGGTCTGGCCCTGCCTGCCTGCCTCAATACCTGGTCGCCGGCGGCGCCCGGGCGCTTGTCCAGTTCGAACTTGCCGCCCTCGCCGGCGCGGCGGAGCGGCGGGCTCGAGGTGGCAGCTCTGCACCCCGCCTCCACCACGCCGTGGAGGCAGCGCTGCTCCGCTCTCGCGAGCCCTGGCCGGCTGCACATGGAGAAGCAGCGCGACCCAAGCATGAGCGAGCCGGCCAGCTCCATCCTGGCCGCCATCGGAGCGCTGCCCTCGCGGCAGAGCTTGGTCCGGAGCTGCCGCAGCTGCCTGCTCGGGGACTGCGCCCTTCTGCAGGCATCGTGCTGCCAGAAGGAGCGCATAATAGAAGGAGGAGCGGAGGGGGCTCTTCTGGCCACGGCGGGCCTGGGCCAAAAGCAAGTCCCAAGACACACATCAAAAAGGAACAGCCCGAAAACTCGAGCACCTTCTGAGCCCACAGTGGTCCTGGCTTCAGCCTCCTGGCTGCACTCGGCACTCTGGGCGCACGGTGCCGTGGCCGTCGATGGCCGTGCCAAAGATGGCCTGCGCCACTGGCGCCTCGAAGCCGTGGGAGACGAGGCCTGTCCCTTCCTGTCGGGAGGGGAGGGAAGGGAGGGAGGGGAGGGAGGGGAGGGAGGGGAGGGAGGCGAGGGGAGGGAGGGGAGGGGAGGGAGGCGAGGGAGGCGAGGGGAGGGGAGGGGAGGGAGGGATGGGAGGGAGGCAAGCTAGGTGCGCTCTCGTCATATCTGACATCCTACCCCTCCCTTCCATCCTTCACCATGGCGTAGATCCCCTCTCTACTCGCACAGTCGGATGTCGAGCAGGGCAATGATCCCGAAAGGGTACGCGATGCATTGTAGAGCACGGCATGGCGTGGCGTAGAAAAGCACCGCAAAGCGTAGTATGTCACAGCATGGCGTGGCGTGGCGTAGTGAAGAATTGCATCACAAAGCTTTGCAACGCAAAGCATGGCATCGCACAGCGGCCCCGAACATAACATTGCATAGCATGGTGTTGAAGATCAAAACGTAGCATGGCATAGCACGACGTGGCACTTAAGCACGGCATATCACAGCTTCAGCTGAAGGCATGGCATCGCACAGCGGAACGCAACCCAATTAGCATTGCATTGCATGCCGTGGCATGGCACGGGAAATGACGCCAGCGCTGCAGCGGGAGCAAGATTCGGAACGAGCGGAAGCGCGGAAAAGGCCAGCGCTGCAGCGGGAGCACGATTCGGAACGAGCGGAAGCACGGAAATGAGGCCATCGCTGCAGCGGGAGCACGATTCGGAACGAGCGGAAGCACGGAAATGAGGCCAGCGCTGCAGTGGGAACACGATTCGGAACGAGCGGGGCCCGAAAATGAGGCCGGCGCCCCAGCGAGAGCAGCATTTTGAAAAAAATGCAAGCAGAAACCCAACTCCCGGGAATCCTGTGTAAAAAAACAGTACGCGGGGGGGGGGGGGGGGGGGCGAACACTCCCAACCCGTCATCAGGGGAAGGAGGAGAGTAGTATTCATATTGAGTAATTGTGGAGGAGGGGAGGGGAGGGGGGAGGGGAGGGAGGGGAGGAGAGGAAGGGCCGGAGACCAGCGCGGTGTCGTGATCCTTGCCCGCCGACCCCGACGCCCTCCGCGCCCGGGGACCGAGCGCCCTTCGCGTGTTCTTCCTCCTCCTCCTCCTCCTCCTCCCCCTCCTCCTCCTCATCCGCCTGCTCCTCCTGCCCTGATCACTCGGCGCCCTCATGCCCTGATCAACAGGCGCAGAGATTCACCCATTTGCCCCTTCTTTGTCAGGGCCATTTGATGAGGAGGGGGATAGCTCATAGCTGAGGTGAGTGACAGCGCGACGAAGTCCCGCAGTGCAAAAAGCTGCAGTGGCCCCAGACCCAGGCAGATGGGAAAAGAGGAAGGAGGAGGCGAGCGAAGAGAGGAGAAGCAGAGTTTCACCCATTTCCGCCTACGACTGCTCAAGTCTGCTCTCTTGCACATCGTCGATAGACCGGCAATATGCCCCCTATAGCAAATCCGAAAGTTCCTGAGCGGAGCGGGTTCTCGCGCCCCTATCGGCGATGAATGGGGGATCGTGGGTTGATGCATTACCTCCTGAGCCCATCCCCCCCGAACGTTGCCCCGTAGTTTACAAGTCATAACTCGGCTCTCCGGCGGCCCTTTCGGGATGACCTGGGCACTCGCAGAACGCTCTCGGCGTGGCGCAGCCGCCGGAATGCACCCAGAAGCTGGAGACACCGCCAGGAACCTACGAACATGTTCGAACAAGTCCCAGGCGGGGCGGGCTACCTCGCCCCTATCGGATGGGCGATCGGGGGTCGACGCATTCCCCCTCCGAACCTGTCCCCCCTGAACGTTGCTCCTGGGAGCAGATCATCGAACCAACTCGTCCATGCAGGCCGTGGGGTGTGGGGCGCGCCTCGTACGACTGCAGCTCCAGCTCCGCGCACAGCATCACGGCGTCGCACTGGGCCTGCTTCTCCAACGACTTCTGCCCGATGCTCCTTCGAATGGGTGCTTTCGAACGTCTTCGTGCTTGTCTAGCGTTTCTATGGTTTCGGGTGTTCCAGCAGTTCTCAAGTGTTTTCCAGCATCGGGATACTTTCCACCAGCTGCGCCTCGCATGGGGACTGGGGTGCAGAGAGCAGAACTTTGGCCCACAAGCCATTGCCCTGATGTGACGTTCTCTTGTGGCGCATTAGAAAGGAAGACCTGCAAACTGCTGTTTAGCTGCCAGGCGCCCGAGGCCCCGGCGGGACGAGAAGCCAGTCTCGGGGAAGCGGTCCAGAACTCTGGGGAGCTATGCTGCGAGCAAATCACGACGTCGGATGTCTGGAGCGCTCATGGAGGGCGAGGTCGAGAGGAGGGCAGAAGAGGCGAGAATGCAGGAGACGCGCAGGAAGAGGAGATGCCGTTGTTTTTGCCTAACAGCGAAGACTGATAGGTTTCTAGTAGAGTCAAAAGAAAGCATCATGACGCCCCAAGGGGGTCTGGGCGCGATCCGGGGGAGGATGCCGGGGACCCTTTTTTTAGCCAGCAGTGGCGCACTTCGTGGTCTTCGAGTTCCCAGAACTCCTTTCCTGGGCATGATTTTGAATGCCCGGAGCCAACTGCAGGCCACTTCGTGGTCTTCGAGTTCCCAGAACTCCATTCCTGGGCATGATTCTGAATGCCCGGAGCCAACTGTAGGCCACTTCGTGGTCTTCGAGTTCCCAGAACTCCATTCCTGGGCATGATTCTGAATGCCCGGAGCCAACTGTAGGCCACTTCGTGTTCTTCGAGTTCCCAGAACTCCATTCCCGGGCCACATTTTGAATGCTGAGACAGGCTGATGCTGAGGCTGAGGCAGGCTGAGGCTGAGGCAGGCTGAGGCTGAGGATGAGGCTGAAGGCAGACTGAGGCTGAGGCTGAAGCAGAATGAGGCTGAGGCTGAGGCTGAGGCTGAGGGCTGAGAGGCAGGCTGAGGCTGAGGCTGAGGCTGAGGCAGGCTGAGGCTGAGGCAGGCTGAGGCTGAGGCCGAGGCTGAAGGCAGACTGAGGCTGAGGCTGAAGCAGGCTGAGGCTGAGGCTGAGGCAGGCTGAGGCTGAGGCTGAGGCAGGCTGATGCTGAGGCAGGCTGAGGCTGAGGCTGAGGCTGATGCAGGCTGAGGCTGAGGCAGGCTGAGGCCGAGGCTGAGGCAGACTGAGGCTGAGGCTGAGGCAGGCTGAGGCTGAGGCAGGCTGAGGCTGAGGCTGAGGCTGAGGCTGAGGAGGCAGGCTGATGCTGAGGCAGGCTGAGGCTGAGGCTGAGGCTGATGCAGGCTGAGGCTGAGGCAGGCTGAGGCTGAGGCCGAGGCTGAAGGCAGACTGAGGCTGAGGCTGAAGCAGGCTGAGGCTGAGGCAGGCTGAGGCTGAGGCTGAGGCTGAGGCAGGCTGATGCTGAGGCAGGCTGAGCTGAGGCTGAGGCTGATGAAGGCTGAGGCTGAGGCAGGCTGAGGCTGAGGCCGAGGCTGAAGGCAGACTGAGGCTGAGGCTGAAGCAGGCTGAGGCTGAGGCTGAGGCAGGCTGAGGCTGAGGCAGGTTGAGGCTGAGGCAGGCTGAGGCTGAGGCTGAGGCTGATGCAGGCTGAGGCTGAGGCAGGCTGAGGCTGAGGCCGAGGCCGACGGCAGACTGAGGCTGGGGCTGAAGCAGGCTGAGGCTGAGGCTGAGGCAGGCTGAGGCTGAGGCTGAGGCTGAGGCAGGCTGATGCTGAGGCAGGCTGAGGCTGAGGCTGAGGCTGATGCAGGCTGAGGCTGAGGCAGGCTGAGGAAGAGGCCAAGGCCGACGGCAGACTGAGGCTGAGGCTGAAGCAGGCTGAGGCCGAGGCAGAGGCAGGCTGAGGCTGAGGCTAAGGCAGGCTGAGGCTGAGGCTGAGGCAGGCTGAGGAAGAGGCCGAGGCCGACGGCAGACTGAGGCTGAGGCTGAAGCAGGCTGAGGCCGAGGCTGAGGCAGGCTGAGGCTGAGGCAGGCTGAGGCTGAGGCTGAGGCAGGCTGAGGTTGAGGCTGTGACCTCGACTGCCGTTGCCACTGCGACTGTCATCGCGAATGCGACTACGACTGCGAGAACAGCATAATTTTACAACTGGATTCTCATCTGAATCTTAAGGGGAATGCTTCCAAATATGCTCCTACACATCGATGTTAGGTTGCTGTGCCGGGATAATTGTTCCTCGAATGTTGCTCCTGAGGCGGTGACCACACCGTGTGGGGGCGGAGACGCCGCCTCTGGCGCGCTCCGCGCGCCAGGGAAAAGAGATCCCAGCGCCGGTCCAAGATATCCACGCGGAGCTCCGCACGCTCATGCTCCTGCCGTTTTTTGTTCTGTCGACCGGGGCGGCAGCCCCACGCCCGCGTCCACGGAGACCCCCCGCACGCCAGGCCGCCGCCGTGGCTTCCTTCCTGCCCCTCTCCCTCGCCCCTCGTCGCCCCTCGTCGCCTTCGCGCCTCGGCTCCCGCGCGGGAAGCGCTGGGCGGGCGGAGGGCGGGGCGCGGGCGCGCGCCCAGACGAGGGCAGCTCCGCGAGAGCCCGGCGGGGGCAGTTCCGCGAGAGCCCGGGAGACGGTGTGGTCCCGCGTGGGGGGCTCTCTTGAGACCTCACCTTCGGGTGTGGGTCGGAGCCGCCCGCGGCCTCCCTCTGGGCGGTGTCCCGGGGCACGGGGCACGCCTCTCTCGCGTCGCCAGAGAGGAGCAACAGCAACAGCAACAGCAACAGCAACAACGATACTAACAACAACACCAACAACAACACGAACAACCACAACAACAACAACCACAACAACAACAGCAACAACAACAACACCAATACGAACAACACCAACAACAACACTAACAACAACAACAACAACAACACCAACAACAACAACAACAACAACAACAACAACAACAATAACAACACTAACAACAACAAGAACAACAACAACAACAACAACAGCAACAACAACAACAACACCACCACAACCAACAACAACAACACCACCAACAACAACACCAGCAGCAACAACAACAACAACAACAACAGCAACAACAGCAACAACAGCAGCAACAACAACAACAACAACAATTACTAGCACGTGGGGACACTCCGTTCTCACCAGTGCCAGGGTTTTCATAGGAGGCGGGCAATACCCCCACTTTGTGGGGGGGCCGGTTCAAGCTCTACCAAATTTCCAAACGACTCTTCGCCACCACCCACACCCAGCTTCCCGCCCTATGACGTTCGGACACTTCACTTCGTGGCATGCGGACGACCGTGGCTACTATTCAGGGCCCCGCGGCCGACGACGACGGCGTGCGCGCGCGAAGAAAAAACGAATGTGTCCCGCATGGTATTATTTGACAGGGATGATGGCCCTGGCAGGTGCGCAACCGTTGTTGCAGAAGTTCGAAAAAGTTGCTCGCAAAAGCCCGTTTGACAGAAATGATTAAAAAGTGTTGGGTTTCCTACGAATCCGCAAGAGCGCGCGGGATGAAATTTTGACAATTTTTTTTTGAAAAACCATTGGTTTTTTGATGTTTTTATGTTAAAATCGCTACGAAAACTAAGGTTTTGGAAGGATTTCGTCTTGCGCGCGCGAATGTCCACTTTACCTTATTTTTTGCAAGGGATTCTTGAAGTTTGGTTATGTTAGAACAAGAAATGTCCACTTTAGCTTATTTTTTGCAAGGGAAAACCGATCGTAACAACACAACCGGATCCGGACTCCCCCGTTTTGCCTGAGACTTCCTCACGAAAATGATGAAAATGAGGCTGCGGCCTAGGCGCGGCGGGGGGGTCGTGCACCAGGGGCCCCAACAATAATTATTCTTTAGAAGTAATAATGTTCAACAACATCAACAGCATAATCATGCACTTCCAGAGGCCCGCGCGGATCTCTTCGATCGCCGCTGGGCCCCCCGGCTGGCGCGCGGAGCACGCTGGGGCCCTGAACGTAAGCGTTTGGGCGATTCTCCCCCCTGCGAGCCGCAGGAAAAACCTGCAGCGCAGCAGGCAGGAGCAGACCAGGAGCCTCGGCCCCGTCGTTAATGCGGCCTTTCCGTCGTGAGCTGTTCGCGACGTGGCCCCCCAGAGGTCTGGAGCCCCCCAGAGGTCTGGAGCCCTTCCCTGGGACCCGCTCTCCAGCCCGCGCCACGGCCCGGGGGCACAGTGAGGGCCCCCGGCGGTCGAAAGTGAGCAAAATTCACAAGGAGGAGGAGGAGGAGGAGGAGGAGGAGGAGGAGGAGTTCAAGTACCCTGAAAAGAGGAAGAGACGAGGGCAAGCGGGCACGACGCGAGAAGAGGAAAGATGTCCCGCCCGAGTCCGCCGCCCTCTACTTCCATACGTGAGCTGTGGTGGTGCTCAGGCGCACAGGCAACTCACGCGCTGCGGGGAGCGCGGGGCCAGACACGCGGAGAGCGGATGTGTATTCGTGCGTGCTCTGAAATGCAGGAAACGCGGGGATGGGAGGCAGAGACAAGGGCGACAAGCGGGAAGAGGCGAGCGGGGCAGGGGGCACATTGCTACAAAAGCGGGCGGGGGCCTCAGACGCCACTCCGAGCGGCGAGAATCCACGATCACCATGCTGGCGCTCAGCAGCACGTTGCAACAGAACATCGACACAGCACGCAAGATTCGTACTGCAGCCACGTAGTTGCAGAAGGTCCGAGCGGCGAAAGAACGGGATGCCAGGAGCTGGCCAGTCATGCAGGGCGTCGTCGGGATGGTCACGACGATCCGCGCCGGCCACTCCAAGCGGCGGGACGGCACGCGCATCAGCATGCAGAGCTTCTTCGGGAATGGCTTGACGAGCAGCAAAAGCCACACGAGGCGGCAAAGCGGCACGAGCATCATCATGCGCCACTCCGTGGGGATGGTCGGGGCGAGCCGCAGCAGCCAGTCCAGGCGGCGGGACGGCACGTGCAGCAACATGCAGCGCTTCTTCGTGGTTGTCGTGGTGTGCAGCGCTAGCCACTCCAGGCGGCGGAACGGCACGAGCAGGAAGCAGAGCTGCTTCGGGATGGTCGAGACGAGCCACGTCAGCCACTCCAGGCGGCAGGACGGCACGAGCCACATCATGCAGCTCTTCTGGGGGACGGACGGGACGAGCAGCGACAACCACTCCTGGCTGTGGGGCGGCACGAGCAACATCATGCAGAGTCTCCTGTGGATAGTCAGGCTCTCCAGTCCCAGCAACCTTGGATGTCCTGGAGTGGGTGGATCTCGGAGGGCCCGTCATAGGGCATTCCGTGTTGCACTCTGGGCCTGTGGGCGGCGCCCCGACGGACTGGTCGCTCTCCGTGGACAGGGTAGTCTCGAACACGAGGTCGTACCACGCGTCGAAGCAGCGGACGAAGGGCCTGTTCTGGAGGAGCGTCTTACGCCGTGCTACGCGCTGCCATTCGCGTACAAGGGGGCGTAGGGCAGCAAGAGCCACACCGACAGCACGGGGACGGGATTCAGCAGCGGCAGCTTCATGCAGAGCACTATCAGGGGCGCCGTCTCCAGCGACGTCAGCAGGAGCGTCTCCAGCACCAGCAGGGAGAGCGTCGAGAAGTAGGTCATGCAGGCCACCAGCAGGTCGGCGGACTTCGGATCGTTGAGCGGGTCGGGAGTGCAGAACACCATCAGCGCCGGCGGTAGTGTCAGCGCGAGCGTCAGGAGCGGGAACAGCTTGCAGGAGGTCAGGAAGGCCACCCTCCGGGCGGCGGACTTCGGATTCATGAACGGGTTGCACATGCAGAAGAACGGAATGGTGTCGCGGACGATGGCGGCCCTCGGCGGCAGCAGCACGAGCAGGGTCATCATGGGCTGGTGCGTCATCTGCCTCTTCGCGTCGGTGAGGCCGAACTTCAGGACCATGGGCAACGTCAGGAGGACGCCCGCGAATCAGCTGCAAGAAGTTCGCGACCAGCGGCAGCTCGTTGCCCCTGCAAGTGCCCAGCGGAGCAATCACCCGCGAGGCAGCTGGAGGCGCAGCAACGTGTGGAAGGAGAACGTGTAGTTGAAGAGTCTGGCGCTTGCCAACGCGTGCTGGGCCGCGATCGCCTTGCAGAGCTTGGCATGCGCGGCGATGCAGAGCGTCAGCACCCCTGCGGTGCGGCATGACGAACAGCGTCAGCAGCAGAGGCAGCAGGCGCCATCGCGTGGACATACGGATCCGACGGCCACAAACGCTGGCGGCGCGGCGCACGACCAGGGGGCCTTGGGCGAAATAGCTGTGGAACTCATTTCGGCCCAAGCCCGAGATCCCACGGAGGGGACGGACTTGAGCCAAAATGGCTACGGAAGGAGGAGGAGGAGGAGGAGGAGGAGGAGGAGGAGGAGGAGGAGGAGGAGGAGGGAGGAGGACCTCCGCCCCCGCTTTCCGGGTCGGCGGCACCTGGGCCCTCGGGGACGATCCGGGCGCCCCCAGAGCGCCCTCGGCGAGGCGCAGCTGCCGGGAGGCATCCCCGAGGCTGGAGGACCGCCGAGAGCGGGCAAAAAAGCGCACATGAAAGCCTCGGACCTCGAAGCTCTCGAGCTGCGAAGCGCAGAACGCATCCCTGAGATACGCCTCACACATCTCAGCCATCTCCGAAATCGCGTCGCCGCTGAACTCCTGGGTCGAGGCCCGAACCAGGAGCAAGGGGGAGGAGGAGGAGAGGGGAGCGGGCAGCGAGGCCGCCCGAAATGGCTACCGCGAGCAACCTCGATGTCAAACCTCGGCCAGGGCAGACCACCACGGGCGCCCGAGACGGGGGCGTCCAAGCGGGGGGTCCGCCGCTCCTGGCCCCGGGCGTGTGCGCGGCCGAGAGGCCTCCTCTTGGCCGCCCCCGAGACTGCAAGAGCAGCACCTCGGTCCGGCAGGGAGGCTCTGGCCATCGCTCGGACGTCGATTGCCTGTGTTTGTGTTCGGGATCGTGCGTGGTTTTTGCGCCAAGTGATCAAGGATTCTCCTCGATGGCCCTCGCCGAAGGAAAAATGCACACGTCCAAACGATGCCAGGGGGCTGGGGCGCCAGGCCGGCGCACCGCCGGCGGAGGAGAGGCCGGCGGCGCCGCGGGCCGGACCGGCGGGCGCCTCAGCGCAGCGCGCTGATCCGCGGACAGGAGCCCGAGGTGCTGCATGCCGTAGTTCAGGAGGTTGCGCGCGCCCTGCGCCGGCGCCGGCGCCGCCGCCGACGACGACGACGGACGACGACCGACGAGGACACCTCGTCGACGACGACGACGACGACGACGACGACGACGGACGACGGACGACGACTGACGAGGACACCTCGTCGACGACGACGACGACGACGGCATGCGCCCTGCACCAGCGACGACGGCCATCACAACCACGACGACGCATGCACGGTCGGAAACGTTTGCTTAGCGTGTCGCGGCGGCGGCCCCGGCGACACGCTATGCCTTGCAAAGGGATAGCGTGTCGCTCCGCGCTTGTCGCTCCGCTCCGCGCGGCGTGGGTCGGGAGAGCCTCGAGACGCTGACGCGTCGGGACTGGGACGTGGATAACGCGCCGCGCCGAAGAGACGTGGTCCAGAACCGGCGGCGCGACACGCCAAGATAAAGTTCCTGAGCGCCCGAGGCTGTCTGGGCAAGTCCGCACCCACGGCCTCGCGACTCGGACTTCCTCCCCCGGGCGCGGCCCTGCGAGTGCAGCGGCGGCGCCTGCGGAGTGCCCCCGCGCGGAGCGCCCCAGACCTCTGGCGGCGTGACTCTCGAGCCGTCCGCGGTGGACTCCTGCTCTCTTGGTCTCGAGTGTAGACTTCGTGAGTTCATAGCTTGGCTCCAGATTCCTCGACTCCCTTCTCCAGGACCGGCTTTCAATCCCGAGCCGGTTTTTGGAGGCCCCGCGGGGCACGGGGGCAAATGGCCCCCCTGGGGGCCGAGCAGATCAACCACCAGCCTCCAAAGGCCACTTGCGCCACCGCGTGGGCACGGGACCCAAATTGAGCAAGGACCGACGGTCCCGGCACTCCTATAGGCCTACCGCGACACCTTCTTAGAAACAGATAATGTTCCAAGAACAATAACACGGTTCTTAGAACATGAAGCAGATGTAATGAAATACGGCTGTCTCAACCAGAGGTGCTCTAAGAACATTTCGTGGAAACCAAGAAAAGGTTCCGAGAACATTCTCAGGTGAGCCTACAGGCAGGCTAGGACGCTTCGCAACTGCTTGTTCGGCTGCGAGCCCACGGGGAAAGCGAGAGGGGGCGGGCCGTCTCAGAGGGCGGTGGGGCTTCTTAGATTCTGAGAGCCCTTCGAGAATTCGGAGAAGCCTTCGGAGCCCCCTCCGAAGCCACACAGACGGCTTCTCAGAAGGCGCGAAGACATCTGAGAAGCAACGTATGTACATTATGTGCGAGAGTAATGCCAAAACATGTTCCGCCCTCTTGGCGCCTACGTGTGTCTAACAATGCCCCTATAAGCGCGTTGTTAGTGTCTATTAGCGCCGATTGGCGCTTGCAGTAGGAGCTCGACCACAAGAAACCTTCCACATGAGACCCAACCCTGAGACCCTGGGGCGTCCATCGATTCTTGAAGTGGGAACGTCACGCTTTCCATAGCAAAACCATCGACACCCAGGAAATCCAGGGCACCCTGGAGGCAAGCAGGGTGCTTCTTGGCATGGGTTGATGGGCCTGTTTTCCAGCACCACCATAAGTTGGAGGGCAAGGGGGTCCTCCTCCTCCTCCTCCTCCTCCTCCTCCTCCTCCTCCTCCTCCACCTCCTTCCCCCCTCCAACTGATGGTGGTGGTGGTGGAAAGCAGGCCCATCATGGGTCCCCACTGTTGCACACCCAAGCCGCCTTCCCCTTTCGCGCTCCACCCTGTACTCGCCGCCGACGGGTGGCGCCTGGCGCCTCCCAAGAGTGCATGGCGGCGCCTCGCCACCCGAAGCGGCCGGCTGGCTGGGCTTCAGCGCGGCCCCACGATCCGGAGGAGGTGGAGGGAGGGAGGACGACGACGGAGGACGAAGAGGGGGGGGAGAGCCGAGAACCTCCCGCCGTGATTTTTGCCACGGCGAGGTGGAAGCCTGGGCGTGTGCATGGGAGCGCGCGCTCCTGGGACCGCGCCTACGTCCCAGACCTCGGAGTCTGAACTTCTGTTCAGGGCGGGATCCCACGAAGTGCCGGCCCTCTCTCCCTGGGACCGGCCCCTCAGCCAAGGAGTCGTTTCTTGACGGCCCCAGGGCCCGACAAGGGCCCCTGGAGGCTGAAAGCTGCGAAGATCGCCGTGTTGATCTCGCGCCAGACGTTGGATCTACTTTTCTGCTCGTGTGATAAAAGTTGTTGGTTATCTAATGCTCTTCTTGGTATCCGTAACAGTTGCACTTTCAACAATAATACGAAGAATAGCAATCGATAATATAGCAATGATAATACGAATCGCAGTCTTACGAATGCTACTAGTAATATTGGTATTACCATTATTGTTGGCATTCGTCTTAAGAGCATTCGTATCAATATCAGTTGTATGCGTACCCTTTGGGCGTTATTATCATCATCATGGTATGTTCTTCTAATGTGTGTTTCGATAACTGCTTAATGCATGAACAGATATGTTGGCATTCGTCTTAAGAGCATTCGCATCAATATCAGTTGTATGCGTACTCTTTGGGCGTTATTGTCATTATCATTGTCTGTTCTTCTAATGTGTGTGTGTGTGTGTTCGATAACTGCTTAATGTATGAACAGATATGTTTGTATAGATTGTGGCGCAGGCCGCGAGGGCACCTGGAGGGGGGCCCGCCATCCGCCGCCGCGCGGCCTGCATTGTGGGCAGCTGGAGCGGGGGGATGCCGAGGCTCTCCATGTCCTGGGCGGGGAGGGAAGGGGGAGGGGCGAGTCTAGGGCCCAGAGCGAGGGGGACCGTCTTCTTCCTCCTCCCTCTCCTTCTCCTCCTCCCCCTTCTCCTCCCTCTCCCTCCCCCATCCTCCTCCTCCTCCTCCCCCTCCCCCTCCACAATGACACAATATGAATACTACACTCCTCTGTCCCCTGATGACGTGCGGAAGATGTTGCCCCCCCCTTCGCGTACTGTTTTTACACCGGATTCCCAGGAGTTGGGTTCTCGCTTGGGTCTTTGTTTCAAGAGGTTGCTCCCGCTGAAACGCTGGCCTCATTTTCGGACTTCCGCTCGTTCCGAATCGTGCTCCCGCTGCAGCGCTGGCCTCATTTCCGCGTTCCCGCTCGTTCCGAATCGTGCTCCCGCTGCAGCGCTGGCCTCATTATTTCCAGTGCCATGCCACGGTATGCACTGTAATGCTATGTGGTGCTCCGCTGTTCGATGCCATGCCTTCAGCTGCACTGCTAGGATATGCGCAGTGCTTGACTACGTAGTGCCACGCCATGCGCCATGCTATGTGCTATGCCATTGATCTTCAACGCCATGGTATGTCATGTTCTGTTCTGTGCCGCTGTGCGACGCCATTATTCGCGTTGCAATGCTTTGTGATGCAATGTTTCACTACGCAAGACCACACCATGCTATGACATACTACGCTCTGCCGTGCTCTTCTACGCCCTGCTATGCAGTGCTCTACGATGCATCGCGCACCCTCTCGGGATCATCGCCCTGTTCGACATCCGACCGTGCGAACAGAAGGGAGATCTACGCCATGGTAAGGGATGTGGGGGGAGGGGGAGGACGTCAGATATGACGCGACCGCGCGTAGCTTGTCCTACTCCCCCTCCCCCCTCCCCCCTCGCCCCTCCCAGACCGCGACGATCGCCGTCTGGAAGAAGGCAGCACCATGGCCCCGCAGGCGGGTGGTCTTTTTTCCTCTCGGCGCGACTTTAGGAGGAGGAGGAGGAGGTGGAGGAGGAGGAGGAGGAGGAGGAGGAGGAGGAGGAGGAGGAGGGGGAGGAGGTCGGTCGGTCAGTGGCTGCATCGGGCCTCTGGTCGAAAGATCACTCAACCACAACTACACATCATAACGAATCGATATGTACGACCTGCAGTGCGCGCTCAGGCCTAGGAAAACAAGGCGTGCCCTCCCTGGGAGCCCCGAATTGCGGAGGAGGAGGAGGAGGAGGAGGAGGAGGAGGAGGAGGAGAGCACCCGATGATCGTCCCACATGCGCATCGAGTCCGCATTTGGGGCCGGGGAAGCCTCGATACGAAGACGCTGAAACTTCGCATCGGCACACCATATGGGGCAGCCGAGGAAATAGGACAGACCAACGGGGACCTCACGGCAAGCCAGGACATTGGCGCAACCATGAGAACTGCAGCTTTGGGTCAAAGCATGATCCGTCTTTCGTTTTCTCCAGCTGGACCTGGCAAAGTCCTGGTTTGCAGCGTCCTGGGCTCTGACTCGGCGGCGAGCGAGGGGGGCGGGAAGTGAGAAAGAGAAGGCCTTCTCAGAAGGTTCGGAAGTCACTCGGCCTTCCGAGAAGTTTCTGAGCCTTCCCCGAAGACAGAAAAAAAACTTCTCGGAAGGCGCGAGGGCTTCTGAGAAGTGCCGCCGCCTTCTGAGAAGGCCTTCTCCTTCTCATTTCCCCCCCTCGCTCGCGGCCGACTGACAGTGAAACGCAAGCACATCCACGACCCCGTCCAGTTGGCAGATCGACCTCTCGGTCGAAGATCGGCGCAGCATGCTCCCCAAAGGGTCGAGCTTTGGTCGTACGACTCGTGGCTGGTGCAGCGAAGGGAAAAGACATTCATGCGTCATTCGCAAGGGGACTTCGCAATAAACCCATACTTGGGAGGAGACCCGATTCTACTCCATCATTGATCCGCGCAAGAACGGACCAATTTGGGATGCGGCGCCGCGGACCGCGGACCAGGCGGACCGGGAATAAGGGGAATGGGATAAATTAAGATGGTGAATCAGCGTCCACCTGCGATGATATCCCCACGCAGCTCTGAAAACCCAGAATCCAAACCAAATGACACTTTTCGAAAATACATATGTTGCATCTGCTAGCCTTCCGCCAACGGAGAATCCTCGTTCTACTTCCGCTGGCTTCCGCGGACATTCTGCCGCCTTCCGCCGAAGAAGAGATGCCAGCTTCTCGATCCCTCGAGAGCATGGCCCTTTCTGGAACGACGCATGCGTCCCTCGACCTGTTATGGAAAACAACCAGGTGCAGCCACGAAGCGGACGGACATTGAACACATGTAAGCATTAATGAAACGCGGCTGGTGCAGATAGGAAGAACGGGAAGAACCTGGGAGCAAGAGGGGCAGAGGAAGGAGGAACAAAGAAAAGAAGAAGAGGGAAGTGTGATGCTGGTGCTCAAGTTGCCAATTGTCTCTTGGAAAAGCACGCGCCTTGGAGCCGTGCAGGACCTCTTTTGAGCCTCCTGAGGCGTCTTCGACTTTTCCTGGAGGCTTTCCTGTTGGACATGCTGTAAGACCAAGCATCTGAATCAGAAGTACCTAAAGCCCCGACGCCATGATTTTGTCAGAACGTCGACCCAAATAAGTCTCGACCTCTTCCCCGGGATTGGTTTTTCATCCCGAGCCGTTTCCTGACGGCCCCGAGGCCCGGCGAGGGCCCCCGGAGGCCGAAACTGGCAGCAAAAACGCCCGCCCTGTTTCTTCATGACCCGAGGGGGGCCTGGGCCATGACCACGAAAAAACACATCCCCAATCCCAAAATCGCGGATTCACCGAGGATTCGAAGATCGGCCAAAGATTTCGGGGTATGATTTGCGTTCGTCGTCGTCGCCCTGGTAAAACCCTACCCCAAAATCTCCCTCCCAGAAGTCTCGAGGTGTCTGCATTTTGTCTTGGCCCTCGCGTTTTTGGGATTGGGCATCTGGTTTGACTTAGTGAGACCATGCGCTCACAAAGGCATCCCCGACCCCCAAGACCTCACCCGCACACCGAGAGAGGCACGTCCTTCAGGAGGCCCTGCAGGCCGCCCTCCTCGTCGCGCCGCTGCCTCTCCCCGGGGAGGGCGGCACGCCACGCGAGCGCGGGGAGGGCACAGAGGACTGCGAACGCGCCGACGGCATTCAGCGATCCCAGACCACCTCGAGTCTGGAGGAAATCACGACGGACGGCTTTTCGCCATTCTGAGCCTCTGGGGGCCCTCGCTGGGCCTCAGGACAATCAAAAAAACGACTCGGGATGAAAAACTTGTCCTGGACAATGGCTCGAGATCTCCTGGGGTCGAAGTCAAGAAAAAAACATTACGTCGGGGGTCTGGGACTTCAGCCTGCCAGGAAGTACCTACCACGTGCTAAGTCCCCGGGCCCCGCTTGCCAAGGGTGATAAGGCGTGTCAGATGTGTGGCTGTCCCCCTCCCCCCCTCCCCTCCCCCAGGGTCCCAGATCCGTTAAAACAAGGGGGTTGGGAGGGGACGAACTTGTCAACGCACCCCGCGGGCCCTCGGAGGCGGAAGAGGGCCCCAAGACGGGCTAAGAGAACTCCCTAGAGGGCATCATGACGGGCCAAGAGGGCTCTGAGACGGCCCAATAGCACTCCAAGATGCTCTCCAGACGGCCTGAAAAGCCCCCAAGACACCTTAAGAGCGCTCAAATAGGCAACCCAAGAGGGCCAAAGTATTGACTCCCCATCGGCTTCGAACAACTTGTGTCAGGCAGCCGACGCTCCAAGACTGCCCAAGAGGCCCTCATTCACTGGGGGTCGGCGGAATAGCGCAAGCTCCTTAAACCAATGAACGCCAACATGATTTTGAACTACTGCCAGAGCGTCGTTCAGCCGATTCCTGCCCCACTGGCGTGGCCTTGGCATCACTGGCTGATGTATCCCCTCTAGGTGGGGACACACGCTGTTTCCTTCGGGCTTCGCGGTGCCAATCCCCGCCCGGGCGAGTGACCTGGTGGGGCCGAGATACGACTGCCGAATAGGGGTGGGACATCGGATAGATGATGCTCAGTCTCGCTGGCGACATCGGCCATCTATCAACCACCGCACAGCGTCAGCAACCACGCCGTGGCATGTGGCCAGGCTGCCACAGAATGCAACCCGCCAGGCGCAAGTGCCGCCACCCTGCCAGAACAGCATCGGCACGTGCGCAGACTGGGCCCGCCAGAGGCGTGGCACCCCGGGATCCCAGCGGGCCTCGAGGACACTCCTAGGCATTTTTGGGCACGATGGTCTTGCCGAGCCCTCTAGAGAATCACATGGGGGCCGTCTGTGACACAGTAGCGCGGCGCGGCCATGGTGTTACATGACTGGTGCGATGCCTTCCAACGAGCGTGTCGGAGGCGTCTCGGGGGGCTCACTTAGGGTATTCCTGATAGCTCCTGGGTCTCCCTCTGTGAGAAGTCCCACTGCGCCACAGGTCATTTCTCGCTGCGACGCGACCATTGCGCCTCAAGAAGTTCGTGAGGAAGATGGTGTCGATGGTCATGGCCAAACTGTCGTTCTCCACTACCTTGTGCTGCGCCGTGTTGCCGTGCTGGGAAGCGGTTTCCCTTTTCTGATGCTCGCCGCTCACATCGACAACGTGAAACCACCAGAACAAATTCTACCTGAGCGTCACATCTCCGAGACATGCGCCGAAACATGGAGTTCGGATGTCCAGATCGAGGGGGGACAGAAAGAGCATAGCATGCCCGAGGCCACCGATGTTCCGACGAGCGGCTCGCCGCATTCCCAGCGCGGCGGCTACAATGCAATGCCCGGAAATACCTAGACCCTCATCCTCACACTGAAACCCTTGGGGCCACCATTATCCTTCATAATCTCAGCTCTGTGCTGCAGATTGCCCATTCAGTGGTGCACATCCCCTTCCCCTGACCTCCTCATCATCACTCTCCTCTCTGCTCTCCTGCACCTCCATCTCCTCTTCGCCGCCGCCCCTGCGGCATCCACAGCTCCGAGCCAGCTCCTCTGCTGCTATGTGCTACCGCTTCCGTCCACGGCCACCGTCGTCTGCACTCGTGAGGAGGAGCAGGAGGGAACGATGAGGAGGGAAAGAGGAGGAGCAGGAGGAGGAGGATGGAGAGAGGAGGAAGGAGATGGGAGGAGGAGGAGGAGGAGGAGGAGGAGGAGGAGGAAGAGGAGGTCTCTCGACTCTTCCAGGCGTCGCCGCCGCACCTCCCGACCTCTCAGAAGGCATCGGAAGGCCCGAGGCCCCCCGAGCAGCTTCTTCGATCCTGCCCGACTCGACGGAGGCGGCCCCTCGCGAGGCCAGGGGCCCTTGCCGCCTCCCGAGAGGGCTCCCGCTTCCCCACCCGGGCGCGCCGCCGATCCTGGGGAGGGAGACGAGGACGGGGAGGGGCTCGGAACGAGGAGGAGAAGGACGATGGATGGACGAAAGAGAGATGGAGAGAGGATAAGGACGAGGAGGACGAGGAGGACGAGGAGGACGAGAGAGATGGAGAGATGGACGAGGAGGATAAGGACGATGGATGGAGAGAGAGAGAGAGAGAGGTGGGCGATGGTGTCGGTTATGTGCTGCCCCTCTGGCAGCAGCGAGCGTCAAAAAGAGAGCACCTTCCACCCGCCGTCCATGTCGGAGATGGCCAGCGCAAACCTCGAGGCAATGTCGCGCCACATGCAGGCGATGGGCCCAGAGGATGTGAAATGCACAACCAGGAAAAAGATAGTGTGCGCCTCATCTGTGCAAAATGCGGACCGAGCCCTGCGCAGCCGAATCTATTGCGATGCCCAGGCTCTGCCTGGGAATATCTGAGAGCGGCATGAAAACAGCAGCACTGCTACTGCAACAGCAGCACACTCGAGAGAGGCGCTCCATCCTGAAGATCTTGTCCCGAAAAGGTCGCAATCGACTACCCATGGCCTCAGACGATGACAAAGGTTCGGGGAAACCGTCAAGTACCGATATTATGGCTACTCCCCGGGCCCTGGACCTCTCCTCGGGTGCGTCCTGACAAGAATTGCGAGGCGAATCCAGCCGTGGCGCCGATGGCCTTCCCGGATGCCGAACAAAAAGAGCCGAAGCGAGGGAAGGGCAGCGGCATCAGCACCTTTTCCCTCCTGCGAGGGCAGGGCCCTCCCCCAGGCGCTTGCGGCAGGCGCCTGCTCCGGACAGAGCAACAAGGAGCGAGAACAGACAAGGAGGGGACGGCCTGTACGGTGCACAAGCTGCCACTCGCAAACCAGGGCTGAACCTAAACGGTGTTTTGCGTCGTCGTTTTGGTTTCGTCTTCCCTCGTTCTGTCTTCAAGCCGCCCCTGCCGCCAAACGAAGTCGGAACGAAAACGGCCCACGAAATCGCCCAAACACCGTTTAGGTCCAGCCCTGCCGCAAACCGGGGGCCGCCCAGGCCGCGTACCACTGGCCATCCCGCGCCGCTCGCCCGTGCGGCCGGGACTGCGAGCGCGGGCGATCTCGCTCTGAGGCGGAGCAGATTCCACAAGCACGGGTCCCGTGGGGGGACAAGAAGGACCGATACCGCTACGCTACTCCTTCGACATCCTCTCGGGTGCGTTCTGACCAGATTTGCGAGGCGAGCCCAGCAGCCGTCTTGACGAGGGACGGGCAGCGGCATATGTTCCTCCTCTAGGCCCTATAGGCTCTGGTGCGAGGCACGTTCAATACACCCGCTTCCCAAGCTCGTACCGTCTAGCTGTCTCGCCCACTTCTTCCGGCCGACACGTGCTCACGAGCAGCAGCATAGAGGTCCCCGAGACGGCCTGGGGCTACAAGAGGCAACGAACTCGCAGAAGCCCTTCCAGGAGCCGCCCAACGATCCCTTCAGCTGGTCGAAGATGTCCTCCAACACCGCGTTCAGGCTGAGATGCGAACCCACCTCAGTAGCCAGAAAAACGTCGTACATGACACACGGCGAGAGCACAGGAGGAGGAAGGAGCGGGCATTCCCCCGAAACGCCAGCTGGAACATTCCAATCTCATTCAAATCGGCAGAGAATTCAGTCAGCGCCCACATGTAGATGAGGGCGAGAAGGCCCAGCAGAAATGGGACGTGGCAGCTGCGAGCAGTGGAGACATGATCAGCCAGGCGTCTGCGCGGGCCCGTCGGCTTTCCAGGGGCCTCCGTCGACTTCCAAGAAAAGTCACCGCGCAGAGGCCCCCCCTGGAGGCGCCCCGAAGTCTCCACAGAGACGCCTCCCGGTCCCGAAAGAGAGCAGGCAGCCCCAGACATGGAGGGGGCTGCGTGGATCTGCGCTGGATGGGCACCACCAAAGACACTCAGGAGAGGGAAAGGGGGCAAATTCGGCATTGACTGCCCATCTGGAGAAGGCGGCCAAGAGGGACAAGGAACGGCATCTGTGCACGATGGTGCACCTCCCCCTCTCTCACGGCTGGAACCAGTGATGCCCCACCTCAGCCCCCAGCCGGCTCCAACCTCCAGACCCTCCATCCTCGAAGTCTCCGAGGACGGAGGGTTTGGGGCTTCTTGTTCTCAGCCGACGGGTCGAGGAGGCTCGAGACGAACCTCCTGGGCCCTTCTCCTGCCGTAAGGCCCCTGCAGACGCAGCGGCCACGCGTCGCATCTCGAACCCCCGCCCCCCTCCGCGGGGGGTCAGCCCAGGTCGCCTACGAGACTGACTTCGCGCAACGCGCCTCACGATGTGCGGCAGGCGGTTACCTTTGCGCCCTCGCGCCTCCCCCGTGGAGAAGGGCCGCAGCCCTGGCCCAAACCGCCACGCGCAGAGCGTGGTCATCTTCGCGCCCCGAGGGGGGCACCCGCCTTGGCGAGAGACAAAATACAGGTGAGCAGAGAGAGGGGCAGCGAATCCTCGGAGAGACGTCATGGCCCCAGCCATGACATCCAACCCCTCGCCTCCCACATCGGCTCCTTGCCCCCCTCGCGGACGCCCCCTCCTCCGCCGCCGCGCTGCCTTCCATGCCGCTCCTCCTGCGCAGGCCCCTGCAGGAGCCGCCCCCTCCCCGCGGCCCCCCGCTCGGGCGGCCCCGCGCGCCGCCAACTGGAGCCGAGCCGCGCAAAGGAAGGGCCGCGGCGCCTCCGCGAGTGCGCGTTTGGTGGTGGTGGGGGGGAGCCCGCGGCCCGAGGGCCGCGCGTGGCTGGAGTACTTCGTCTGGAACATGGAGTCCGCCATCGCCTGACGCCGGGCACTCGGGAGGCAACGCTCACGCAGCCCGCAGCCTCGTCCTCATCACGGGGGGCGTCCAGGTCGGCCTCGATTGGGCAGGACACGCCAGAGGATCAAGGACCCTTCCGAGGGCCACGTTGCCAAAGGCATGCAGGAGGCACGGGTCGCGAGACACAGGACACAAAGGTAACCTTGAGCTGGCAGGGTCCACCTACTAACCCCAAAGGGTCTTTAATAAACCCCCGGGCAATAATGGGAAAACAAATAAGTTGTCCGCCGGCTTAATGACGGACTGGGACCCCGACAATAGTTGGAAATTAATTTTTCTCGTCGGGGGATGCATGAGAGGTCACGAGAAGTGCTCAAAAATCCCGTCGCTCAACGCCTGGCGGCCTCCTCCTCCTCCTCCTCCTCCTCCTCCTCCTCCTCCTCCTCCTCCTCCTCCTCCTCTCCGACACACCACCGCCACCGCTGCTGCACGCACTGGAACATGCACTGGACCTGCAGGGAGCGGAGGGGAAGGAGGGAGGGGAAGGAGGAGGAGGAGGAGGAGGAGGGACGAGTTTCTATTCCCCGCCGAGAGCTTAGGGGGGGTGCATCATTAAAGACCCTCGGCGGTTAATCCGGGCCGACTGTAGCGGCCGCAATTGTGCAAGAACATCTGCGCGAGTGTGATCGAAACCGGCGCCAGGCATTTGCCGACCGCGCCCGAGTGTGGCCGAAATGTTTGGTTTGAAACAAATGCGATTTCCACTTTAGGAAACAAGTTCGGTCATACTATGTACGCTTTCGGCCACAATTTCGGGCATCGTACCAGTCACATATTTCGTTTGGTCATACACCTTTTTGGCTGATAGGGGCCAGGCGCCATGACAACTCCTGGGGACCTTGCAGGAACGAGCATGGGCTACTGAGTCCGATGACGGGGCCACTAAGCCAGACCAGGCCAGATCAAACCCAGGGTTATAGGCCGAATCAGGCGGGATCCAACGCAGACGTGGACGGTTCTGAAACATGTGTGTGTGTGTTTTTGTGTGTGTGTGTGTGTGCAAACGTGCCTGTGCCGAACTTGACATCCCAGAGGCTGTGGCCGAGCGAGCACGAGGAAACTCGCAGGAATGTCCAGGCGTCTGCCCGTGTGTTGCGCGCTGTGTGGGCGCCCCTCACCCCCAGAGGCCGCCGCCACGGGGAGGAGGAGGAGGAGGAGGAGGAGGAGGAGGAGGAGGAGGAGAGGAGGAGGAGGAGGAGGAGGGAGGAGGAGGAGGAGGAGGAGGAGGAGGAGGAGGAGGAGGAGGAGGAGGAGGAGGAGGAGGAGGAGGAGGAGGAGGAGGAGGGCCCTTGGAGCGAGAGGGCGTGCCGAGGCGAGGCGGTGCTGGCACGGGGGACAAGACGAATCGAATAGCGGGGTCGGGCACCACGCCTCTCGGGCTCTCGTGGCAGCGAGCGGCTGGATAATGAACGCGGTCTCGCAGCAACCAGGGGCTCGAGGATGAACTTGGCGGCGAGCGAGGGGGCGATGTTGCCCCTTTTTGCGGGTGGCGGTTCTGGGGGCCCTAGCTCCCTGCCAGTCCCAAGAATTTGATGTCCCAGAATGGTGGGTTGGTTACTCCGGAAAGGCCTGCCGCCTGAGCCCAAATTGCAATAGACGTCGGGTGGCTAAAGAGATGCACTGTTAGCGCACGGAGGCACATCCACGACGAATCCTGACAGCGGTGTGGAATCGCGCCGCTGCCGGCGCCTCCTCAACGGACTGCCTCCCGGCTCTCCCGCCAGCGCGCGGGCGTGGTTCCCGCCCCGAAGGGCCGTGTGGACCCCGCCGCTGCTGGCGCCCTCCTCAGCGGCATGCTTCGCCTCCCCCGCCAGCGCACAGGCGTGGGTCCCGTCCCGAAGGGTCGGGTGGAGCTCTGCTGCTGCTGGCGCTCTCCTTCTTCTGCAGGCTACTTTCTGCTGCCACGGCCCCCCAGAGCTCGCAGAGCTCGACAAGCTCTCTGAGCCCTCGCCCCCACTCTCGGAGACCGCCACCGTCACTTGGTCCGCGATGCGGCACCAGCACCCCTGGCAAACCATGCCATGTTCTGCTGGATCCGGGACCTCGTCGAAGTGGACTGAGTCTGACGACGACCTGCAGCAAGCCCAGCCGCAGCCGCCGACCATATGGAACCTGGCCACCTCTCGCTTCTCCGTGTACGCGATGAGGCACCTGCCGGCCTCCTCGTGGCCGTGCCCTCGGGCGGGGGCCTGCTGCGCCCCGCCCCCGAACTGGATCTCCTCCGGGCCGCCGCTGCCGCGGTGGAGCTCCGCCTCCAGCTCCTCCGCGACGCCGTCGCACGCCGCTGCGCTGCCCCGGCCCGGCGCGCCGCCGCGGGGGGGAAGCGAGGAGGCTCGCGCGGCAGGAGCGCCCACCCCCTGCCCAGATCGCCCCCCGCCACGCCCCAGCCCCGGCCCGCCCAGCGGGCGGACGCGAGCGGGCGGCGGGCGCTCCGAACGGGCGGGGGGAGCGCCCGCGCCGACGGCCCCCTCGCCCCCGGCCGGATCCAGGGGCGGGCGCCCTCTCGCCCGCGAGGCGCGGCCCCGAAGCCAGACACCCCCCCCTCAGGCCCCCCGCGCGAGGCTGGCCCGCCCCGCCCTCGACGCGCCCCCCCCCGTCCGCGGGGTGCCCGGGACCGCGCCGCTGCATGCCCGCCGCGCCCGCGAGGCGCGGCCCCGAGACCCAGCCCGACCCCCCCAGCGAAGGCAGGGCTCCCCGCGCGATGGTGCCCCGTCCCGCCCTGGGCGCCCTGCCCCGCCAGCGGCGGTGGAGGGGACCGCGAGGCGGGGCGGGCCGCGCCGTTGCGGCAGGAGTGCCCGCCGTGGTGAGCGGGGGCCCAGGGCCACGCCATAGCGTCAAGTCGGGCATGTCCGTCTACAGGAAGAGTATTCAAAACTAGTCAAGAAATAGTCTGGGTCATTTTTGAACAGTGCTGGACTATTCGATAACGTTCTTCCCAAATCCGCCTGTAGGAGGACATGCCCGACCTAACCATAGCGCGCCCGCCTCCCCCGAGGAGCTCACCCCCACCGCGGCGCTGGGGGCGGCGCACCTGGCGGTCCGACGTCGGTTTGCGGATCACCGGTAGGCGCAACTGTCGCGCCCCACGCGCCCGCCCGCCCCGCGGGTCCAGGGGTCGCCCTGCGGCCGCGACGAGCCCGCCTGGCAGTCGCGCAGACGTCGGGCCGTCCTTAGAAGTGCGGAGCAGGCCCCCAAGAGGCCCCCAACATGCCCCTAAGATGCCCCCAAGAGGCTCCCAAGAGACCCCCACGAGGCCCCAGCAGGCCTCCCCGAGGCACCCAAAATGCTTCAAGAGGCCCCCGGGGCCGCCAAGAGGCCCCCGAGACGCCCCAACAGGCCTACGACAAGCTCTCCAGAGACATCTGAAGAGACTCCGAGGAGCATCCAAGAGGCCTCTGGCCATTCTGTTCGCCCTCCTCCTATGCCTCGCCATCATGAGCCTAATCCTCCTCCTGCCTCCTCCCTTCTCCCTCGTCCCTCCTTCCCCTCCCGCTCCGCCTCCTCTTCTTTCCCCGTCTGCGTTTCTGCGTTTCTCGCTCCGAGCAGCGTCTACTTTCCCCGTCTCCTCCTCCTCCTCCTCCTCCGCCTCCTCCTCCTCTGGTTCCTCCTCCATCCTCCCCCTCTTGAAGTACGACTGCGTCCCAGCCATCATTCCGATGCGTGCTCCCCTACATGCCTGATCAGGGAAATTCGCCCAGGCGTCGTTTCTGGATGGGCTGGTGGGGCCAAGCGCAGAGTCGAACACATGCTGTGCAAGAGGTTTGAGGCGTGATCTCTGTGCTGCAGGCTGTGCTGCTTGAGCGATGATGGTGTAGGCTATCTGCCTGGTGCGAGCTGTATGATGTACACCCTGCGAAATGCTTAAGAGATCATGGGTTCAGAAATTCATAGTCTCAGAATTTGATATAAAACCAGGAATGCCATTAAAATCTTAGGATTCACATTGAAACATTAAGAATAATCGAGACTCTGGCCGAAGACGTAAGTTTTCTTAAGCATCGCCTAGGGTGTGTGTGGTGCGGCGGCGGACGAGAACGGGGCCGCCAGGCCCGCGGACGGGCCTCGTGCTGGGGACCATAAAGGGGCGGCGACGGACGGGCCGCGGGGCCGCCGGGCCCTGCAGGCGGGCCAAGTTCCCTAGGATTAGGTCGGGCCTGCATTGCCAACAACATACTCACAAGATGCCCTAAGGTACTAAGCACATGGCCCCCATACGAGTTGCTTGACTATGTTTGAGTATTCCCCCTGCAGAGGGACAGGCCCGACTCGACCCCAGAACCGAGGTGAGCACCCCAAGGTGCAGGCTCTGCTTCGGGGAACTCTCGCACGACCGATGGGCAGGCCGGCAGGCCGGCGAAGCGAAGCTTCTGAAGGCGAGTCGTTAGTACCCAAGGCCTCCATACATGCATACATACATACATACATACATGCATGCATGCATGCATGCATGCAGACAGACAGACAGACAGACAGACAGACAGACAGACAGACAGACAGACAGACACACATACATACGCGGAACAAAGATGCCAGAGCTGCCGGTCGCCTCCGTCTTCTCCTGCAGGATGAGGTGCTGCAGGTGCAGCACCAGCTGCTTGGTCGCGAGGACCTTCGAGCAAGGACCCTGACGTCCTCCCGCTGTAAGAGAATCACGACGGAGGGTTTGGGCAGATTGTCAGCTTCGGGGGGCCCTCACCAGGCCCTGGTGGCACCGGTCCAAAACGACTCGGGATGAAAGGCCAATCCTGGAGAACGGAGGTCCAGGCCTCTGACGAGCCACGCTTTGAGGAATAACGACGGAGGACGCCTGGGGAGGTGGAATGCTTGCCATCGTCGGGGATCGAAACGCTGCAAACGGAAAAATCGCGATGGTTGGTATCTCGTCGCGGCTTCGGCATCTGGAGGCGGTTTCCCTGTCCCAAGACCGTCGCAAAGCAACTCGTAGCAAGCCAGCCCCCGGGGAGGGGTCGAGATCCCTGGGGGCCGACGCCACGAAAAAAGGCAGCGTCGGAGGAGAGGCCGGAGGATCTAGGCCAATGGACGCCCGTCTAGTCTTTTCGGGGGGGCCTCGCTGGTCCTCCGGGGACCTCTCAGACCTCCCGGAGACTTTCCGACGACCAGAAGACGAGCAGGAGGCCGAGGTCGCGGAAGCCCCCGGAAGCTCAGGGGCCAAAGCCGTGCAAATACCTGGATCTTCCTCCTGCGGCTGGAAGGGGCCCCGGCGGGAGGCTCGGAGACGCTCGAGGCGGTGACGCTGATGAGCTGGGACGCGGTCAGCGTGTCGCGCCGAAGCGTGGTGGGCCGAGACCCAGCGGCGCGGCACGCCAAGGCAACGTCCTGGACCAGAAAGCTGGCGCCAGAGGGCCGAAGGGTTCGGGGGGCGCGGGAAAAAGGGTGCAGCGCAACGGGGGGAGGAGCGGCCTTGTAGTTCAGCTCCGAGCAGGCGGAGTGCAGGCGCAGCAGCCACCGCAGCTTCAGGAGGATTGCGATGTGCGGCAGGTACGTTGTGCTCTTCTTGAGGTGGATCTCCTGCAACAGTAGGAATAGGAAGAAGCGCAGTGGATTGCAGAGCACGGGGGAATGCAAGAAATAATGCGATGCACGATGGGAGAAAAACGATCCTAAATGAAGCGACACACCCCAGAGTACCCCGTCAATGTGAAGACAATAAGCGTCCCAGCATGTAATTGTGGCCCGCGCTCAGGCGAGAGCAACACTCCCAATCAGGGATGTGGCCAGCGCTCGAACGGCAGTACCATACCCATTCAGGCATGTGGCAGGCACTGAGGCGAGAGCACCATTCTTAACCAGGAATGTGGCTAGCGATCAGCCGACATCACCAATTCCAGGGACGTGGCAAACGCTCGCGCGGCAACACCATGAGTATCCAGTCAGGAATGTAGCCGGCTTTCCAACATTAGTACAATCCCAGATCAGACACGTGTGCGGCGCTACGGCGACAACACGATTCTAAATGAGGGATGTGACCAACCCTCGCGCGGCAGCACAGTATCCAGTCAGGCACGTCGCCAGCGCTGAAGCAATGCGGCACGTGCTTCAGCAACAGCATCGCTCCTCCACAACGATGCGCGACAGCACCACTCTTGTTCAGGGATGGAAGCGATGCTCAAGTGAGAACACAATTCCGAGACAAGTTCAGCTGGAGTGTAATTGCAGGCAGTGACTGCTGTCCTCCTCCTGCTGTTCCTGCTTTTGATTCCCGTCTCCCGCTCCTCCAGGGTCTCCCCAGCCTTACAATTTCCCCCTGCTCATCCTCGTCCTTCATTCTCTTCCGCCCCCACCTTCGCCTCCTTCTCCTCCTCCTCCTCCTCCTCCTCCTCCTCCTCCTCCTCCTCCTTCCCCTCCACCTCCCTGCGGAGGATGAGGGGAACTGTTTGCTCAACGTGTCGCGGTCGCAACCCCGGCGACACAGTATGCCCTGCAAATGGATAGCGTGTCACTCCGCTCCGCGGGGCGGGAGGCTGGGAAGGGCACGGGACGCTCACGCGCGGGAGTCGGCAAGTGGTCAGCGTGTCGGGCCGACGCGTGGGAGTAGGCCAGGACAGGCGACGCGACACGCACAAGCAAAAATTGCGGACCGAAGAAGCAAAGCGCACAGTGCACAGATCTTCGTGCGCCGGCCACCCGCGAAATCCTGCGCGCAGAGCGGGCGAAAACCCTTGCCACAGCCACCAGAGCCTGACAAGCCCTCAAACAACCCCGCGGGCACCCAAACAACCCCCTGTGAACCACCAACCACAGAAATGTTGCCACAGTAACATGGAAAGAAAGATTGGGACGTCCCGCGAGAAAGACAACCGGCAACATCTAATCAATAGACGCGCAGATAGTATGAATCGTCTTCTGGCTGACCAATGCAAGACTGTTGCGTGAAAGCGCCCACGTTGCAAAGAGACACATAACGTCAACCGTGCCATCATTTCCACCACTATCTCCTCCTCCTCCTCCTCCTCCTCCTCCTCCACCTCAGCCCCATGCTCCCCCCGTTTTCGCCTCTATCCCAACCGCTCCCCGTTGCAGCCACCTGTGGCGTAAGTGGATGTCTATGCGGGCCTTGATCCTCCAACCAGCCCACGGTTTCCGCGGGCGGGAGGTACGCGAAAAGAACAAGGGTGATGAAACTGTGGCTCACGGAACTGGACGCATGGCCGCTGTGCACGATCTGAAGCGCGCCCAATCCGAGAGTCCTCGTGGCCCTCCTCCCCCTCCGAGAGTCCTCGTCGCCCCATCAGAGGCCTCCAACATGGGGTCCGAGAAAATGGGGTCGAGGGCCGCACTTCATCGCCGCTGTACTGGCAATGCGTCGGCGACGTCGGCGACGCATCGTCGGCGTCGGCGTGACGGAAATCGCTCCACGTCGCGCCACATCGCCGATGCACCGGCGATGCGGCGCAACCCTCCGACCCCATCTTCCCTGTCCCCCATCTGGGAGGCCTAGATCCAACTCTTCCAGGTGGATCGGGAGCGGCCAAGAGGGGGGTGTCCAAGAGGGGGGGGGTGCAAATCATGACCAGCGGCATGTGCGCGGCCCAGCGGGGGGGCCAGGGACGTAATGAAATAAGAAGAGGCGCCATGAAATCTGGGGAAATATCATGGCCCACGCCATGATATCCACCCTAGTCATCACCCCCCTCTTTGCCGCCCCCGAGTGGAGGACGCAGCACAGCGCGAGCTCCCCACGCCCCGGGAGAAGCAAAAGCTGGGGCTCTCGGCGACGGCGCTCGGGGAGAGGATGGGGAGCAGACGGATGGGGAGACGCGCGCGCGGCAACACAGCATCTCTCGACGCCTGCGACGCTCGGCGATGCAGGCGAGGGAGGGGCGACGACTTCTTCTGGTCGAGGTCGGGGCGCCCCCTGCGAGGGGGCAGTGATCAGACATGCGCCTGTTCGACCCCGCCCAGCGTGCTCCGATGGTGGAATGGGGGAGGGGGGAGGCCTCTCGAGGCTCCAAAAGGAGAGGCCTCCTCTTCCTGCTCCTACTCCTCTCCACCGCCTCCTCCAAATCCGCCTCACTCTGAATCCCTCTGGACCCTCCTCCACGAAGCCCTCATAGATCACTGAAGTCACGATAACAATCTATGTTGACAAACCAGCACAACACCCGAAAACCGCACCATTCACCCTCCTCCTGCATTCCCTCCGTTTCCTCCTCCTCCTCCTCCTCCTCCTCCTCCTCTTCTCCTCCTCCTCCTCCTCCTCCTCCTCCTCCTCCTCCTCCTCTGCCCTCACCTCCTCCTCCTCCTCCTCCTCTCTCCTCCTCCTCTCCTCCTCCTCCGTCCTCCTCTCCTCCTCCTCCTCCCTCCTCCTCCTCCTCCTCCTCCTCGTCGTCCTCCCCTCTCCTCGCCACCCCCATCCCTCCCCCTCCCCTCCTCCATTCGCTTCCTCCTCCTCCTCCTCCTCCTCCTCCTCCTCCGCCTCCTCCTCTCTCCTCCTCCTCCTCCTCCTCCTCCACCTCCTCCTCCTCCTCCCCTCCGTCCTCCTCCTCCTCCTCCTCCTCGTCCTGCCCCTCTTCCTCGCCACCCCCATCCCTCCCCCGCCCCCCTCCCCATTCGCTCCTCCTCCTCCTCCTCCTCCTCCTCCTCCTCCTCCTCCTCCTCCTCTCCTCCTCCCTCCTCGCCTCCCCCTCTCCCCCTCCACAATTACTCAATATGAATACTACTCTCCTCCTTCCCCTGATGACGGGTTGGGAGTGTTCGCCCCCCCCCCCCCCCGCGTAGTGTTTTTAACACACAGGATTCCCCGGAGTTGGGTTTTCGCCTGCATGTTTTTCAAAATGCTGCTCTCGCTGGGGCGCCGGCCTCATTTTCGGGCCGCGCTCGTTCCGAATCGTGCTCCCGCTGCAGCGCTGGCCTCATTTCCGTGCTTCCGCTCGTTCCGAATCGTGCTCCCGCTGCAGCGCTGGCCTCATTTCCGCGCTTCCGCTCGTTTCGACTCGTGCTCCCGCTGCAGCGCTGGCGTCATTTCCTGTGCCATGCCACGGCATGCAATGCAATGCTAGGTTGATACTACGCTTTGCGGTGCTCTTCTACGCCATGCCATGCCGTGCTCTACAATGCATCGCGTACCCTTTCGGGATCATTGCCCTGCTCGACATCCGACTGTGCGAGTAGAGAGGGGATCTGCGCCATGGTAAGGAATGGGAGGGAGGAGTAGGATGTCAAATATGACGCGAGCGCACCTAGCTTGCCCCTTCCCCTCCCTCCCCCCCCCATCCTCCACCTCGCCTCTCCCCCGCGGCCACTATTTGGCGCAAGACCGCTCCAGTCGCGTGCGCGCGCTGTGCCACTGCAGAGGTCAAGGGGGAGCACAGGTGCTGCATTCTCGCAGCGAAGAGAAGCCTCGTCCAGGAAGCCAGCCAGCCAGGCCATAGCCAGTCGACGACGCCCTGGAGGCGTGCGTCGGCGTCGCCGACGTGGCGCGCGGGAGGACCCTGGGCATCCTGCTCGCCCTGTTGGCACTGGTCGCAGGCTGACAATCTGCGAGGAGAGACGTTCTACACCACAGCGGTGGCAACGTTGCGCTGCAAGCTCGAGCAGAGGAGATCGATCTCCTGGGAGCCAGCGCCCGCGGAGGCACAACAATACCCCCAAAGCCGTCCAACCTCGGGGATCTTCTGACCCGGGTCAATCCAAATCCGAATCAGTCAGGCCCTGCAGAATCCTGCAAGATCCTGCAAGACCCTGCAACCAAACCCGGGCCAGTGCGACCCTAGCTTTGCAGGATCCTGCAAGATCGGGCGCTCTGGCTGACCCCCGTCTGCATTTACGAGGGTGCGCCGCTGGATCCCCCCAATGGGGGAGGGGGGTTGGGACCCCCCCCCCTTTCCCCGATCCGTCGTCGGGGATACCCCCCCCCTTTCCCGATCCGTCGTGGGGGACCCCCCCCTCGCCCCCTTTTCCCGATCCGTCGTGGGAGACTCCCCCCCCTTCCCCCCTTTCAAACGGGGGGGGGGCTCCGCAATTACTCAATATGAATACTACTCTCCCTCTTCCCCTGATGACGGGTTGGGAGTGTTCGCCCCCCCCCCTCCCCCCGCGTACTGTTTTTTAACACACAGGATTCCCCGGAGTTGGGTTTTCGCCTGCATTTTTTCAAAATGCTGTTCTCGCTGGGGCGCCGGCCTCCTTTTCGGGCCCCGCTCATTCCGAATCGTGCTCCTGCTGCAGCGCTGGCATCATTTCCGTGCTTCCGCTCGTTCCGAATCGTGCTCCCGCTGCAGCGCTGGCCTCATTTCCGCGTTTCCGCTCTTTCTCAATCGTGCTCCCGCTGCAGCGCTGGCGTCATTTCCTGTGCCATGCCACGGCATGCAATGCAATGCTAGGTTGCATTCCGCTGCGCGATGCCATGCCTTCAGCTGAAACTGTGATATGCAATGCTTAAGTGCCACGTCGGGCTATGCCATGCTACGCTTTGCTCTTCAACGCCATGCTATACAATGTTATGTTCGGGGCCGCTGTGCGATGCCATGCTTTGCGTTGCAAAGCTTTGTGATGCAACCTTTCACTACGCCACGCCACGCCATGCTGTGACATACTACGCTTCGCGGTGCTCTTCCACGTCATGCCATGCCGTGCTCTACAATGCATCGCGTACCCTTTCGGGATCATTGCCCTGCTCGACATCCGACTGTGCGAGTAGAGAGGGGATCTACGCCATGGTAAAGGATGGGAGGGAGTGGTAGGATGTCAGATATGACGCGAACGCGCCTAGCTTGAACCCCCCCCCCTCCCCCCCTTTGGCCGCCAAGGTCGAACTCCCCCCCTCCCCCCCTTTCGCCACGGCGCCCCCGAGTTCCGGAACCCGACCCCTACCACCCGCAACGCAAATCCTCATCCGAACCTAACCCCTAACCCTAAGCCCAAACCCTAACCCTACCCCAAACAGTATTCACTACTCATTACGCACTAGTCACTAGTCACTACCCACTACCCACTACTCGCTACTCACTACTCACTTCGCGCTAGTCACTACTCACTACGCACGACTCCCTACTCAATACCCACTACTCACTAACCACTACCCACTACTCACTACTCCCTACTCCCTATTCACTATTCATTATTCACTACTAGCTATTCGCTACTCACTAACCACTATTCAATACTCACTACTCACTGAACACAATTCACTACCCATTACTCACAAAAAGAAGCATATCAACACTCAATACCCATTAACCACATTCCACTACTCACTACTCACTACTCACACTTCACTACTCACTACCCACTACCCACAACCCACTACTGACGATCCACTACTCGCTACTCCCTACTCCCTACACAGTACTCACTAGTCACTACCCGCTACTCCTTACACCCGACTCGCTACCCAATACGCACTACTCACTACTGACTACTCACTACTCACTACTCTCCCACAATATTCAGCACCCGCTACGCACTACGCACTAGTCACTACTCACTTCTCCCACTCCGTACCCCCTACTCACTAGCCACTAGTCACAAGTCGCTACTCACTATTCACTACTCAATACTCACTACTCACTACTCACGACGTACTGCTCACTACTCACTACCCACTACTCGCTACTCCCTACGCACTGCCCACCACTCAATACCCATTTCTCCCTCTCACTACCCCCTACTCACTTCTCACTACTCCCTACTCACTACTCACTAGATCTCTACTCGCTACTCCCCACTCGCTACTCACTACTCCCTCCAATCTACTCGCTACTCACAATGCCTCATTCGCGACTCACTATTCACTACTCGCTACTACTACCCCCTCCCCGCTACCCACTACTCACTACTCACTTCGCACTACTCACTCCTCACTCCTGACTACTCGCTACTATCTACTCACTATTCACTTTACGATTCACTACTCACTACTCACTACTCTTTACTCACTACGCACTACTCACTATCCCGAGGCCAGACCCGCCCCCCCTTGCGGGAAAGGCCCTCTCCCCGGCCTCCTGTTCGGCGCGAGCGAAGGAGGGGAGGGGGGGAGGGATCTCCCCCCCACTTCAGGGGGGGGGGGGGGAGGTTCGCTCTTCCCCCCTGAAGGGAGGGAGTGGGGGGGGTCGCAAATCTCCCCCCCCCTTTGAAAGGGGGGAGGGGGGGGGGGAGGTTCTGCGAGCACCCCCCCCCCCTTTTGTGTATTCAGGGTGATCCACTGGCGCGCTTTCTGCATGTACCCCCGTTTCTTGAGCCAGCCCCACCACCACCGCAGAGCCAAGCATCCGGAAGAACGCGTGGGCAGAAGAGCGCGCGATTGGCGAACCTCCGTGAGTTGTACCATATGATACGGCAGAAGGAGCGCCTCACGACTGAGAAGCAGGAAATCTGAGCCCCGACAACCAGACACCTTCAGCCCCACGGCGTTCCCCAGGACCCGCTCCTCATCCCGAGCCGCTGCTGGTTGGCCCCGGGGCCGGGGAGGGGCCTCGGGAGGCCCGAGACAGCGAACAGCTACAGTTAGGTCAAGCATGCCCCCCTCACAAGGGGATTTTGGACGAACAATTAAAAAAAGAATACGAACATATTCAAAAATGGCTCAAAAACAGCCCCAAAATAGTTTCCAGACTTTTTGTTGTGATTACTTGTTTGAATACTCCTCCTGCAGAGGGACAGGCCCGACTCACAGCTACAGGAGCCCTCCCGTCGGGGCCCTGGTGGCCGGGAGGGCTCCCGCGGGCCCTGGCGCCCGCCGTCGTGCTTTCTTTGGTCCCAGGGAAGCGGCTACCGAGAGGTCTGGGCCCGTTCCCCGGGGCCGGCGTTTCGCCCCGAGGCGTTTCTGTTGGCGCTCTCGGTGCCAGGCGGCGGCCCCCAGAGGCCGAGCTCTCGTTGCTCAAGTCCGTCTTGATCGTTTCACGATGCGAGCGCGTCAGGCCCCAGAGAACTACAAGGGCTCCCAACTTCGCGCTCTCGCGCTGCGCGGAGCGCGAAGCGCGAAGACCTTCGCGCTCTCGCGCCGCCTCCCCAGGGAGGAGAGGAGGCTGAGGAGGAAGCGGAACCGAACCGCGAAGCGTGACGCGCGAACAACTTCGCGCCCTCCAGGGCGCCCTTGAAACTACCATCCTCGCTCCCTCGACCCCTCCACCTCCTCCTCCTCCTCCTCCTCCTCCTCCTCCTCCTCCTCTTCCTCCAAGTCCTCCTCCTCCTCCTCCTCCTCCACCTCCTCCTCCTTCCCCGCCGCGAAGGGCGAGGGGCGGGGGCCGCGGCGGCAGGGCCTGAATGGAGACGTTCGTGACGGCGACCCGGCCGTGGAGGCCCCTCTCCCCGCGCTGTCGCCTCTGCGCGGCTTCCTTCCCCCCTGCCCCTCGCTCTCCTCTCCTCTCCTCCTCCTCCTCCTCCTCCTCCTCCTGCTGCTCCTGCTGCTCCTCCTCTCCTCCTCCTCCTCCTCCCCTCCTCCTCCTCCTTCTCCCCTCGCTCTCCTCGCTCTCCTCTCCTCCTTCTCCTGCTGCTCCTCCTGCTCTTCGTCGTCGTCCTCCTCCTCCTCCTCCTCCTCCTCCTCCTCCTCCTCCTCCTCCTCCTCCTCCTCCTCCTCCTCCCCCTCGTCCTACCCCTGACATCCTCTCGTTGTGGGCAAACCACGACGGAGAGCGCCTGCGAATCCTCGGCCTCGAGAGGGGCCCTCGCCCGGCCCCGGGAGCGTCCAGCAGCTGCCCGGGATGCGAGGACAGCCCGGGGAAGTGGGCCCGGACCTCTGGGGAGCCGCGCCGTGAGGGACCTGCGGCGGAGGATGCCCGAGCTCCACCCGACCTCCCCTCCCTCCCTCCCTCGGGCGCCTCCTCCCTCCCTCCCTCCCATCCCTCCCTCCTCCTCCTCCCTCCTCCTCTCCGCCTCCTCCTCCTCCTTCTCCTCCTCCTTCCTCCTCCTCCTCCTCACCTTCCTCCTCCCCTTCTCCCCTCCTCCTCCTCCTCCTCCTCCCGCCTCCTCCTCCTCCTCCTCCTCCTCCTCCTCCTCCTCCCCCTCCTCCTCCTCTCTTATCCCTCCTCCTCCTCTCTTCTATCCCTCCTCCTCCCCTCCTCCTCCTCCTCCTCCTCCCGTCCTCCTCTCCTTGTTTCCGCTCCCCTCCCTCTCTCGTCCAGGCGCCTCCCTCCCTCCCCTCCTCCCTCCCTCCCCCGGGCTCTGCCTGCTCCAGCTCCTCGCGGCTCCTCTCGCGCTTGCTGCCCAGCCTCCTGGTCTTCCACCTGCCCTCCGGCTCCTCCTCGGCTCCTCCTGCTCATCGGGCTCATCCAGACCCCGCCCCCACTTATCCTCAACACATCCTCATGCTCCTCCTCCTCCTCCTCCTCCTCCTCCTCCTCCTCCTCCTCCTCCTCCTCCTCCTCATCCCTCAATCCCTCCTCGACCTACTTCCCTCCCGTCCTCTCTCTTTTCCCGTCCCCTGTCCTGTTCGCCCCCGTAACTATCCCCCGTCTGCCCCAGCGGGATCAAAGAGGGAAACATGATGATGATGATGATGATGATGATGATGATGATGATGATGATGATGATGATGATGATGATGATGATGATGATGATGACGATGATGATGATGATGATGATGATGATGGTGGTGAAGATGGTGAAGATGATGATGATTATGATTATGATGATGATGATGACGATGATGGTGATGATGATGATGACAATGATGGTGATGATGATGATGATGATATTGATGACGATGATGATGCTGATGCTGATGCTGATGCTGATGCTGATGATGATGATGATGATAATGCTGCTGATGCTGATGCTGGTGATGGTAATTGTGGTGGTGATGATGGCATTGGTATTGGCGATGATGATGTTGATGATGATGCTGAGCATGATGATGCTGGTGATGCTAATGCCTGATGATGATGAAGATGAGGATGAAGATGCTTATGATGGTGATGGTGATGGTGATGAGGAGGAGGAGGAGAAGAAGGAGAAGGAGGAGGAGGAGTAAAGAAAGGAGGAGAGGAAAGAGTTGATTGGGACGGGCCTGACGCCGGGCTATCCGTGATCCAACGAAATCATACGCGTCCGAATCAGACTCCTCTCCAAGGGGCGCCGATGGACGCGTTGGAGACTCACTGTGAAAACCATGTGTGCCAGGCGCTGGGGGCTGACCATACTTTTGCTGTTCCGCGCCGCTCGGCTCAAATCTTGAGCCAAGTAAGGTACGGAAACTTAGCCCGTCATTTCCCGCTCGTGCGAGGGTCAGTGACTGGTGCCACGCTCACCTCGCATGAGCTTCTCAACGCAAGAAGGTCGGTGACTAGTGCCACGCTCATTTCATGCAAAACTAGTGCCACGCTCACCTCGCATGAGTTTCTTAACGCAAGAAGGTCAGTGACTAGTGCCACGTTCATTTCGTGCGAACTCCGAGAGCCAGTGCAACGCCCGACTCGCAATGTCAAGCGCAGGCTAAAGGACAACCTATGGGCGGACAAATCCTGCCCTCCCCCCCACCGCAAGCTCTCGGCGAGTGCGCAGCCCGTCCAGATTGTTACCTGGACGAGTGCGTGGCCAGACCTAGTATCGGCCACGCTCGCAGGACACAAAACGCACAACTTGAAAACTGTATTTTGGGTGTACTGGTCCATCTGCGTTTCCATCGGCCACGCGGCCGGGACGAAGGGTTTAAAAACATGTTCTACCCCCCCGCCGGGCTAACGTCACCGCAATTGCCCGCTCGGAGAAAGTAAATCGCACCCTTTTGCTAGAATGCATAATATGAATTCGCATGCGCGACCTATGTTAAATATAGCATGCGTACAAGCAGAATGCACGACCATCTTCTGTCCGCTACAGACCACCCGAGGGGATCATCTGGCCAGCACCTGCGGTGGATGTTTCACACACCCCTTGGGCTGTCGCGAACAGCCATGCGGAAGGCGTGCCAGGAAGCATGAGGGCCTTCACATCATCACCTCTGGCCATCGCTAGGACGTGCATTCCCTGTGTTTGTTTCGGTCTCGTGCGTGCTTTTTCGTCAAATGATCAAGGATGTTCCTCGCTGGACCTCGCCAAAGGAAAAATGCACACGTCCGAGCGATGCCAAGACCTGTGTCTTCGACTCTTGGCTAGCCTATGCGTGTCCTCCATGCCCACGCGGCTGCGGGCGGACGCAAGAGGCGTCCGGGCCGAGCACTCTGGTAGAGAAGTCGCCCTTGTGGGAACTCGTCTCGGCGTCCTCCACATCAAGGGCTGCCTCAGGGTCGTTGTAGATTCGTCGCTCCGATGTTGCACCTGTGCGTCCTGCTGAGGCACCGCAGTTTCTTTGAATGCCCTGTCTCCATGGTGAGGTGATGCTGATTATGATGGTGATGATGATGAGGAGGAGTAGGAGGAGGAGGAGTAAAGAATGGAGGAGAGGAAACAATGATTTGGGACAGGCCTGACGCCTGGCTATCCGTGGTCCAACGAAATCATACGTGTCCGAATCAGACTCCTTTCCAAGGGGCGTCGGTGGACGCGTTGGAGACTCGCCTGGGGCCCTCACCCAGACGAGGTCGGCATCTTCGATGCCGAAAGAGCCCAAGAATTGCCCGCATTGCCCCCTCTGGGCGAACTGTCCCTAGAAACAGAAAGCCTGAGACGAGGAGCCTCCCTAGCCGGAGCCGGACGAAGGGCGAGGAAGGAGGAGGATCGCCAGTACCTTAAGGGAGTTGTGGTGCTTACACGACCTCGGGACGCCAAGCAGCTAGCAACCTGTAGGGCCGTGCCGCGGTTGGCGGAGGTGGGAAAATCTAGCGGTTATCTGGCATCTTCGCTCGGGCGGCCTTGGGTACCTCAAGTTTTTGTGCGAGCGTTAGCGCGGACACGTTTTCGCTTGGTTGCGCTCTCCTTACGGATGTGATCGGCGTAGGAGCAAGCGGCGGTAGCAAGGATCGCGCTCTCACGGATGCGGTCGAAGGCAGGCTGCTGGTGGGCGAGCCACAGGCCACGTCGGAAGAAAGGGCAACGAGAAAGGAGCAGGAGGAGAAGGAGGAGGAACCAGGAGGAGGGGGATGAGGACCAATGCGAACCCCAGACTCATCAACGATGTTGCAATCAACCCTTCCGCCAAGATCCCTCTTCATGAGCTCCTCCAGGGATCTACCTTCACTGCGGAAAGACCACACTTGGAAGGCAACCGTCTGAACATCTCATTAGTGCTGCGACCGGACGATCTTAAATTGTTCCATAACACAATTTCTGGGACGTCAACACCGCGAATCAACGTAACAATCGCGCCCTGGCAATCCTAAATCGCTCCCAGACACCATATCTGGGACGAAAGACATCATAATATTTGAAGCTGCTGTAAACGGTTTAAACAAATGCTCGCGGCCCTGATGCGAGAACCACATGTTGAAAAAGAGCCGCCCTCCATCCGTGAAACTGCTGCGAATTTGTTAGAACGAATGTGAGCGAGCGACGCTAAAGCGATAACCACATATTGAAAACGGCCAGCCCTCCGTCCGTGAAACCGTTGCAAACTTGTAATGCCATTGTGCGCGGCGCTAAGGCGAGAACCACATGTTGAAAACGGCTCGCCCTCCATCCGCTAAACTCCGAACCTGCGCGGCGCTTGAGCGAGAGCCACATGTTGAAAACGACCCGCCCTCAACCCGTGAGATTGCTGCAATCTTCAAGCTTCAGGATCTCAACTGGTGGGGAGGTTCCATGCGAAACGCCTGGCCCGCCCTGCAGTCAGGTGAATATTGTTTGTAGTAAAATTTCCGAGCGCACATGCACGCATCGGCGGCGTCAAGGGGCACGTGCCATGTCTCCATCATCATTGCATCTGTCGCCTGTTTGGCCAGAGAGGCGCGTCCCCCCTCGACAACGACTCCGACGACTCCAGCACCGACGACGGCGACGACGACTCCGACGACTCCGACGACGACGATTCCGACGACGACGACGACGACGACTCCGACGACGACGATTCCGACGACTCCGACGACGACGACGACTCCGACGACGACTCCGACGACTCCGACGACTCCGACACCGACGACGACGACAACTCCGACGACTCCGACGACGACAACGACGACTCCGACGACGACGCCTCCGACACCGACAACGACGACGACGACTTCGAAGACTTCGACGACGACAACGACTGTGATGACTCTGACGACTCCGACACCGACGTCGACGACTCCGACGACTCCGACGACGACGACGACTCCAACGACTTCGACGACTCCAACGACGAATCCGACGACTCCGACGACTCCAACGACGACTCCGACGACGACTCCGACGACTCTGACGGCTCCGACACCGACGACTGAGACGACTCCGATGACTCCGACACCAACGACGACGACGACGACGACGACGACGACGACGACGATGAAGACAATGACGACGACGACTCCGACGACTCCGACGACTCAGACGACTCCGACACCGACGACTCAGACGACTCCGATGACTCCGACACCAACGACGACGACGCCGATGACGACAATGACGACGACGACTCCGACGACTCCGACGACTCCGACGACGACGACAATTTCGACGACGACGACGACTCCGAGTGCTCCGACACGGACGACGACGACGACGACAACGACGACTCCGACGACTCCGACCACGACGACGACGACTCCGACGACGACGACTCCGGCGACTCCGACACCGACGACGATTACGACAACTCCGACGACTCCGACTCCGACGACGACGACTCCGACGATGACCACTCCGACGATTTCGACGACTCCGACTCCGACGACTCCGACGACGGCGACAACGACGACAATTTCGACGACGACGACGACGACGACGACGTCTCCGACGGCTCCGACACCGACGACGACGACGACTCCAACGACGACGACGACTCCGACGACGACTCCGACGACTCCGACGACGACCCCGACGACTCCGGCGACTCCGACACCGACGACGACGACAATTCCGACGACTCCGACGACTCCGACGACGACGGCGACGACGCCTCCGACACCGACGACGACGACGACGACGACTTCGACGACGACGACAACTCTGATGACTCTGACGACTCCGACACCGACTCCGACGACGACGACTCCGACGACTCCGGCGACTTCGACAGATCCGACGACTCCGACTACTCCGACGACGACGACGACGACTCAGACGACTCCGACGACTCCGACGACTCCGACACCAACGACGACGACGACGATGACGACAATGACGACGACGACTCCGACGACTCCGACGACTCCGGAGACGGCGACGACGACGACGACGACGACTATTTCGACGACGACGACAACGACGACGACGACGACGACTCCGAGGGCTCCGACACCGAGGACGACGACTCCGACGACTCCGACGACGACGACTCCGACGACTCCGACGACGACGCCTCCGACGACGACGACTCCGACGATGACGACTCCGACGACTCCGACACCGACGACGACGACGACTCCGACGACTCCGATGACTCCGATGACTCCGACGATGACTCCGAAAACGATTCCGACGACTCCGACGACTCCGACACCGACGACGACGACGGCGACGACGTCGTAGGCCGTCGGTCGTCGGTCGTCGTTGTCGTCGGAGTCGTCGGAATAGTCGTCGCAGTCGTCGTCGTCGTCGTCGTCGTCGTCCGTCGTCGTCGTCGTCGTAGTCGTGTCGTCGGTCGTGGGTCGGACGGGTCGTCACGACGTCGTCGTCGTTGGAGTCGTCGTCGTCGTCGGTCGTCGGTCGTCGGTCGGTCGGTCGGTCGGTCAGTCGGAGTCGTCGTCGGTCGTCGTCGGTCGTCACGACGACCGACGGACAGACCGAACGGCGAGCCGATGACGACGACTGGACGGACTTTACGACCGACCGACCGACCGACCGAGACGACGACGACGACGACGACGACCAACGACGACCGACCGACCCACCGACCGACGACCGACGACGGCGACCGACGACGAGCGACGAGCGACCGACCGACCGACCGACCGACCGACCGAAGACCAAACCGACCGACCGACCGACCGACCGACCGACCGACCGACGACCGACGACCGACCGCCCGACCGACCGACCGACCGACGACCGACGACCAGAGCGACCGACTGACCGACGACCAGAGCGACGACCAGAGCGACCGACGACCGACCAAAAACAACACGACGACGACGACCGACGACCAACCGACGGTGCCACCAGTTGGAGGCAAGGCGTGACTACAATGCCAGGACTCCCGCCCCCAGGCCCGTCCCCCCCTCCCCCCACCCTATCCCCTACATTGTTACAGCCCTAAACGGGGTGTGGCTCCAGCGCCGAATTTCTACGAGGGGTGGTGGCTCCAGCTCCTCATGCCTTGAAGGCAGATGGGCTCCCGCGCCCATCTTTTACGAGGGACGGCGGTTCCAGCGCCCCACGGCGTCGGTTCCAGCGTCCAATTGTTACCAGGGATGGTGGCTCCAGCGCCTCATGCCTTGAAGACAGATGGGCTCCAGCGCCCATTTTTGTACGAGGGACGGCGGTTCCAGCGCCCCACGGCCGTCGTTTTCTGGCGGCAGGTAGAGCGATCCACGCCCCGACTGCCACTAACCCATGCCCCACCTGGTCAGAATTTCCACTACCAAATTGTTCGCCTAAGTGTAGCAACCCGTCTCGGGGTGCGGCAGGGAGGCTGTTAGTTATAAGGAAGAGGGATGGAGGAGGAGGAGGAGGAGGAGGAGGAGGAGGAGGAGAGGAGGAGGAGAGAAGAGGAGGAGGAGGAGGAGGAAGGGAGGGGGAGACGAAGGAGGAGGATAAGGGGTAGGAGGAGGAAGAAGGAGAGGAGGAGGAGAGGAGGAGGAGGGAGGAGGAAAGGGGGTAAAGGAGGGTAAGGGAAAGGAGAGGAGTAGGAGGATGGAGGAGGGGGGGCTGGAGAGGAGGGAGGAGGAGGAGGGCGGAGGAGATGATGCAGGAGGAGCGGAGGAGAGCGGGGGAGGAGGAGGAGTAGGCGCAGGAGATCCTGCGGCGGCTTCTGCTTCGGCTAGGCGTGCGTCTCGGGCAACTAGCGACGGAGCGCCTGGGTGGCGGCGGCTGGCTAGGAGGCAGCGGGCGTCAAGGCGTCGCGTCGTCGGCGGCTGCCCGCGGCCGCGGCGGAGGCGCGGCTTCCTGACGGCCGAGGAGTAGCGGAGCATCGGGAGGAGGAGGAGGAGGAGTAGGAGCAACGAGAGGGGGGTGCGAGGCGGGACGGAGGGAGGACAAGAGGCAGGCCGCTAGCCCGGGATGGCCGCCTCCCGGCACCCGGCGAGCCCACCCCCATTGGCAGCCTGCGAGCGGGGTGGGGGGTCCGAGGCCCGGTGCCTTCAAGGACTGCGGGCATCGTGCTTCCACAGAGAACGCCAGCCGAGGAACGAGGCAAGACGAGGCCAGGACGGGGATACCATCGGGTTCGGCTGAACAAATCGAGAAGCTCTGAGATCCAACAGATCTGGGGGATGTCTCGGGCGCTGCGGCCTTCTCGGAGCAGGAGGAGGAGGAGGAGGAGGAGGAGGAGGAGGAGGAGGAGGAGGAGGAGGAGCAGGAGGAGCAGGAGGAGGAGGAGGAGGAGGAGGAGGAGGAGGAGGATCTAACCTCGTCCCAGCCCCGTCCGACGGAGGTGCTTTTCTGGCCACGGCGAGCATGGAGGCGGCGCCGGCGCTGCCAAGCGTGGCCCAGCGCCCGACCCACCAGACCCGTGCGGACCTCCGAGGCTGTTCGTTCACTCGGTGCTTCCCCCTGCCAGACCTGGGAAGCCCAACTCGTCCGCGCTCTCGACGGACGTTCCGTGTGCCTCCTCGCTCCCCCGACGTCTGAGCCCGAGCCCACCACGCGACCGCCGGGCGGGCCTCGGACCCCCCTTTGCCCGCCAGGCCGGCGCGGCGCTCGCGCACCCCCCGCGCGCCGCGCCTCTCCACGGCAAAGTCCATGCTCTGCAGCAGGAAGCCGGGCATCACGACGCCTCGCAGCGGAGGGCAGTGAGCGACAGGGACAAGAGCAACTTTCGGAGGCCCGCGCGTCGGGCCCTCCGCTGTGTTGCTTTGGGCCGCCAACTTCTGCTGGCTTTCCGCCAGCTCCCGCCGAAGGCGAGATTCGCTGGAAGCGGAACTCCTTCTGGAGCGCGCCAAGCGGATGCACGGTGATCGGCGGTCCAACTAAGAGCCCCGCTGGCGCCATAGCCGTCGTAGACTCGAATAAGCTCTGGAACGGAAGAGTCGGTCGATGTCTTGCGGGAACACCGCCAGCCCCAGATACTGCTTGAAGCCGGAATTCTTTCCAGCACGTCCATGCAAGCTTGGGCGAGCCTGGCGGGCCCCTGGACGTGCCAGGGAGTGGGAGAGGGCAGGATGGGGCAACTGCTGAGCCACAATCGCGCAACCATGATCCGCCGCCAGCCTTCATAGCTATTGAGCTTCCACGGCTTGCAAGCCATTCCGCAATGCCAGCCAGGAGGCCATCAACAGCATGTACGCATGGTATCGATGCACGTCGACCTTAAGCACAGCTCCTGTCACGGCGTGAAATGCAGGCTCGCTTCAGCTACAACTGCCTGCCATCCGTCATCTCTGTAGAGGAGCTGGAGACAGTATAAGCTGGACGTCTCATGAGAGCCAACGCGACCAGGGCTGGAAAAACTGGCAGGGGCTGAAACGGGCCCGGCAGAATGGGGGCAGGGTCGCCCGGGCTGGAAAAACTCGGGGGCAACTGACCAGGGCCCGGAAGGATGGAGGCGCTGTGGCCGCAGCTCATCTCCCGCGCTTCCCCTGCCGTCGAGCTCCGACCCGCAGCAGCCGACAGGGAAAGGGCCTGGACAAGAGCACAACGCACAGAGACTGCCGCGGGTCGCCGAGCCCCGACGCCCGGCCCCTCCTCCTCCTCCTCCTCCTCCTCCTCCTCCTCGTCCTCCTCCTCCTCCTCCTCCTCCTCCTCCCCATCCTCCTCCTCCTCCTCCTTCCCTCCTCCTCCTCCTCCTCCTCCTCCTCCTCCTCCTCTTCTCCTCCTCCTCCTCCCCTCCTCACTCCTCCTCCTCCTCCATCCTCCTCCTCCCCTCCTCATCCTCATCCTCACCTCGCCTCCGCCTCCTCCCGCCTCCTCCTCCTCCTCCTCCTTTCCCCTCCCCCCCGAGCCCTCTCGCTGAGGGGAGCCGGCCCTGGCGCGGGCGAAGGATCGCTGCCGTGCCCCCGTCGGGCCGCACTCCCTAGGCAGCCCGAAGGCGGCCCGTGTGTGGCTGGTCGGAGATCGCGTCCACATTGCCGATGGCACTGCTGTAACACCTGCGCTGCATCGCGCCGTCGCGCTGACCAGGCTGAACAACTCGAGGGAACAGAAACAGGCCCGACATGATGGAAGCTGTGGCCGCACAAAGATCAAGAAGCAAGAGCATACAACAGTAAAATCAGACAAGCAAAACAAAAGGACCTAGGCGCAAGAACAACAAAGTTTCTCTCATCCCACGCCTCAACTGCCGTCGAGCTCCGACCCGCAGCAGCGACAGGGAAAGGGCCCTGGACAAAAGGCAGCGCAGGAGAACTGCCGCGGGTCCTCCAGCCCCGACGCCCGCATTTCCTCCTCCTCCTCCCTCTTCCTCCTCCCCTCCTCCTCCTCCTCTCCTCCGTCCTCCTTCTAGCCCCTTCGTCCTCCTCCTTCTTCTCCCCCTTCCTCCTCCTCCTCCTCCGTCCTCCACCTCCTCCTCCTCCTTCTACCCCCTTCTCCTCCTCCTCTTCTCCCCCTCCCCCTCCTCCTCCTCCTCCTCCTCCTCCTCCTCCTCCGCCTCCTCCTCCTCCTCCTCCTCCTCCTCCTCCTCCTCCTCCTCCTCCTCCTCCTCCTCCTCCCCCTCTTTCTCCTCCCCCCCGAGCCCCCTGCGCAGAGGGGGCCAGCCCTGGGCCCCTGCGAGATGCGCTGCCGTGCGGGGCTCTGGGCCGCACTTCCCTGGAGGCATCCCGAAGGCGGCCCGTGTGGGCTGGGTCGGAGATCGCGCCACATTGCCGATGGCACTGCTGGTGCACCTGCGCTGCATCGGCGACGTCGGCGCTGACCAGGCTGGAACAACTCGAGGGGAACTGACCAGGGCCCGAAAGGATGGAAGCGCTGTGGCCGCAGCTTCTCTCCCACGCCCCTCCCTGCCGTCGAGCTCCGACCCGCAGCAGCCGACAGGGAAAGGGCCTGGACAAAAGCAGCGCACAGAGACTGCCGCGGGTCGCCGAGCCCCGACGCCCGGCCCCTCCTCCTCCTCCTCCTCCTCCTCGCCTCCTCCTCCTCCTCCTCCTCCTCCTCCTCCTCCTCTTCCTCTCCTCCTCCTCCTCCTCTTCCTCCTCCCCCTCCTCCTCCCTCGTCCTCCCCCTCCTCCTCCTCCTCCTCCTCCTCCTCCTCCTCCCTCCCCTCCTCCTCGTCCTCCCCCCCCCCTCCTCCTCCTCCGCTCCTCCTCCTTCCACCTCCTCCTCCCCTCCTCCTCCTCCTCCTCCTCCCTCCTCCCCTCCTCTTCCGCCTCCTCCTCCTCCTCCTCCTCCTCCTCCTCCTCCTCCTGCCTCCTCCTCCTCCTCCTCCTCCTCCTCCTCCTCCTACTCCTCTCTCTCCTCCCCCTCCCTCCTCCTCCTCCTCCTCCTTCCTCCTCCTCCTCCTCCTCCTCCTCCTCCTCCTCCTCCTCCTCCGCCCCTCCTCCTCCTCCGCCCTCCTCCTCCTCCTCCTCCTCCTACCTCCTCCTCCTCCTCCTCCTCCTCCCCCCCCCCCGAGCCCCCTGCGCAGAGGGGGCCGGCCCTGGCCTTTGCGAGATGCGCTGCCGTGCGGGGCTCTGGGTCGCCCCCTTCCCTGGAGGACTCCCGAAAAGGCGGCCCGCGCGAGCTGCGTCGGAACTCGCGCGCCGCATTGCCGATGGCACTGCTGGTGCACCCGCGATGCTTCTGCGACGTCGGCGATGCGCCGGCGCCGTCGGCGTGAGGAAGTCGGGGCCCAGCATCCAGCCGCATCCACGATGCATCGGCGACGCGGCGCGATCCTCCAACCCCACCTGCTCGGACCGTGTTTCGGAGGCGTGGACTCCCGCGGTTCCCTCTCTTCTCACCTCTTGGGCGCTCGTATCCCCACCCCACGCCCCCCTCTCCCAAAAAGCTGCCGCCAGCAGGCCTCCTCCTCCTCCTCCCCCCCCCCCGAGCCCCCTGCGCAGAGGGGGCCGGCCCTGGCCTTTGCGAGATGCGCTGCCGTGCGGGGCTCTGGGTCGCCCCCTTCCCTGGAGGACTCCCGAAAAGGCGGCCCGCGCGAGCTGCGTCGGAACTCGCGCGCCGCATTGCCGATGGCACTGCTGGTGCACCCGCGATGCTTCTGCGACGTCGGCGATGCGCCGGCGCCGTCGGCGTGAGGAAGTCGGGGCCCAGCATCCAGCCGCATCCACGATGCATCGGCGACGCGGCGCGATCCTCCAACCCCACCTGCTCGGACCGTGTTTCGGAGGCGTGGACTCCCGCGGTTCCCTCTCTTCTCACCTCTTGGGCGCTCGTATCCCCACCCCACGCCCCCCTCTCCCAAAAAGCTGCCGCCAGCAGGCCTCCCCCCTCCTGCCCCCCCCCCGCTCCGCCTGCTTCACAGGGCGAACTGGAGGAAGCGAACCCGAGGCAGTGCATGAACGCTGGGCTGCTGGAACTGAGACTCGCAGAGTAGCTCCAATCCCCAGGCTAGAACAGGAAAAAACAAGGAAAGCTGGCCTGATCAGGCCCGCCAATGTCCTCACCTGGAGAAGTGTAATCTTTGACCAGCGAAAGGCTCCTCAAAAGCGCCCCATGGAGCTGGACACCGGCACCTGCCGTCGATGGGCACCGAGCGGGGGCCCAAACAACGAGTCGATTAATCACCCACCGTGCCAGCAAGATGCTGCGTCGAGGCGGCGCCGCGACGAGTGTAGCACAGATGAAGCTCAAACAAGGAGGCGCGAAAACTGAGTAATTAGTGCTTCCCCTGGGCAGTGATGTGGATGGTGAGAGACAGATTAACGCGGTGTGGGTGACGCGGGTGATCTAAGGAGGCGGATGGGGAGGGTGAGGAGGGAGAGCGAAGAGGGGGAGGACGAGCATGAGGGGAAGTGAGGGTGAGAAGAGACGAGAAGAGGATGATGATGAGGAACTCGAGGTGTTTGAGGATGCCCAGGACGAGAACAAGGATGGACATTGACATGGTGGCAGAGAATCAGGAATACTGAGTATGACGAGGATCAGGACGATGGTGAATATGATTACACCACGCCGAGGATCATGATGATGATGCGACGACGGTGGTGAGGATCATGACGACGATGATGATGATGATGATGCTGATGATGATGATGATGATGCTGATGCTGATGATGATGATGATGATGATGAGGAGGAGGAGGAGGAGGAGGAGGAGGAGGGGTACGATTACGACGAGCGGATGTGGAATACAAGAGGGTGGCAGTGATGCACAGTGCTGTAATACGTGTTGGGGAGAAGGGAGAGACGATGGAGGGAGGATGAGGGTGATGAGAAGACTGGGAGGTGGTGGGAAAGTGGGGGTGGCGGGGTATGAGGTTACTGTATGATGAAGGCGAGAAGAAACGGGAGGGCGACGAGAATACTAGGGAAGGTGCGGGAGGAACAACTGGGGACGATGACGGAGGATGGACGAAGGATGAAGGGGAGAGCAGAGAAATACTATAAGCCAAAAACATTTTTCACTGGGCAACACGTATGGTGACACGGGGCTGAACACACAACACATCTGTACATACAGGTAGAGAGCATCTCATGTTAGCCAGTGTGGACCCAACACCATGAAGTGCTGCGCTATGGAGATAGGAGCTATGCAGTGCAAGCTAGGTTGTGTAAGCCATTTGGTGTAAACTGCGCTCCGTGAGCTATGGAAATGAAAGCTATGCGGTGTAAGATATGGCCGAGATATGCCATATTGAGCAGGAAGGTGTGATCTGGAAGTGAAAGCTGTGCGCTGTAAACTACGTTGTGTAAGCTACGTGGTGCATGCTACGCTGTGCAAACAATGGAGGTAAACAGCCGTGAGGTGTAAGCTACGTGGTGCACGCTATGTCGTGTCATATAGGTGGTGTGATAGAGGCGACAGCTATGGGGTCTAAGCTGTGTGGTGTGAGTTATGCTGCGTGATCGACGTGGCGTAAACCATGATGACTATGCCATGTCGTGTAAGCTAATGGTGCACGAGCCTATGCGGCGGCACGGGCGACAACGTGTCGCAACCTCGGCCGACCCACCCAGCGAACGGGGACGCCCACGCTCGCCTACGAGACGGCACAGGAGGCAACGTGGCGCCACCTCGGCCTACCCGACCAACGCACATCTGCTGGACCGCTGGATGGCCGCTTCTTTTTTTAAGTGACTACTGTGCACACATATGCGCACTCATGTGCACGTACCTGAATGTATGAATACATCTAGGGAGGTATCGGGGGAAACAATAGCATAGGAGGGAGCAAGACCCAGCTGTAGTCCGACCCTGGTGCCTCGGATCAATATGATTAACCCAACAACCAGCAGCTGCGCATGAGAGTGAGGGGGCGGCGGGGACGTCGGCAGTGTACGAGGCTCTGAACAAGCCCCCCGCAGGCGCCAATTATTTACAAATTAAACAACGAAACCGCCGCAGGCGCCGATTCTTTCGTTAAATCAATGTAGGTGGGTCGCGGGTGGGTCACAGGTTGGTCGCGGGCGATTGGGTTGTGGGTGGATCGCGGGTGGGTCGGAGGCCGGGTCGTGGGTGGGTCGCGAGTGGGTCGCGGGTGGGTCGCGGGCAAGTTACGGGGTGGGTCGCAGGTGGGTCGCGGCTGGGTCACAGCCCCTACGGCAGGGGAGGAGAGGACGAATGGAAGGAAGGAACAACGGGGAGGGTGGAGGATGGAGTACGAGAGAGAGAGAGAGAATGAACAAGAAAGAAAGAGAGTAGCAGGAGGGCGGCTAGTAGGAGGAGGGAGCACACGGCAAAATCAGACGGACGGATCGGCGGGTGGACCCTAACAGGCGGGTAGGGGAAGCGGGCCCGAGCGGCCAGGTCGAGCAAGCGGGTTGCTGAAGCGTGCGTCCCGCATGGGTCGCGGGGAAGTCTCGAGCGATATCGCGATGCCCAAATGAATCGTGAGGAGATCCACAGCGAGAGTGTGATTCCTGAGTGTCGAGGGTGCGGCGTTTGCATAAATAGCGAGGAAGACCCACGCGAGAGTGCAATTCCTGTATACATTGTGAAGACGTCCCGCGCGAGAGCGCGATTTGGGAATACATTGTGGACCAGTATGGGGCGAGAATCGCGGTTGTTTTCAACCATGGGAATATACAATTGTTACGAGATGGGGGGACCAACACATGTTCAGAAATCATAATTCGAAAACATCAGCACAACAATAATTCAATAACTTTGAAACTAATTCAATATTCCAATAATTCAGATGGGGGGATAAATAATTCAATTAGTTTGAGACTGCTCGCCATTACCTGTTCGCGTGCCTTTCAACACGTATCCCAAAACCCTCATTACATGCCCTCTTCGTCATCGATCGTGCACCATTGGGGATGTACCTTTCTTCCCTGCAACGTATATGTCATGCAGCACCTGCGGCAAAGGGATCATAATTAATAGAAGAAAGGGACAAACAGGGGGAGAGAGGAGGATGGAACACGAGAGCGAATGAGCAGCACAGTCTGGTGGCACCCAGTCTCGTGACACGCAGTGGACAAGGGGCCAACAACCAAGTCCGGTGACAACCAGCATTCCTTGGCAACTTGCACAAGCGGTACTATAGTTTTGGCCGTAACATGTCGTCCGCCGAGACCCCTTGCCCCCCGTGTAATCTCAGCGAAGGGTTTCTGGACTGGCTGCGGCTCCGAGCCCAGAGGCTCGCGCTTTGGAAGAATATGCGTGTACAGTTTCAAAACAGGGTGATCGTCACCCCGCCCCACGAAACATTGGATGGGAAGTCACTCTCTTCTGGCCCGACTTACACCCTGTTCAGTCCGTGTGATCGTCGCAATCGGCTGCTTTTTCATAATCAGCGTCATCGTCGTCGTCATGCCCGCAATGCTGTGCCAATCCAGCGTGTTCGTTTGCGCGCTGAGGCGGAATGACACTGATCACCCAGGGTTCAACAAGAAAAAGTACCACAGTGCGACCCTACCTAGAAGTTGGAACCCCTAGGGAAGCAGCATTAGTTGCTATGCTATGATATGCCCTGCTATGCTGCGCTGTGCTATGCTATGTTATGCTGCGCTATGCTGTGCTATGATATACTATGCTAACCTATGCTATGTCATGCTGCGCTGTGTTATGCTACGCTATGCTATGCTATGCTACGCTATGCTATGATATGCGATGCGATGCTATGCTTAGCAGCGCTATGCCGTGACATGATATGCTATGCTATGCTATGATATGCTATGAAATGCTATGATGCGCTATGTTATGCTATGTTATGATTGGCCATGATTGGCTATGCTATGTTATGCGAATGCAGCGCTGCGCGATGCTAGGCTAAGCTAAGCTAAGATAAACCTGAGCTAAGATGAGGCTAAGCGAAGCAAAGATGAGATAAACTCAGATAAGATGAGATAAGCAACGCTAAGCTAAGGAGACGTAGCTGGGGGAACAGCGGGGCGAATGCCGGGGGAACCGCCCGGGGCGGGGACCACGGCCCTTTAAGCACATAGAGTAAGAACCCTTCTAGGCTGAGCCTAGGTAGAGAATTATCTAGAAGTGAAGATATCAACATCAAGAACATCAGCAACAACAGCAACAACCACACATTCCAGCTGCGCCAACAGCCTCCCGCGACTGAAAGTGCCTGTGGCCTCCTGACAAGGGGTGTGGCCCCCCCCGCGCTGCCCTGCCTGGCGAGTCCAGACTGAGCCGGCGCGCGGGGCGCAAGGGATGCAAGTGCCCCCGGGAACGGGAGGGCGGGGCGAAAGCGCGCGCTCCGCCTGCGATGGCAACGTGCATGGCGCCAGCGCCTGCGACGCGCGCGACCCCGAAGCGCGCCGCGGCCCGCCCCGACGAGACCCCCGCGACGCGCCTGAACCGAGCGGCGCTCATGGCGATGCAACAAGAACAGCATCGCACGCGCGCGCGCGCCGCGAGCCGCCGCCGCCCCGCGCGCGCGCCCTTTTCGCGGAGCCGCGCGCGGCGAAGAACAAGCACGGCGCTGCGCGCGCAGGCCGTTCTTGCGGGGCCGCGCGCCGCGAGGCGCAGGAGAGCGGGAGGCGGCCCGCGCGCGCAGCTCGCCCGCCTGCGCGCGGGCCAAGGTCGCGGGCGCGAAATCTGCGCCCGCGCGCAACGCAGCTCCAGCGCGCGCGCGCGCCAACCACAAATTACAATCGCATAGTACGCCTGCCACCAATTACAGCTGCGCCGACGGCCCCCCGCGCCAGAAGGTGCCTGCGCCCTCTGGACCAAGGCCGCGGCAGCCCCCGCGCCGCCCAGCCCGCCGAGTCCAGACTGAGCCGACGCGCGGGGCGCCAGGGATGCAAGTTCCCGCAGCCAATGCACGCCGGTGCGCCGCGCGCGGCACGCGCACCCGTCGCGACGCGATGGCAGCACGCGAACGCGCTAGGTCAGCGCGCGACGCCTGGATCGCCAGCGCCTAAACCAGGTCGTCCTCAGGCTCGGCCAAATGCGCCTCAACCGCGGCGCCGAGTTCAACTTGCGTCAAGTCGAGGCATGATAAGGAAGCGTGCGAGGACCACTCGCCCGCCTGAAGAATC